GCGATTTCACTGGCTCGCTGAGGGCCAAGCAGAAGCAAGTCGAGAACAAGACCATAGTATTGGAAGACAAAGGCAGAAAACTGGAGACCACGGATCATACCGTAGCTGTTGACGTGATTCATGTCCTTGTATGTGAGCTGAACATTGTTCTTTGCCGTAATGTAGTCAGCAAGATTGTGGTCCATGATCAGTCTGAGAAGGGAGTTGAGCAGCGTCAATTCCATCTTCTCGTAAACCTTGGATAGCTCAGTCTCAATCATGACATTGCATTCGCCATTTTCAGTCTCCCAAACTTGACCCAGGTTGTTGATGCCCTGAGCCCACTTGTAGACCAACAACGGAGGGACCTCAGAATCAGAGGGCTTGATCCAGGCAGGGAAAAGGTGTCTCTGATCAGCCTGGTACCACAGATATTGGTCAAGATAAGCATCGCTAATCTTTTCAATAGGCTCAATGTCATAAACGGGGTTGATCGTGCTATAGTTATCGTTCATGTCGATGTTGACCTCCTTAAACGCTCGCTGCGTTAGCAAAAATCGCTTGATACGTTCCAGGGTTGTGCCAGGACTATCATATGCCTGCTCAATAAGGGCAAGCTCTTCACGCTGGCTCTGGTTGAGGCGACCCTTGACCGAGTAAGCTTCTCTTAATCGTTCCAGGGCCAAGATCAGAATCTTGGTATCGTGCTTATACGAAACACTGGGGAATGGAATGGGCGAGAACTTGCGAGACTCCAGCCAGTGGACAGTCGTGGTGTAGATGGCGACGGCCTCTTCTGAGGAAACGTACGGACCATCCTTCATGTGGTTATGCTGTCGCTCTTGCTCTGCTTTGAGCCAGAGTCGAGTCAGACGACCAACATTCTTCTTAGCAACAGTCTTGTCGACAGTAGCACCGCGGCGAATACGCTCACGGTTGTAATGAGCAACAGAAACCCACCAGTCGGCCTTGGATTTCACATATCGCAGAATGATATTCTCGATGGGAGCGGGCAAACCAGGCACCTTCCATGGGATGTTACTCTTCCAGCAACGCCAGGCTTCAGAAAGATGCTGAAGCACGGTGTTGACCTTGTTCTGCTTGATGCCCTCGGGCATCATGTCCAACAGGTCGGCCATGACGGAAGCACGGAGCTCAAGATCAAAGTGAGACTCGACACGTTGCTTGGTAACCGTCTTTGCGACGCCCTTGCTGTGTCGACCTTCGAACTGACGAGAAAGCAGGTTTCCAAGCCATCTCTCAAGGAGAGGGATGATACCACGCATAAAAAACAGCCACACTCTCCACGCAGGAGCCCAGAAACCACAGCCTGGACCCTTTCCGACAGGGCCAGAATTGAATCTATAGTAGATAAGGTGCTTCAAATCCTTGCAGGTTCGGATCTGGTGCATAAGCTTGTACTTGTAACGGTACATTCCTGTAAGCTGTCCGACGTGGTTGAAGGCGTAGAGGATACCATCAGCCAATTGGAAAGCGTCAATGTTGCCGAGTCGGTATTGAACTTGTGCATCCACAATCAGCTTGGTCAGTCGCAAAATTTCACGCATCAAGTGGAAAGCGTTTCCGAAACGAGACTTCTTTCGTTCCTTTGTGGTAAGAGTCTTTACGGGCTTCAAGTTGAAGTTGTAATCAAGATGGAGATAGGTAAGGTTCTTTCGGTGAATCAAAAGGTTGAGCATGTTGAAACCTTGGCGACAAACTTGGAGACCAGCCTCCACCCAGTCGATGGTAGTTTGTTGGAAGAACTTGGTCTGCTTCAAAGACCTGAGCAAGTTTTGGTTGTTCTGAGCCTTGGGCTTCTTCTTGTGCAAGTCGTTGAGAACAAAGTTCTTGAGCAGCTTCTGGTAGGAAACTCGGACCTTGACAGGTGGCCGGTCTGCGGGAGGGTGCTCCAGATACCACTGCTTAATTAGGGGCACATCCTGGGCGCGAACCATCTTGCCGGATCGCCGGTTGAATGGATATGGTGCCCACCAAAGCTCAATGGCGGCAGAAGTGTCCTCGTTATCGAGTTCCTCATCAGCAAGGAATGGTTCCGTTCCAGCAGGAAGCTCGAAAGCGTCATCTTCGGGCTCCTCGTTGCTTCCAGGCCCAAACAGCTCATCTTCGAGAGAAACTTCAACATTCTTAGGAGCCACATTGCGTGATGAGATTGGGTTGATTCGACGATCGAAATGGAATGTAGGCAAGTCCGGGTCATCGATACGATTATACACTATCTGGGGGTGAGAGTGCCAAGCCAAGTGTACGCTTCGCGGTAAGGAATTGTATAGGTATGGGAAAGCAACCCGGAATTCAGTGCGAATGGGGTTTCTGAAAATGATTCGGTCGATGGCGTTGAATTCGCCAAAGTCTTCGTCATTGGGGTTGATATCCTTGTACAAAGGCTCAAATCGTGGTCCTCCTGGCAAAGCAACGTTCAGCGCCTTGGCAGTGAGCAGACTCTTTAGATCGAAGAGATAGAAATAGTTCTTATCCACAACATCAGAAATCAAAGGTCGACTAAGACGAAACAAGGCGGCCATCTGAGGTAATGTGAGATTCCATCCCTTGTAGCTTGGACCATTAACATGGGGTGTATCAAGCAACGGTCGGTGGTCATAAAACCATTCGTAGATTGCCTCATCTTCATCCTCGTTCAACTCCATCTGAATAGGCTCAAGAGGCTCAACGTCCTCGATGTTTTCCGACCATGACAACGGCGGTTCCTCGTCATCAAACGGTGGGAATCGCATACGCTTAAACAGTCTTCGGTCAGCCTTTTCCTTTCGCATAAACGTCCACATCATGGCCCACTGCGCAAAGAAGACAGGCTCGATGACTCTTGGAATCTCGTTGACCAGGGTAAGGCAGCCGTTGACATGGTACAGAACCTTGACCTCTCGTGCAGACTCCCAGGGCATCGGCATATTCTCCAGAAGCTTCAAAACCGCATGGGGCATGAACTTCAATGCACCGAGATAGCTTCGCTTGTCGTTTGTGTACTTTTTCTGCGAGACATCGCCGATATCCTTGACGATTTTCCGCAGATGCTCGGGGGGCATATCAGCCTTTTGCGTCTGAACGAATCCAGCCTTTCGCTTCTCGCCAAATCGGTTTCGCTGGCTCCGAAGCCATTCCTTCTTCTTCTGGGCAAACTTTGCGATATGAGCGTCGGCGGGAGGTCGATAGCCGGGGGGGGGCGGGGCTGGAGGAGCAGGAGTTGTCGGAGGAGGTGGGAAAGATGACGATGGAGGAGGCGGAGGAGGCGGAGGAGGGCCCCAGCCAGGCGGCGGCGGCGGCGGTAATTGCGACATGGCTGCGTCTTCACTCGTTCAGAAGCAATCCGTGAAGTTGCCTGCCCGAAGGCTTGAAGCCGTGGCGCGTGTCAGAGACGCGCTAGCGATCCTGGAATTGCAGACACAGGATAGCAGCCACGTGGAATTCAATGCTCTGGCCTCTGTGCTGATGAAGCAGATGCCGGTCTCGCAAAATTCAGACGACGGCCAGAGCGAAAGTGATGCAACGTCGGGACTGATGTTCAACCTCGCCTTCGTTGGACAATTTCTTGAACGAGATCCTTGGAGGCGCTAGCTTCATCTTGATGCTAGTCCATCACGTGACTTTGACGTTATTGCAACTTCGAAGTGCAATAACATGCCGATGCCTACCCATTGCAAAATACTCACATTCTGCTCATGGTTCTCGATTCTAGTTCGTAAATGAATGATATATTAGCCTTTGTTTTATTCAATGAAAAATTTCAGCGGAAAATCAAGAGTTAGCAACTTGATTATGTAGATAATTCAGCTGCATTAACGTTCCAAGCTCAGGTTGATGCTAATTCCAGTATGCTTTTTAGTCCGAGACAGACATGGAGGGGTACCTTGAGGCATAGCTGTGAAGTGAAATATTGCATCAATTACAGCTAGAATTTACATGAAAATAGAAAGTGGCTCAATTTTTAGCAAAAAGATAATTCATTCATCAAGATTCTGCTATAATTTTCTTTAATTTATCCCCATCATCGCTGAAATCCTACTCTATACTCTTTCCTCTCTCTGCTACAGGGTACTTGATCAATGGAGCATCACTCACGGAGCCAATCAAATCTGCTCCAGTCCAATTACATAATCACGAACAATCATCTTCTGCCGACAGCAACACCAGGCCTAGCCATCGCGATACCATTTCAATTCAAGAAGACCAAGCCAGTCGCCGCCACAAATCAGCAAACATGGCGCACCTTAGTACGTTTACTCGCGAAGAACTGCACATGGCCAAACTAACCGCGAATTCACAGACGTCAAGCCGGACCCGGCTCTTCTGAAGCTGGAGGGTGCGTAACATATCGAATCCAATTGCCCTTTCGCTGTACCGCTCCGCTTTCTAACTCGTTTGCACAGCGATGACCAAGGCTCGCCACCGCTACTTCCGCTTCACGGGCAGAACTGCCAGAATCAGCTTCATCTACATGGCCGCTATCCCCGCCGTCTTCGGCTGGGTCGCATACAAGACAGACGTGAGTGGAAATCGGACAATGTGGAGGGGAAGAGGGCTACTTGAGAGGGGGAGAGATTGATGAGATGCTGACTGACTGTGTATAGGGCCTTTGGGATCTCCGAGCGAAGCGAAAGGGTGACACCTGCTACGAGAAATAAATGACGATGTTGGTTGGTGGAGAGTTTTATGTATATTTTAAAAGGTTCGATCCGAGATAGAGAGCCTCTTTCTGGCCGAATAATCGAAGAAAATTCAATATTTCTAGCTTCAAGATGGAGACTATTACGAAAACCATGGATCATCTCTACGTGATGTGCTCAATTGCTGGGGGCGGAAGAGAGTGTTTATCTTGCACTTTCTACTTCACTGCACAAGATGTGCAACTTGAGCCTAGATTTATCAAATACAGCAAGAGGGAGCTTTCCTTCGCCTCAATTCAAACGCTAAATTTCTCGGGGGTATATCGTATCCTTTGCGCAATCTCAACCATATGTCTGAAGTAAAACCCTTCTCCTGGCTTACCAGCGGCCCCTGCCTCTTGGCCCTCCAGGTGGCCCATCTGGTAGCTGTTCTCCTCTTCTCCATTCGCCTGATGGAACCCTATTATCTCTCCAGCCTGGCCTATTAGGACGGCCATTGTTGCGGCCAAAATTGCTGTCTCGTCCATGAAATCCACCTCTGAAACCACCGCTGCGACCATCTCGCCCGCCAGATATTGAGCCTCTTCTAGCAGCCCCTGGCGGTACTACGGAGCCATCTCCCCGCGGAGGAAGTATCGCGCACGAGATGTAGTCCCCAACAACAAATCTCCAGTCAGCCAGCGTTTTGTCTTTCCCAAAGTCATCCCTCATTAGGGCATCAGGACCAGCATCATCGGGATCCTCTGCGCCAGGATAGCCCTCGCCAATGACGATGCTCCCCAGCTCTTTGACGGCAAATTTGGGCTGTATAGTATTAGTAGCACTCGCGCCGCGTAAATCCGGGCAGACGAGTTGAAATGAGAGTCTTGTGCCAATGGCAGGATTTGGCAATGCGTTTGGTTTTGCTGCTGCTAGCTCAAGGGCCAGCTCATTGAGTGTGCAGGTTGACCACGTGTAGATCGAGACATATGGCGGCAAAGAAGATGACGCAAATTCCTCTGGCCTAAATATGATGTTTAGTAATACTATTCCATCTATAAGAATCCTATCATGAGTTATAGTCGCGTACCTGGGAAAGCCGCCGGTTTTATGGAAAAGACGGACTAAGAAGGGAGCTGCGTCATGATCTTCATCCCCTTTTGATATAGACATTGTGCTATGAATCGAATTGGGACAATCAGAATTCCAATTCGTCAACAAGTTCTCCACGTTTCAATACTAATATATGTATCACTCTGCGTCCAAGCTGTGTGTTGCTGGGATTGAATGAGTGCTGATGCTGCTGTAGCTCAACACCTGTATTATCCGGAAATCATCCGCAATCGATAGCGTCCTTGTAACTTCGGCGTGCTCACCGGACTTGCGACCAAACAGACTTCATGACTTATAAACTGCCAAATAATCCCATCAAGGAAGCGCATTGCACAAAACCTTCGTCTCATTGCTTCAATCCTACAAGTACAAACATTAAAAGCGACATTGCCTCCTGGACGAAAAATCTTTGACGATCCTTCAAGCCGCTCACAGCGCAACACCATCACCATGGACTTCGCGGCCCTCATGAACAAAGAGCTATCCAAATCAAAATCCTCCAAATCCTCCTCCAGCGCCGACGAAAAGAAATACCTCAAGCGCTCCGAAGTAGAAGCCGAACGCAAAGCCGCCTACCTAGCCGAGCAAAAGGCCCTCGAAGCCGAACGCGCATCCAAGGCCGAAGCGAAGCGCAAGCGCGAGGAAGAAGTCGCCGCAGAAAACGCCCTCCGCGAGGACAAGCGCCGCAAGCTCGCCGAAGAGTCGCGCAAGAGGCAGCAGGAGAAGGAATTCGAAGAAGAGCAGGCCAGGAGGAAGAGACTCGGCCTGCCGGAGCTCGTCAAGGGCGACGAAAACGGCGATGATAAGAACGGCGACGCGGCAGACGACATCCCGGATGACGAGCTGATAGAGAAGCTGAGAGCGCTGGGCCACCCGGCGAAATTATTCGGAGAATCACATGCGGCACGGCTGAGACGACACAAGAAGCTCACTACGGTGCTGACAAAGGGGCCGATACCGACGACGCTACAGCTGGTGGAGGAGAAGGACATGAAGGTCGACGGCACGCTGCCAAAGGACAAGGAGGGCCGCCAATGGCTGTACAGACAGCTGGCCAGCTACTTCACCATGGTGCTCACGGCATACGAAAAGGCAATGGAGGAAGAGAAGCGAGACACGAGCAACAGCAAGATGGCCTACAGCGCCATGGTCCAAACCCGCGAAAACATGAAGCCAGTAAGCACAGCATCATAAACACCTGGTATTAACAAATAAAATTGCTAACCCACTCACTCTGTAGCTCTTCCGCAAATTCGAGTCCGGCGACCTCGACGACTCCCTCCTCCAGCCCATCATCGAAATCGTCCAGGCCCTCCAGGAGCGCCGCTACGTCGACGCCAACGACGGCTACCTCCGCCTCAGCATCGGCAAGGCAGCCTGGCCTATTGGCGTCACCATGGTGGGTATCCACGAGCGCAGTGCGCGCGAGAAGCTGCACGATGGTGAAAAGGGCCACGTCATGGGCGACGAGGTGACGCGAAAGTACCTGCAGAGCATCAAGCGCTGTCTCACCTTTGCGCAGGTGCGCTGGCCGCCGGAGGATTTGAGGCAGTTGATGGGGTGATTGGATACGGCGGTGATGTTGTAGTTTGCGGCTCGATTGTGATGTAAAGTGCTCTGGGAAAATGGAGGGATATAATGAAATGGTTCCAAGCGTGGCTATGCAGTGCTGGAATGGCAGTTGGTAGTAGTGGTATATGTGTGATATGATATGATACCCGTCTCAATTGGACAATATAGACAAAGAAGAATGCATATAATACGAGGCGTCGCTGAACGAAACATGACTTATCAATACCACATCTACTATTTGATATCACGACATCATTATTGTAGAAGACAGAAAATGATATGCGTCATCACATCAAATCCTAATACGTTGATAAAAGGAAGAAAAAAAAAAAAAAGCCTCTAATAATTGGGGGCTGCTGAATGTTACAAACATCAATAAAAAAAAAAAAGAGCCCAGTTTCTCCTTGCGCCTCCCTCTATCTAATGCATCAACATGCGTGTAACGTTCAAGTCTCAAAGGCGTTTGCCGTCATAACCGTGGCTCCCCTCCTCCCTTTGGACAGGAAGCAAGCATTTCCCCTTTCGCCATCGGCGACTGACAAGAAAAATCGAGTACTCGATCGCCACGGAAGGGCAAATCAAGTTGTATTCCCCCGTCGGATTAGTATGTGCGGCTTTCCCCTTAGTTATGTACGGAAATACGTAAGTTTACCCTTTTTCCCAGCCAAAGCCAGGCTTCTTTGCCGATGCTGAGTTTGAATTGCCTCAATGAGATGTTCCTAAGAACCCTGAGCCTCACGCTCGGCCAGATAGCTGGCCATGCGACTCTCTTCAAACCAAGCCTCATCGGGCTCAGGTCCTCCTACTCCGCCAGTCTGTGGCTTCTTGACGCCAATGACCTCGAGGCCTGCAGCAATAATATTCATGCGCCGCAGCCGCTCCTTGGCTTCCAGTTCGTATTTCCGTGCCACATGAAGTGCATTTGTCTGTACCACTAGTCGTGGGTCGGGGGATACGGCTACCAGAAGCTACGTAGGATGTAAGTAACAGCACACCTATGGTTGGAAAAACAGCAGAACGAGGAAGAAACATACCTTGTTTTTGGCATCTATTCTAGCTTTCAATGACCCATCACGGATCATCCTGATGAGCTCTGGCTCAACGGACTGGCTGGGTTTTCCAAATGCAGCGTCCAAGCTGTCCAGCGTGACACACGAGAAGGGTATAAAGTATTGGACAATACACTTTTCGCGAATCAAAGAGTAAATTGCAGGAACATGTGGTTGTAAGTAAATGTCGAGCAGATAGTCTGCCCGCACAGACTCCAAGATGGAGAGACAAGTCGAGTACCTGCCGTTGACAAACAAGCTTATAGCTTTTCGAATATGCGGTTCGTGTTCTAGGAATGTCCTGAAGGATTGATTATCCAGTATGCGAGACTGCAAAGCCGTCCTGTCCATGGTTGCCAGAGACAAGAGACCTCCATAGATGGCGACATCGTTGGGACTCGCGACTGTGCTGTATTCCGTTGGGGACACATTGGGGTTAGTATGGATGAGGGTCATGGCCGCATCGTGGAAGTTCCCCATTCCCATCAAGGCAACACCCGATGCCACCTTGGTGTAGGCCTGCTGTTCTTGCTCATCGTCTCCGCTTTGAATGTTGGATATCTTGCCAACGTTGCTCAACACGGTGGCCCAGTCATGGCGCTGAAAAGCGACGCTAGCCAGGTGCATGCCGCAATCGAAGATGTGTTTGGTCGTGCTCACGTCGTGGCGCATTTTGTTATATGCTTCCGTAGCTTCAGAGAGCTTGCCTATACTCTCGAAATGCTTACCGAGATCTTCATTGCCCATCTAGACCGAAAATAGCAAGTTAGATATCACCGCATATTTTATAAATTACCCGCCATATAGACACGTAGAGGGGGAATGATGATTCCTACCCGAATACTCTCCTTGATGAGATTGTTCCTGTACCCTTTAAGTTCTGTCTCCAAGCGAGCAGTTTCGTTTCTGTTGGCAATCTCGGTGTTCTCTATCCATGCGCCATCCCTCTGCGCATCGGGATCATCCGGAGCAGCTGCGCGGAGCAGAGCACACGCATCGTTATAGCGAGTGATGTCTGAGCCGCTCTTTGCTTCGGCAACGGCAGCCTTGAGAGCTTCAACTCGCAGTGGCACACAGCACTTGCCAATGAGGATCAGGCGCTCGTATCGTGTTCGGCCTATGACGATGATGGGAAGCGTTAGGACCTCGTGGATGTAGCCAAAGGGCGAGCATGGCACCGGAGATGCCTTGAGAACACCGTACCGACATAGTTTTGAATGTAGAGATCAAGGTCAAGCTTGGGCATGTCTGTCACCGAGATCCATGGTCAGCTACTCGTGATAGACACATGTGGGGCAGAAGGGCCATCGTTACCAGTGACGATAACGTCTGGAGGAGTGTATGCCTGAGCGTCTGAGCCCGGCTGCGACGACGTCGGAGCAGCCATGGAAATGCAGCGTGATGGGGCTTTTCGACGACCGTATGTGTTTGCTGCTTGGCAAGGCTGAATAGAAACAGGAAGCTCGCCTGCACGTGCTTCTCAGCCTTCCAGATGGTGGAGGGGCCGTTCAGTGCGTGATGGAGCGCATAGCTAGAAATGTTGGGTTTGGCGGGGTTGACAAAGAGCTCTCGATAGTACAGAGGTACATGTACGGAAGCGCGCGTCTTAGTAAAGTGGATCTTAAAGTATGCGTACACGTACCATTATGCCAACTACAAGTACAGACTGCTGCTTGCCTGCATTTTCGTAAAACAGACTTTCAAACATTTTCCAGAGCAAGCTAGATGTACTCTACACTCCATCTTATTTTTTTTGATGATGCTTTAGAGGGACTGGAGTAGATGGACGATTTGGAGGATACTGATATGCTTTAGCGCGTGTCTCAGTGCAACTCTAGCTCGGCCGATGAGCTATATCAGATCCGCGCACTATCAATTGCATCCAATGCCATTAGACCAAGTACTACTAATACTATTACTACCTGTCTTATTAGCCTCTAAGTCTTGAAGAAAGACTCAAGAACTGTGACTTGAAGAATACAGTGCGAGAAATAACCAAATAAAGTAACTACCAATTTACGAATCATACACGTAATGGCCAAACCCGTCCCGTACTAGTTATGGCCCCCTTTGCCCTTGGGACGGCAGATGAACCAGTTCAACCCACTAGTTTGCCGTCTTCCGATACACGATGGTGGCTTAGACCTCACTTGCACCTAGCCGCGCAAGGGGGAACCGGCTACTGCTTCTAGCTGCTCGAATAAGTAAGAGCTCGCAAAGCATCGGTCCCTCCAGCTAGGGGTAACTTGCGGTGGTCCGCCCGGGGTGGCAAGGGATGCGTGGTGAGCTGTTCAATAGTATGGTAGTGCTGCTGCTACTGCAAGTATGTAGTAGGCCAGCGGTAGCCCCGAGCGAGTGCCAGAGTTACAATTGATCCACGCAAAAGGAGTATGCTGCGCGGTGGCAGTGTAGATGGGGTCTGACCATCTGTGCTTTGGCGTGGAAATCGACGATCAGCTCATAGGCATGCAGCTGGCCAGGGAACGCAGATTGACAGTCTACGTTATCCTCGTTTTAGGATAGCATTGGGTAGAAGTTTATTGCCTTCAGAACTACGGGCAAGTCTACATACCGCCTCGACGCGGAGAAGTCTCGGAATTTGAATTGTCGTAGCATCTTAGCCAATGTGTAGTAGAGGCATAGCTGATTGGTTCTATTGGCTGAATTCAGGAAAAGCTTGCTTGCTTTTGCATGCCCGACTGCTGCGTTATTAATCGAAGTTGCGTGCCACGAGATCTGAAAGCGACTCGATGCATGAGGCTTCTGTCATTAGAATGCTGCTAATTCCGTATAAGAGTGATATGTGGGTAATCCGTGAGCGGATAAAATTTGTCTTAAAATTAATCATACCATTGCAGTGTTTAGCTGAGTCGCTGCCTGCCCGGTTACTTCGGTATACAACTCATGGCGCCTATCTCTGAAAAGAGCAAAGATAACGACATGAGTGAAATCTGGTTTGCCGACCATGTAGAAGCACACTAGCCAAGTGCAGTTACTTTAAATCAGCCAATGCAAAAGTCCCTTTGCCTGCTTGTTCTTTCGCTTCCTTTCAATATTGAAGTGATGCATCTGCTGATTCTAGACTTGCTCAGTCGCAGGAACAAAAACTGTACTTTGAATGTTTGCAGTGGTGTATAAGTGTCGGTTTGAGGCCAATTCCCAGCCTTGTGGGTTATCCTGGTTGGCCCGATTGTCGGCAATCTCGTTTGTGAGGCGCAAAAGCTTGGCATAAGCAAGGTGATGTAATGCCGCTGTGGCTTTAAAATCGGCGTGGACTGTGACAGGCGCCAAGAACGCCGAAGACTCCGGGAGGGGTCCCGATGGGAAAAATAAATAAGAAAAATGCAACCCAAAAGAGGGAGAGAAGAACGAGAGCCCGAAAGGGAAGAAGAAGGAAAAAAGCACAGAATTGCGTAGGGATTTGCCGAACATGCATGCAGCATGGCACGATTCATTTGCGCAGGTTCTCAGCCGAGACAAGCCTGAAATAGCATCTCGACATGCGTTGCATGGAGGAGTCCGTGTATAAGACACGGATAGTGTATTCGGTACAGTGTTAGTTGAGCGAGTCGGGCAGGCACATCCATCCCGCCGAGTCGGAAGACGTGCTGGACTTTAAATCAAGGTTATCTCGAGCTCGTCCCCACGATCGCCTGACTGTGCTCACGTCTAAATTCTATTCCGCGGTGGTGGGCGATAGGAGAAATAAAAAAGAAGCTTTTGCAGGACCCAAAGCCTAACGCTGCCAGCGCTGCGTCCAAGGGTCGGGGAAGATCCGTAGACACTGCCAAACACGCGCCCGCCAGCCAATCAGTTGCGCGCGGTGCCAGTTTCTCGCGCATGCTAGACTATATTATCGTTGCATGCAGATGCAGAGGACCTCTCGCCCTTTTGGAAATCGCGAGTTAGCGCTGGCCGAGTCCCAGTACCCGCGGCGCTCGTACTCCGTGTGGCCGCAACAGCCGCATTACGCGGAGGCCCTAGCCGTAGCATTTTCCTCATCCCGCTAGACGGCTAGGAACTGTGGGAATAAGACGGATATTAGAGCTTGGCGAGACGGCGGGACTGCTGGTTGTTGGGGTAAAGGCTCAGTATACTACTGTCAAGAGGTGGCCAAAGCCCTGAAGCACAGACGCTGTTTAGATTCAAGCTATCTTTGGTTTAACCGCAGAAGTTATGCTAGACGTGATAAACTGGGGAGCGGGAGAAGAGAGAGACTCTACTGTACGTAGATGGCTGCAGTTGCCAACGCTAAAGTCGACTCAATGCGACACGGAGAGCGTCTCGTATCCTCTCTCGCACTGGGTGGTGCCAAAGAGTAGAATACACGTACTGGCAGTGCCAACCAATAGCGCAGCCAAGCGTGGTGGTTATCTCAAAGTCAATATTGCGACAGGCGCCAATGATTGCTGAAGATTGAAGATGCGTTTTTTGATTGCGCAATCAATCTTATGCCGATTGCCTCTGGGCATCTAACGTCTTATGTCTTCAGCAGCTGGGACCGGTTGCTATTGGAAGGCTTCATCTGATGTGCTTGATTCCAGTGTGGCTTGTGCTTGTTTAGACAGGATGAAACCTTGATGAACTGAAGACAAACCCGCACGGAGTACTTCTCTCGTATGTGCGTGCATGCAGGCATGGAATCTCCAGTCTCCAACCGCAGTTCTATCGCTGTAGAATTCTTGAGCCATCTGATCCATCCATCTGTGCTTCGGCCGCTAGTCGTTGGAATCTGGCAACACGGCGTCTCATCCGTCCATCCACGCCGCTGCACACTGTCTTGTCGGCGCCATCTTGGCATCTAGATTGCTTCCTGCGTCGCCGGCACCAAGCTTTTTCTATTTCGCCTCGAGTTCTGCCAGATTGTCTTGCCCAGAAGGCCAAGCTTTTCAGCCAAGCTCTCCAGCTTTCATTTCGGACGCACATGCCCGCCCGACCGGCAGCTGAGGCGCCGGTCGCCCCCAGGGATGCCATGTGGGAAGTGGAGAGGGCTAGTTGAGCACAGCCTCAGGACCAGCAACCAATTCCAGCGGCACAGACGTATGGACGACGTCGCCCGCCCATTCCTCGACAAACGGCATACATACATAGGACGAGCCTTGGTGTCGGGACGCGGCTTATCACGCGGACGCAGTTCTGGCGCCGTCGTCGAGCGGTCAGTGGAGCTCTGCGCGCTATGCGGCCCAATTTACAGTGGGTGCACGGTTTTTAGCCCCCGACGCCAGTGCAGCAGTGCTGGGCACATGCAGCTGGAACTGGTCGCTGAAGCAGCGTAAGCCACTAGAAACCGGCACCTCAGCCATTTGCGCTGCTGCTACTGCTGCTGCCTTGACCCTCGCACAAGATTAAAAAGGAGCACGAGTCGTACGAGAATGCGTTCACCATGCTTAGGCGTCGGGGAGCCCCTGTGGTTGCCGAAGTGCCCTTGACGGGCCGCCAAGGCAGCGTCGAGGCACTTGAATCATTCAAAGCTTCCAGCGCATGACGTCTCGTCTGTGCGTTCGTTCATTGTCTGGGCTTCTGATTCATGGCGGTCGGAGCCTGAGCACTCGTAGACAGCGCTGCATTCCTGAGCTCACAATCTAGCGATTGCATGAAATCTGGCCCTCCTGAGTGTTTTGTCGTCGTATGGGCTCCGTACCGGTACCCATCTGGCCGTCTGGGCGCTGTGCCGGCAGTGGAGCCGCCGCATGTTTGTACTACAGGATGGACGGTCGCAGATGCAATCGACATGCAATCGCTATGTACAGGCACTCGACAGTACCACGGTGCAACCGAACCGAAGATAACATCAAGCTGCGCCCGATAGAGGTGCCGGTGCAGATGCTCGGTATCGTCTCCGGTGCATTGATGCTGTGGGAGTACCTACATAGTAGATGGCGAAGATCAAGGTGCCCGTACCCACAGCTGCAGGTCGATATCGGTGCGCGGGTGCTAACAGGCGCTATATTCTTTCGAACTTCCATGTCCAGATCAGTTTCGCTTTGCACACCCAGTTCAACCAAGCGCGTCTTTTATAGCGCAAAGAGACAGAATCCAGGGCAAGAAACGAAATCGTCCATAGATAACTGCCTACTAGTAATCAGCACACAGACGACTGAATCATGCAGAATCCTTTGGGCCAGCCACGCGCTACTGGCAGCAGAGCGCATGGCGCATGTATGGATGGATTAGGGAGCTCCGTATAAGCGCTTCCACCATCCCATCAACACCGCCAACTGGCCTCCCCTATTGACTGACGGACTACCCAGCCATCGCCAGCGGGAGTGGGTTGGACATACGCAGCATCTCGTACTGCCCGTGCCGTGCTCCGTGTGTTTCCCTCAATAAGCCTCGGACCTCGTACTCTGGTCTCCAGTCGCAGCAGCGTTTTGGCAGCCCTCGCAGTCCCCCCACATCTGGGTCAATGTTTGCTGCTTTTTTTCCAATTTTTTTTTTCTTTCAAGCCGTTTAGCCTTGGGTCGAGTGAGGTACCGTGTGAATTATGCTTGAGCGCACTGCCGCTCGCTTGAACCACTGCGCATAGCGCCCATTCGCTCTTCCAGCGGCTGCAAGCCCCCAAAAGCGGCTGTCGGTCGGCGGGCGTGCCGTAATGCAAGTCTGGCGCCGCTCCACCCAGCGCTCTGCAGATGCTGCAGCCCCAGTGTCTTCAGCGGCCAGCCACTGTAGCACAGTTGGCTTTAGCGGCCGGCGCGCCAACCCCAGCCAGCCACAGCGCCCTCTCGCGGCCTGTACTTGCAGCGACGGTACATGTACAGCACAGTATGGGGCCCCCGTCCGACGGCGACGCACAGCGGACGGCCTCTCCCTTCCAGCTCGCTCTATTTCTTCCCTCTCGTCCTTGTTCCTGGTCCTGCGCGCCATCCTCGTCGACGTCGCTCCCGCCCGCCAGACCTTCGCCAACACGCTCCGCACCGGGGAGAGACTGCGCGGTGAATCTGATGGCCTAGATTGGCAGACGCCGGGGCAATTGGCACGTACGCTGCCGCCGACTTTGCGTCCCCGGGGTCCTGTCCTGTCTCTCCAGAGGCGCCCTCCGCCTTCACCACCACGCCGAGCCTGCAGCGCCCGCCCCTCGGCTGGCCTCACGCACCAGACACCGCAACGAAGCGGCCAGGCCCTTTGAGCCAGCGCCCCCGCCCAGAACCCGCCCGTCCAGCAACGTCGAAGACGCGGACAGAGCCTAGACGAGCAGAGCAGGCAGAGCAGAGCAGCCCCTCGACTCTGACCGGGCCAGCTGCTATAGCCTCCAGACACCCATAGACCTATCCACCACATACCCCATATCGCTCGCCGCCAACATGTCCGACGACGAGGCGGCCACCATCGAGTCGCAGCCCGCCGGCGACTGGTCCATCCAGGATGCCCCGTCGCCGGCCGAGAGCATCAAGTCCGATGTCGAGGACGAGAAGATGACCGCCGACGGCGAAGCGGCGCCGTCGCAACCCATCCAGAAACGCCGAAGAGTCACCCGCGCTTGCGACGAGTGTCGCCGCAAGAAGATCAAGTGTGACGGCAAGCAGCCCTGCACCCACTGCTCCGTCTACAGTTACGGTGCGTATGCTGGAGAGGAGAATGCCCAAATTTTCTTTCTGAAACGGCTTTGTTGCCAGATATTGCCGTCTCATTAAGCATATCTTGATTACATATAGCCGTTTCCCTTCAACCCCAAACTAACACACACCCTCTTCGTTGAGATGTTCCTGCTGACCTTATAATCTCTCTGTCTTCAAGAATGCACATATGACAAGCCATCAAACAGGAGGAGGAATCCCGCACCACAGTATATCGAGGCCCTGGAAAGCCGTCTTCAGCGCGCCGAGACGCTGCTGCGAAAATTTGTTCCTGATATTGACCTGGCCGATCCAAACCTTGACCCTGCCATTCAACAGGAGTTCAATAATCGAGAACGAGCGCGCGCCGAGGCTGCCAAGCTAAGAGCCAGCCATGCTCCTGCCGAGCCTGATCCCAATGACACGCAGCTGACGTCCATGATTGACTCCATCGGCCAGCTGGATCTCGATGAAAAGGGCGGATGGGATTTCTACGGCATCTCCTCCGGCACCGTCTTCTTGCGGCGCATGAAGGAGAACTTCCGCGGCTTGCTGGGCCCTGTAGGCAGAGCGCCGTTTCTGCCACGTCCGTCTGACCGAACTGCAGGCCTCCTAAACTTCGACGTGCCATCACCTGCTGGCAACTCACCCTTTTCAAACGTTTCCACCGTCCCTGATCTTCCTCCCAAGGACGTTGCTCGGAAACTCTGCTACTATTCCTTAAGCTGCGCCACATGTCTTGTCCGCATCGTTCATGTTCCTACTTTTTATGAAAAATTCGACCAAATCTATGAGCGACAACATGATGCTTCAAACCAGGAAGATACCCCGTTTCTTGCTCTGTTTTATGCCATCTTAGCGTTGGGTTGCATGTACAGCAATTTAGACGACTCTAGTTCCGGCGGCATGTCATATCGACAGGCCATCGATGAAGGGTAAGGAGAATCACGCGTTGATTTTTTCTTCTTTCTCTCTTTTGCTGGCGTTCGTTAACAATATTCCTATAGAGTCAAGTATTACAAGATATCAAGATCTCTGCTGCGTGATGTTACCGAGTGCCGGAGTCTCATCTCTATCCAGACTCTTGTTTTCCTAATTCTCTTCCTCCAGTCTACTGCAAATCTCAACACTTGCTACTCCTTTATTGGAATCGCGCTCCGATCATCCTTGCGGATAGGTCTTCACCGGCACTTACAACACGAACGGTTGGGAAATATTGAGCAGCAAGTTCGGCGACGGGTTTTCTATGTCATCCGGCAAATGGACATTTATGTTTCCACCATGCTAGGATTTCCTCTCCTTCTCAGCAATGAGGATGTAGATCAGTTGTATCCGCTGGAGGTTGACGACGAGTTCATCACGGCCGGTGGCATCATCCAGCCAGGACCGGGAACGCCTTCATTTTTCCAGGCATTCAACGCTCACACCCGATTGATGGAAATCTTGGGGAAAATCACAAAGAATATCTACCCAACAAAGGGTGTTGGGCAAACGGTCATGAGAGGGGACAAGCTTGCGTCAACTTATCTCATCAGCTACAGTAAGATTAAGGAAATCGAAACTGACCTGCACAACTGGTTTGAGAGACTTCCGCAAGCATGGCGGCCCAGTCCCGATGGCCCAATTGAAGTGGTTCGGTAAGTTGCCCCCTATATATCCACCACCATATCAATGCTATGAGAGTGCCGAGATGGAAAACATGCCCGGAAGAAGGCTAATAGTAAATGTACGAACAGTGTACGACACCTGTTGCGTTTTGCGTATGCTCATGTGCAACTCGTTCTGTACCGACCTTTCCTACACTATGTCTCTCCCCGACTGAGCCAAGGCAGCAGGGTTGATGAACTCTCTTATGCCTGCGCGGCAGCGGCCATCAGCGTGTCCCGCAACATTGTTCACATTGGTCTTGAGATCCGGAAACAGCGCGTGCTCAGCGGACCTTACTGGTTCATGCTCTACACTGAGTTCTTTTCTGTCCTTTCGCTGGTGTTTTATGCCCTTGAGAATCCGGACAAGCCTGGGTCTCAAGAGGTGCTGGCTGATGCACGTGCTGGAAGACAGATGATTGCAGATTTGGCTGACAAGAGCCTTTCTGCGGAGAGAGTCACCGGTACTCTCAAGGTAAGGCATCTTGACCACCCCTTCCTCTCGTTATCTGCAAAAGAACCTTCTTATTGACATGCTCCTCCAGGTCCTGTTTGATCAGTTACCAGAGCGGGCTGGTGATCTAGCCCACTCACGCCCATCATCCACAACAAAGAAGAGGACGGCACCTAGTGTTAAGATGCCAAATAATAACCCCATCCCCGTCGGCATGACTCTACATAGGCCAGACGAGATGATGCGAAATAGGAGTGGTGGCATGTCATTATACGGAACCTCGCATTCCAGGGGCTCTATGGACAGCAGCATGGCGCAATCATTAGAGCACAGTTATCCGGAGCCTTCGTTTACTAGCAGCTTGAATGACATGATGCCGATGGACTTGTCGTCACGAGCTACGCCAGATTCTACGAGTACTGCTGAGAGCACACACCGACACCCATTCCAGCCACATCATCTGAGCGCGCAGAACATGCACAGCAATCCTGTGCATAAGATTGACTCTTTGATGTTTCCTTCGGACGACCCGTTTGCCTATCCTAACCAACCGATGATCGAATTAGGATTCTCAGGGAAGACTGACACTTCCGTGGCGTTGCCCCATCCACCTTCGGACTCGACTTTCTTCTTTCCTGCTTCACTGGACGACATGGGAGATCAGTTTATGGGACAACCTCCGCCATACATGATGCCACAGCAGCAGCAACAGCAGCATCCAAACGCAATGGCTATGAACATGCCAGGCAACATGTACGACCCCAACGTCATGATGGGGATGCATCAACAGGCGCCACAACAGCAAATCCCACAGCAGCAGGCGCGACGGCCTGGTGGGCTATCTCTGCGACGGCCGATACGGGGTGAAAGGCATCAGGAGCGGCAGATTGAGCAGATGTTTACGGATCACGGCATGCAACCCGACTGGGGGAGTTTCTTTGGTTCTGGCAGGGGTGGATTTCAGGGAATGTGAACGACTGCCACATGATACCCATTTTTTTCACGATATGAGACGGAAAGCCTTGCGGTCTGCCGGGAGGGGGGAAGGGCGTCTATTCAGTTTCCCGTTTCTTTATTCTACTCCTATCCCCTTTTCTCTGTGTTTGATAATTCATTCCTTGGACAATGTGGGCGGGAAATGTCACAACATGAATTGCATGTTAACGACTACCATTAACTCTTATACCTCAAACATTATGGCGGGTGTTTTAGAATTCATTGGGTCTCATCTTTTATTTTTCATTTTCAGCTGCACTATCATCATATTTTCGTTCCATCATTTTTCTTTATTTTTCCTTTTTTTTTTTTTTTTACTTCCCCATCTGGCGGCAGGCACAAAACGAAAACGCAAAACAGCAATTTATACGAGCATATCACAGTGCGTGTGTGTAGATAAAAGGGAAGGAAGAGAACTTTTTGTTTTTGTTGATCGACAAATGTACATTGGTCAGACGTCGAAGGTGATTGTGTCCCAGCGGACTGCAAGCCAATATCCAGGTACATAGCAATACAAAAAAAAAATAATTAAAAAACAAAACAACAACAGAATCAGTATTCGTCACCGCTTTACGCACACTTTCTTTATCCCATCGTCATTTCACATAATAAGCATCGTATTGGCAAAGATGGCTTTTATTAGTTCCAACCTTGACGTGGTTGGTTGTCTTGTTTCTTGTTTGTTTCCATGTATCGTTTTCAACGTTCCAATGCTCCGCCACGGGCATTTCATGGATTGATTACGTGTGCCTCTTAACGCAGAAAGGCATGTTGGACCGGCGAAACGGCCGACTGAATGTCCGACTTTTTTTTTTCTCTCTCTCTCCCTCTCTTTTTTTTTCTGGCGAGGTCGGTTCGGGTTTCTCGTTTTGGTAGGTGGCCGGTTCGGCACCGAGGACAGTGCGAGGTAAAGAGGGTCGGTTCGGTGAATTGCATTTTGGGTGGGAATTTTCCTTCGCCGCTGCCTTTTCGGTACGAGGGATGCATGTATAGACTGCATGGGAGCGTATGCTGCTTAGTTCATATTCGAGTTTTGCGTATTCTGTTTTTAGAATCTATGGAGGCGTAATAGAATTCCTTTTTTTGTGAGGTGGTCTGCTCTGCTGTGCTGTTATTTGTACGTACATAGAGACTTGACTGCAATTTGCGTGAGGCGGGGATGAAGCAGTAGCCGATGCGAGCTGCCGTGGATATCCGCTACGATAGGAACTTATGTGTGTGTTTGAAGAAAAAGGGACGTAGTGAGGACTTTTGTGTTATATCTTTGTATGTATGTGGAGTTCTGGAGTATAGTCGTTGGTTAGAAACTACCTAGTAGCGGGCATTGTGGCGCTAGCGGGTGAATTCTGATGTAGTTGTAGCGATATAAACTGTTATCATGTGGATAGGAGAGAAATGGAAATCTCACTCTATGAGAGACTCCCACCGGGTGAAAAAATGTGGTTTGTTATCTGAATTTGCCTTGTTGCGGTATGTACATACGTGCAGGGCTTAAGCACTACTGTAAACTAGTATAAGCTGCCTCGCCGAAGGAATGGAAAAGGGTGCATATACATATATACATGATAGAGTCCAGGGGCTGCATCTCAGCTGGATGGATCTGCATAGACGAGTAATCTCAATCTTCCTCTTTATTTCTAATTCTCAGCTCTGCTCTTTTTCCGTCACAGACTCTGGTCTAATCCAAATGTGAAGCCAGACGCGGTTCGGCCCCTGACGCCGGATGGACGCCTGGGCGCTAGGCCGAAAAGACGCTGGTGCTCCCTTTTCCTGGGGTAGCTGGGCCATTAGATAGCGGGCGATAGGAGATACAGCAGTACGGGGGAGACGTCAGGCACAGCGCTGGGTATTTAGCATGTCACTCACGTGCTGGTCTCATCTACTATCAGCATCATTGCTAGCATCGCCATTAGTTTGTGCCTGACCAAGGGCGCAGAGCAGAAAGGCAGAGCCAAATTTTGTCGCATTCTGTAGCAGAGATACCTGATATCGATATAAACACCTGGCATGATGGAAGACCTCGACTTCAGCTTCATCCTTGATGACGAGTTTGATGCAGTGTAAGCGCTGCTATCTCCTGGGCTCTCTCCCAATGACGGAGTGACGGACTGATTTGTGATCAACAGTACAATAGCGAGAAGGGATGATTTCGAGACTTGGAAGACCAAGAAATACCCTGGTAAGTAACAGAGAGATGAGAGAGCATGAATTGATAAAGATTGGCCCCATGACGAATACTAACGACTCTATTCGTCACCGCCAGCCAAGGAGCATGCGCGCAGAGTCGCCAAGGAGCTGGACATTAGCGACGGCATCATTTATCTGCCTGGCCGAGCGACTGAAAACTACGAAGATTCGGACCAGCCGCCGCCGTTGAGACAGCGCAGATAGTACGTCTGACTACCTTAGTATCTACACGTATTTCACTGCTAACCACAGAAACGCAGCTTCTTCTATCTCACCGGCGCAAACTTCCATGACTGCTTCGTCACATATGAGATCCGCGCAGACACCCTCACCCTCTGGATCCCTTACGTCGAGCCCCGCCAGGTCCTCTGGTTCGGCTCAACGCCCGACGCTGCCAAGGCGAAGCAGCTCTACGACGTCGATGATGTGCGCTACTCAACTCAGCTGGACAAGTTCTTCGAGTCGCGCTTCTCCTCATCGACCCAGCTGTTTGTCCTGCATCCGGACCAGACGCCAACGAAGGCTAAAGAGTTGAAATTCAAGATCAACGACTGGAAGCTCCAGCCTGCCATGAACAATGCGCGATGCATCAAAGATGAGTATGAGATTGCCATGATTCGCCGTGCCAATGAGGTTTCCAGCGCGGGACATCGAAAAGTAGCTGAAATGCTTCTGCGTCTTTCCAATGAGCGCGAGATTGAGGCTATTTTCCAGGCTGTGACCACTGCGCGGGGAGCTCGCTCGCAGGCTTATCCCGTGATTGCGGGTTCGGGCGTGAATGCCTCAACGCTGCACTATGAGGATAATGACCAGCCTCTAAAGGGCAAGGAGCTGGTCATTCTTGATGCGGGATGCGAATGGAATTGCTATGCTAGCGACATTACTCGTACGCTGCCTATCAAGGGCCAATTCTCAGCCAACGGCGCGGCTGTATACAAAATCGTCCAGCAGATGCAGGAAGAATGCATCGCTGCCGTCAAGCCCGGCATCAAATTCTACCAGCTGCATCTCCACGCTGCGGCGGTTGGCCTTAAGGGTCTCCATAAGCTCGGTATCTTGAAGGGCGACATTGTTGAGATTGCCAAGGCCGGCACCATCACTGCATTCTTCCCACACGGGCTGGGTCACCACGTCGGCCTGGAGGTGCACGACGTCGCAGGCAATTTGCCACTGATGATTCTCGTAAACCTGGGCCTGGATGGCGGAAAGCGCGATATGATTTCTGCAGATATGCTGAAAGCCATGAGGATGTATGATGAAGAGCTGGTGCCTTCGCGCCTGAAGTCGGGTAAGGAGAGGCAGGTCCTGAAGCCAAACATGATTGTTACCGTTGAGCCGGGCATGTGAGTTTTTCTTTTCTTCTCCTCCTTCAACTTGAGTATACTAACACGGGAGATTTCTAGCTACTTCTGCCGAGAGTACATCGAGGGCTACTACCTCAGCAACCCAGATCACGCCAAGTTCATCGACAAGAATGTCCTCGAGAGCTACTATAGCGTTGGAGGTGTTCGTATCGAAGACGACATTCTTGTTACTGAGGATGGATACGAGAACTTGACGACGGCGCCAAAGGGCGAGGAGATGATTAGTGTTATTAATGCAAGGGAGGGTAAACAGTAGATTGTTCTTATGAGTCTTGTTTTATAGAGGAGGTTAGAAGATTGGGTATCATGATATACATTGGGGTAACACTGTTGGGATTTGATTGGGTTGAAGTACAAGTTTGTTTTATAACGGCATAGATACCGCACCGGAAGATTGCTTATTTACTATATTAACTTATTATTACGATAAATTACTCGCCTTGATTGGTAGACTAGGAGTTAAAAGCACGGAAGCCAGTCATAATCTAACTAGATTAAAATTGATAAATTAAGCTGATTTAACATTTTGTCCCGTTTCATTAGTTTTGTTCAATGTCATCAAGATTGTCCAGTAAAAACAAGGGTATTCCATTCAACTTTGCTTACTTCAATTTACATTTATTCAGTCTCGTCACCATCAATTCTATTTACAATTGCCCTTCTCTCTATCGCACTCCATCTCCTCTGGCAATTTGTTCATCTGAGAACCCCTCCTTTACCTCCTTAATATAAGTGTCAAACTTGCCAGTCACCTTAATAGCATACTTCAAATGGCTCGCTGCCATCGTCCTGCCTTGGAACTGAGCCCACTGCCGGGCAGTGGTAATGACATTGCGTATCTGTCGCCCATTCATCTCCCGCTCCGATAGCTCACCGATGTAGCTCTCGACGTCGTCATAGTTGATATTGTCCTCTTTAAGGGCCTTGAGATGGCGGAAGAAATTGCGCCAAATTTGCGCTCGTTGTGATTGACTCAGTGGCTCGTAGTGCAGAGCCAGCTGTATGCGCGACTTGAAGGCCTCGTCGAAGGTGCCGACGCGGTTCGTTGTCAGGATGAGGATGCCGTCGTAATATTCTAATGCGCGGAGAAAGACGGAGACGAGAGCATTGCGCGCCAACTCGTTGAGAGAGCGCTGCTCTAGAAACACCTCTGCCTCGTCCAACAAGACGACGCATCCCCAGATTTTGCCAAGATGAAAGACTGACTCTAGGTATTTCTCAACATCTTCTGGGTTGGTTCCAATATCGCCGCAAGTGACAGGGTAGAGAGGCTTCTCGGCTATCTCAGCCACGCTCTCGGCCGTGAAGGTCTTGCCTGTCCCTGGCCCTCCATGGAGAAGCATGATTAGGCCATTGCCTTTGTTCTGCATCAGGTCGGTTCCTCTCTCTGCCGCAACCTTATTTGAGACGAGGGCCTGAACCAATTCCTTTGTTTCAGGGTCTGCGACAAGGTGATTAAAAGCGTCTTTATTCCACGATACTTCTTGAATTAGATCGACGTTGAGGTCTTCTGAGTTGCGATATGTTAGCATCGATGAGGCATTCGTCTCGTCTGGCTGATTTATGCATACGTACCCCATTTTTTCCGTCGTAGACTGAAGCCAAGAATCGTCCGAGGTAGTAGATATATATCAGGATAAGATGGGGTTTCTTGCTCTCTGAATGCCAATTGTGCTTTGGATTCATGCGTCGAAAACCGTTTATCTCCAGATCCAGGATGTAGCGCTCGATAGGTAGGATAGTCTATCATATAGCGCTCTCCGGTCTGTGTATATAATTCAGTAATCTTGGCATCTCGTCTGCTCGATACTCTAAAACAACTTACAGCATGATCTCTATTCTTTTCTTTATTGGCATACGAAATATATTTCCTGTATCGACAGCTCCAAAAAACTTTCCCTCGCTGCTCCAGAGATTCACGCAGCTCATGCGGGGCGAATCGAAGAGGAAATATCCTCAAATCCAGAATTGGAATTTCTGTATTTGTTGTATCTGTATCAAGTCTTATATTCAGTCTTTTCTTGGCTCGGTAGAACTTGCCATCGTATTTATATGACCACACATCAACTCCCCATTGTTGTTGAGACCTTTTTCGTTGCGAGATATTGCCTGAGTCGCTTGAAGAGCGTTTTGAAAGATGGTCTCTCACAGCATTGGGTTTATCATTGCCAAGCCAAGATACTGCTAGATACGCTTCGATACAGTCTTCATCCTTATCGATTAAAATGTCTCCAGGCTCAATCAGGAAACTGATAGAGATTTCTGAAACCATTCCGTGCTCGAATTGCTTATCGACTTGACTGTAAATCTCATTGTAATTGGCATCTATCCAGTTCGTTAGAGTCCGAATAAGCTCCGATTGACCCTGTGATAGACTGTCAAAGATATTTGGTTGGTTTCGGTAATAATACCACCAATGGTATGGTGATTGCATATCTTGCTTCAATAAAACACTGGGAGGTTTCTTTTTCGAGTTCTCGTTCTTCTTGATAAATGCCTTCATGGCTCTCTTCATATCCTCTGAGACGAGTCGTATGACCTCATTTGTGGGAGTTGGATCGGGAATCTTATTTTGTCGCAGAGCTTCGGCGTTGTCTGTCGCCATCCCTTTATCTCTCGAGTAATAGCGATAAACAATAAATGCAGGAGACTTATATCGGATATATGCATCAGGATATAGTATCAGTGAATGCGCTTTCAGCTGGAGCTCATCGCCAGTTACAGCCCAGTATGGCTTCTCAAGATAGGTCTCTTCCCCTTCTTGGTTTAAAATGCAGTGGAAAACCTCGAAATTGGCGACAGGTTTACCTTCTTGTCGCCGCAGCGCCTCATTCTCGCTTTGGAGTGCTCTGATTTTTTCATGTAGAAATACAGCCAAAGAATCAGGTTGGCTTGGAGCATTGACAATATTAAAACTTGCACCGCTAGTGTCATGTTGATTGGCGGGTAGCATGCTGGATTCGAGTCCACTCCCCATCTCCAAAGGATAACTCAAGGGACCTTTTTTGGATACGGGCATTGAGCTCGATACTTTGCGGCGAATTGAATCACTTAGATTTGTAAAGTCTGCCCTATGGTCTTGTAACGCTTGCTGTTGCGATTTGAGGCGCGCCCACAACTGAGCCGATGAAGATTTTAACTCCTCAGTCTTAAACTCCAATCCATCTGGTATAACCCCCCGCTGTTGATACTGCTTATTCTCTCCCCCTGTTCGTAAGACCTGGAGTTTATCTTCCCCAGAGGTCCCCAATGAAGTCTCATCTCTGGAGATTGTGTAATGGCTCGCGAGACCCTGCTTGAAGGGCTCGTCTCGGGGTACAACACCAGTAAAGCGGAGATCGCGCGCCGGGCTTAATGTCGCATAATATGAATTCATTATGATTCAATGCACAAGTATGTAGAATGATTTTATCAACAAAATGAGATTAAATGACGAACCATGAATCTATAGGTGCCTACATACCTTATATATAGATCCAAAATAATTCCTCCGAAGTAGGGTGCAGGAAGCCCAAGGCAGACACGCATAGTGCCTGCTCTGCTCTCTTGGCTAAAGAACCTAGAAAATACATGGATCTATGTCACATGCCGTGATTGTTCGCCAATAATAGCCAGCGTTGCTGCCTGCATCCTCCTGGCGCTCAGCCTTGTTGCCATTTCTGCTGAGACGCCCTGCATGTACATGTACATGTATACAATACCAAGCCTCACCGCCAGCGCCCATGAGCTTTGGAATTTCGCCACCTTTGGAATTTCAACATATCGTGTATTTACCACGATTGGGAAGCAAGCTGGGGAAGCTGTCTCCATATGCTGATATATATTTTCTTTATATCAATATAATCTTTTTCTTCTGGTACCTTCTGAGATCCTTATTTCTGCTTAAGCCTTGATATCTCCCCTCATTCGATTTCGCTGCCAGCCGCTCGGTAACTACTTCTGGATGGCGTTCACAGACAATTTTCAGCAATGGTATACTTCTGAAAGTCATGAAAAATCTGGCGCTATCGATTCCGAATCTTCATCTAGCGTGGCTGAAGAAGCGTTCCAAGCCGCTGTCAAACAACTTACAGAAGGCGGCAGTCAAGGGACACATGTAAGACGCATTCTTCAAAACGCTGCATCCCTACAGGATATTCAAGAGGTGGTGGGCAAATCCATGCGTGTGTATGAGGCTAGAGGAAAAAATCCAAAGACCATAGAATGGCTTCGCAGAACTGCGACAAGCATCGTCCACTATTCGAATGTATTTGATGTGTTTGTTCCACAGAATCCTCAATATGTATCGTTTGCCTGGGGAGCCATGAAATTTCTATTCACGGTAAGCAGCAATTTAGTTTGAAATGGTGCTTTAATACCTACTTACCTACATAGAATGTCAGGGACATTGCTGACTGGATAACTTATACATATTTTAGGCGGCTGCTGAGCATGAAAATACCACTCAGTTGTTAGCAAAGTCCATCGCCCAAATTGCAGAGAGTCTCCCACGAGTCCATCTTTCATCAGACCTTTATCCAACGCCTCAGATGAAAATAGCCCTGGAAGAGCTATACGCCTCGATTCTTAGCTTCCTGCTAAAAGCCTACGACTGGTATAACGAGGGCAAAATTTCGCACTTCCTTCATAGCTTCACAAGGCCTTTGCATCGTGTTCATGCTGATCTGGTTGATGAAATCGCGGCAAAGTCTCGAAAAATCGATAAATTAGCCGGTTCAGCATCACAAGCTGAACTTCGTGTAATGCATAAAAGAATAGCAGATATTCAGGCTCAGCTGCAATTAGTCACAGCATCACAGTCTGAACCTCGCGACCTGCATAACATATTCGCAGCTATTCAATCCCAACTGCATTTATCCGATACAAAGATGGATGACATTGTTAAGAAGATGACATGTGAGTTCAAACTAGAGGGAATTACAATTCTAAAGAAAGGACTCAGCTTATATTCTGTTAGCATATCACGCCATCCAATCAAGTACCATGCTAGACACCAACCAAAGAGTCTCAGATCTTCAAATATCACAAATACTCACCCACCTATCAAATGTTCCGCTTGATGACCCGCTGAAAAGCCTCCAGTATCATGTATTCTTTAGGAAACGAAGAGCTCAGGGAACAACCTTTTCCACAGTCACAAATCCATTCTGGCTCTCTTCTCGATTCCACTCACTATTCTCCACAGAAGACTCGGCCCTCGCCGTAATAAAGGGAAATTTCGCCTGTCGGCAAGTGTTGCAGGATTTCTGCGTCGATGTCATCGAAGACTTAAGAAGTTATAATATACCGACTCTCTGGGCGCTAAAGAAAGCTGCGACGCCTAATAATGCGCAAACTCAATTCTCCATCATGGACTTACTTAAATACCTGATAGTCCAAGCGCTCAAGCTTAACGAGGGCTTAAAAACGGAGAAAACAATGGCCTGGCGTTGCGCACAGTTTCAGAGAGCTGCTACCGCTGCTGAATTATTTCAACTTTCGGTGGCGGTGTTGAATGGCCTTGGCCGACAGGTTTACCTGGTGATCGATATGGAGACAGTAGAAGAGTCTTTGCAAAGTCTGGATGGCTTTAACATCGTGTCTGCGTTCCTGCAGTCATTTCATACTTCCCATTCTCCGAATACACGACTCAAAGTCATTATTGTACGGTACAGAGTGACTTCATCTGAGATGCAATTAGACAGTGATGCTGCTTTGGCAATTCTCCCAGTTAGATCATTAGGGCGAGGCAGACAACAAGGCAAAGAAGTTCGGCACAAGGTCAAAAGTGCAGTTCGGCGCGGAATTGCGAAGCGGAGAAATTGAACTGTAAATGGTGTGTTTATTTGATCCAACTCATGCATGCTATATAACTTAGATATCTACGGAAAAAAACAATTGTAAATACGCCTTTTGTTTATACAAAGAGCCGCCGTATAATAGCCCCTCTTCACATCGCACTCGTAATCTCACGTCAAAAACGTTAAGCGCATCATCGTCATCAGGTCCAGTAGTCAGCCAGTGCCAACTCACAAGTACTTCTTTGGCGAATTCGCTCTTCGTCGCTTGTACAGCACATAGCCCACCACCAAAACAACCTGCGTTCCGATAATCACAGCAATCAGCTTTCCATGTCCAGGAACGCTCTCCGCGACTCTCTGTGTCAAAGAGTTGTGGTGGACCCTCAGGGCGCCCTGTACCGATCGCTCGTTGTCCTGGAGCTTCTTGTGTAACTCATTGTTCATGTTGCGCACCTCGTTCTCCAGCGAAATAATGCGTTGCCTGAAAGAAGAGAGCTCATCAAGCAGCTCGACCTTGCTCTGCAGAGTGGCAAGCAGATCCTTGATCTCATTGTGGCGCTGCTCATCCATCTGGTGATGACGGGAGACGGAGCGGTAGACCGATGAGAGCTGATGGTTGGTGCCCTGGAGACGGTTGTGCAGGTCCTGAAACTGTGCCTTGGAGGTCTGGAAGACGTCGGCCTCTTGGTCAGCCACTTCCACAAAGGACTCATCGCCACTGGTAGACTTCTTCTGGTAAGCAAAGTTGCTGCGGTCATTGTTATCATTGTTGTTGTTATTATCGTTGTTGTTATTGTTGTTGTTATAGTTGTTATCACCGTTGTTAGAATTGGTGTCGTGGCTAGAGGTATCCGACATGACCACCATCTTGAAAATCTCAAAAGAGTCGGGGTTGTCCGGAGTGGAGGCTGTCACACCGACATCGTATCCCGTGGGCAAGCTGACCCGGTCAGTCTCAAAGCAAGTTTTGCCATCAATCTGAACACGGAAGCCGGTTGACGTCTGGCGCATCTTGATCTGCGATGGACGGCCCAAGTTGCGGTAGCTATACTGGCAGTGGCCAAAGGCCAGCTGATCCACGCTGTGGTGCTGCGAGTAGTCCACAGATCCATCGTTGAGGAAGCCACGGAGCATTCCGCCTTGGCCGCCATGCGAATCAACCACCAGCACCAGTCCCTCAAACCTGCCGGCGCTGTAGACGCTCTTGGCGCCAATGTCTTTGCCATGGTTTGCCAGCCAGATATTGAAGTTGCCTCCAGCTCGATCGGGGCCACTAGCACGAAAGTCGACATCGACAATGAAATTCGAGTGTTTCAAGGGCTGCTCGCTCCATATCGCACCGCGCGCATTGCCTGGCGCAACGGGGGTGAGGATGACCTTGCTGGAGAGGATCTCGGGTTTGTTCGGCTGGCCAGAGACGACAAAGTTGGGGATGACGCCAGGGTTGTCTGCGGGGCTTATTCTAAAGGGTAGAGACACATTAGCTGCTGTATCCTGAGCAATTGAGTCGGACCGGCGCCAACATACCGCCCTGCATATCCAAAACTCAGCTCGCTGATGAGGTACTGGGCCTCAGTAAGGCCGGCACCCAAGAGGGCAGCCAGCGGCACGGAGAATCGCATTGTGGAATTGGCGAGGAGGGAATGTTTCAGTCCAGATCAGCGCGGCAGATGGAGGCAGAACCAGACACTGAGAGACGAGAATCGAAGAGTTCCACAAGACGAGAGTCGCCAGCTTTCAGCCGTTGATATAGCCGCGACTTGCAGAGGACACTTTGCACTAGAGATGCGCCTTGCGACCAGCGCCGCCAAATGGCCGGTGCCAACAAAAAATAAGGAAAAAGAGGAATGAAGAGGCTTGAAAGAAACAGGCTTCCAAGGCGTTGGCAAAAAGAATAGAGGAAAAGAAGCTGCACACAGACCACGGACAAAAGCCAACGAAAAGAGGGAAAATGAAGCGCAAAAGAGACTACCTGGCATCTATTCGCAGCGCGTCCAACGAAGCGATTCTCCAATAGCCTCGATGGGCAGGAGCCACTTACACCGCATCCCAGCTGTGGCTAAAACGTGGCGGGGGAAGTCTCTAACGCGCTAGGCCACAACAGGCAGCAACGTGAATCAAGGGTATGCATGGGGTAGAAGGTGTGGCTGCTCCAACTGCCTTATGTAATCCGCCCTTGAACTCCAAATGGTCGCAATTTGTTCTCTACACTCTGCCCTCGCTGCTCGGAGCGTCGTTTGGAATTGCGCAACTCTCGGTATCGACGCAATGCGGTAGCGTTTCCGCCCAGCTACAGACACAATGGCCGAGTCGTACCCAACTTTGACGCAGTGCGCGCTGGTGGCCGCCGCGTTCAAGGTGCTCCTGTTCCCGGCCTAGTGAGTGCACGCACATGCCAGCTTAGCTGTTTTGCTTGTGACGGGAGCTCGTCTCCAGTCATCACGAAGGTGGATTATCGACATAGGCTAACGCTTGTAACCTGCGCAGCAAATCAACCGATTTCGAAGTTCACCGCAACTGGCTCGCCATTACCAACAGCCTCCCCTTGTCGCAATGGTACTACGAGAACACCTCAGAATGGACCCTCGACTACCCTCCCTTCTTCGCCTACTTCGAGTGGCTTCTGGCCCATCTCGCGCGACTAGTGGACCCGGCTATGGTGCGAATAATCAACCTCAACTACGATAGCTGGGAGACAGTCTATTTCCAAAGATTCTCTGTCATTATAACCGAGCTGCTCTTGGTGTACGCCCTGCAGATGTTTATCGACTCGTCGTCCCTGCCGACGAGGAGGGCTGCTCAGGCCGCTGCGCTGTCCGTCATCTTGTCGCCCGGACTGCTCATCATCGATCATATCCACTTTCAGTATAACGGCGCCATGTACGGCATCCTTGTGGCATCCTTGGTGTTGGCGCGCTGCAAGTCTACGTTACTGCAGAGTGGCCTGCTTTTTGGCGCGCTCCTGTGCTTCAAACACATCTACTCTTACCTTGGGCCGGCCTACTTTGTCTTCCTTCTGAGGACATACTGCCTATCATCGAAATCCATCTTCCGAATCAAGTTCCTGAATTGCGTCAAGCTTGGACTTGGACTTGGAGGAATATTTGCGGCTGCCTTTGGGCCATTTGCGCTGATGGGGCAGATCCCCCAAGTTCTCAGCCGCTTGTTTCCATTTTCTCGCGGTCTGTGCCATGCCTACTGGGCACCCAACGTCTGGGCGCTTTATTCCCTGGCTGATCGGGTTTTGATTTACTGTAAGTTCAGACTCAAGCTCCAAATGACCTTCTGCAGCAGAACGATACGAAAAGAAACTAACAAAAACAGTTGCGCCAAAGCTGGGACTGCCATTAAATGCCGAAGCTCTAAACAGCGTCACTCGTGGCTTGGTCGGCGACACTGCCTTTGCAGTTCTGCCCGAGATTAGCCCCAGGACGTGTCTCGTCTTGACGCTATTGTCTCAAGCCCTGCCCCTGATCAAGCTGTTTAGACGGCCTACCTGGGAAAATTTTATCGGAGCTGTGACGCTATGCGGATATTCGTCGTTCCTTTTTAGCTGGCATGTGCATGAAAAGGCAATTCTCTTGGTCATCATACCCTTTAGCCTGATTGCCTTGACGGATCGACGGCACCTCAGTGCATTCCGACCGCTGATCGTGGCAGGATATGTGTCTCTTTTCCCGTTGCTTTTCACTCCCGCAGAGTTCCCGATCAAGACGATATATACAGTCTTCTGGTTGGTGCTATTCCTCATTGCCTTTGATCGCCTGGCACCCGCATCGAATAAGCCACGCGTATTCCTCTTGGACCGGTTCAGCACGCTTTACATCGCAATAAGCATCCCCCTGATTGCGTATACCTCCCTGTTCCACCAAATTATATTTGGGAAGCGACTAGAGTTTCTTCCCTTGATGTTTACGAGTTCCTACGCGGCGATAGGAGTGGTGGGCAGCTGGGTGGGATATATGGTTGTGTATTATACATCGTGAGGATTGTATCTGGATGGGAAAAAACCGAGGGCATAATGATACCCCAAGACTAGATAGATAAAAATCGTTTGAATTGTATTCTCATCTCTTTTTGCTGCTGTGTTGTGGCCTTGGTCGCCAAATCTTATGCGTCGCCTGAAGTGCGGCTTTGAAGCCAGCTGAGTCATCAGGTAGGGTCGGGACGTGTGGGGCGCTCCACGTGAGGCGAGGCTGAACGATTCCCGTTTTGTGCTTGGCGAGTGGCACTAACGCTGAGGCTGGGGGTGACATTGACGGGGAATGAGACAAGAAGCACAAAGTGCCTGCGTTTGGAGAGATAAAGACGAGATTCGGCAAAGAAAAGAAAGCTGTGGATGAGCTGTCTTGCTCAATTGGCAAGATTAGGCTCTGTATCTTGTTTCCTTTAATGGACGATGCAAAGGGTCGCAGGCGGAATGACGTCAGGGCTAGTGCGGCGAGTTGCCCAATTTGGAAATTAGGGGATTTGCTGAAAACATGGACCGTTGCTGTATTTTCCAGGCCGTCCATGGCATCGCATGTAGTATACCACTCATGAATGCGTGTGGTGCCGTGTAAGCGTGCCGCTCGCTGCGTGGAAAGAAACCGCTCTGTATGCGCTGTAGCTGCAGCCTCAACGGCGCTCGCTGCACACGTCGCGTCTCTCACTCCAGAGTGGCTCCCGAGGAGGAGAACCAGCCCGGCTCCGCCAGATTCGACCTACCTGCCGCCGCCGATCCGCGCCGTGCACGTAACGGGACATAAATTAGCGAGAATTTGATAAATAAGCTCAGTTCAATTTGTGCATTATTCTTTGGAGCCCTGGGAATAAAATGAGTCCAAAAACGCGAGTGTTATGACTATGTGCGGAATAGTTGCGCGTGTTGAAGAGTAAAAGGTGGATGAATGGGTTCCGGGCTATTTTTCACATCTTTTTTCTCAGGCCCTTGTTTTTTGGGGGGAGGACGGGCTACGGAAGGCCGGGGGTGGGAAGGAAGGGGGAAGGAAGAGCGAAGATTGGACGGTGGCAGACAGGAATTTTGGCCGGCATGTTTCCGTGAGGTGCTGCGGTACGGACGAGGTACTTCATTGAGGATGTTGCGATTGGGGGGTGTGCAGGCGTTATTCGAGAGTAACGCGGCAAGAAAGATGGGGGGTTTTTTCTTGATGAGAATTATGAATATGGCTTTGTATTTGAGAGTGAAGGAGTCAGAGATGCTTTAGAGTTTTTTTTTTTTGTCTTTGATTGCATCATAATTTGTGCCTTTGTTTTCACAGCGACAGCACCAACGCTATTGACGATGCCTGGTGTAATGAGCACCTCTTTCGTCTGTCTATACCTATCTACAATTTACCGTCAAGTGCGCCGGCTTCTGATCCTAAAATACGAGGAAAAAAAAAGTATCTTCTATGCTATCTGATATCTTGGTAACACTACTAATGTCAAGCCATTCAGTATCAGCTCATTTATTCAAGAATGCCAGTGTCCTCTTTGTTCTCTATTCTCGCGAGGCAATCGACAACAAGTACCCCTCAGGTACCCTCACCTCCCACGGTACCGATCGAGTACGAGTACCGCCTGCCGACACCAGCCAAAAGCCCCCTTCTAGGCTGTGTGGCTACCGAGCACCAGCCCGCTAAACCGCTAGACGCTGGTCTCCACGGCGGGACGCATTTTCCCTCCCAGCATTACCTAAAGGTCCCGGAACTTGAACTCTAGTTCGTTCCGTGGCAGCTCTTCCTCCCACCCGCGCAATTCTTTTTTTTCTCCTCCTCGTCTCCATCTGTTGCACGTCACTCGGTCGCGTCGTCTCGAGGCTCCAGCCCGCTGCCACCACCGCCTCGCATCCCGGATCTGCAGAACATGCCCGCTGCCGATCTCGCCGTCTTCCTGCCCGGACCGCGTTCCCTCTAAAGCTGCCAGTTGCAGCCTCGTGTAAGTGCGGATCAAGCATCTGAACGACCCGCCTGCCAGGCACCGCGACTTTTCCCCCAGCCCGCCTCCACGCCCTCGAAACCGCGAGCCACGAACACGAAGCCGGCCGAATTTCTTCCACACAGCATTTTTTATATCGCCTATTCGCAGCGTGCTCACGACCGAAGCTGCAGCTTCGCATCTCGCCAGTGCCTCTCCCGGATGCCTGTTCTGCCGGGTCCCTCGATTAGATAACGCGCTAAGCTTCCGGCTTCCTCTGCTCCTGATTTGGCCTCGACGGTGAATCTGCGACGCCTCTTTTTCTCACCTTCTTCACCTCCCCCGACTGCACTCTCGACTCCCATTCCCGCCCCGGCTCGCAAACATGGTATGCAGTCACCGCCAACCGTCCGAAGATTGCCCGCAGCTCACTTACACGCTACTATAACAGGTGCTCTATAAAAGGAAGCCGGTGCAGTTCTTGCCCCCGGCTGAGGTCGAGGACGAGGACACCGAGGTATGCCAAACAAGACTGATTCACCGCTGGGTCGCTTGCAGCAAGAATTATGGCGAGCATGGAGGCTGACTTGGCCTGATATTGGCTGCGCTTTAGGTCTGGCAAATTCCTCAGACAGGCGAAATATTTGTGTCTTACGAAGAATATTTAAATCGGTGAGCCTGCCTTGTTTCTGATTCTGATGCGCCGCATTGCTGACAACTTGCCTTTTTTGAATCCCTCTAGAATGGATTTTTACAAACAGGTGACTAGCCTCGAACCCGCCCGGTCCCATCTGTCGCGCGCAAGCTGGTCGTGGAAGCGTATACTAAAACTGGAATTTATAGCGTCGGTTCAATGACGAAATCACAGGCCATTCCGGCCTTACCTTTTTTGAGGCTCTCACCAGCGAGGTTTGTTTCACTTATACTTCCACTTTTAGCTGATCCCTAGCTCATATAGCTGTGACAGCGCGCTGGTGGTCAAGAAGTAGAGGCTGCTTTCCCCGAAGCGCTCAAGGGTCCCATTCTCCGCAAAGTCCAATTCCAGACCATTTCTCGCCTGGATAACCTCGTGGACATGGTATACGACGAATTTAAAGCCGACTTTTATCCCGGAGAGGATGTCTTTGTCACCCTTGACGAGTTTAACAACGAGCGACGCCCCTGTTTAGTGCGGGAGAAGACAACCTTTGGTGCCAGAATCTTGCCAGATGGGTCGAGCTCTCTCCCCACAAGCCGGTATCTGGTTGTTCTCGGCGGAGGCTCAGGAAAAGAGCAAATCGTGACTGATGATAACCTTAGCCGTGAGCGTGGTGCCTTCACAAAGTCCATGCTTCGGTCTTTCATTAAGAGAACAGTTACCAGGGAGGCGTGGAATGGCGCGCCATGGCTTGTAAAGAATGATTACGCTACCCAATACCACATTGATACTAGGATCCCCCCTCACCTTCGGCACGACACCAAAATCCAGGAACGTAGGCAGCTTCTGGCGCAGAAGCGCGAGCGAAACTCACTGGACGTTGTAAATGGACACGGCGCCGTGCAGACTGGCCCGGTGCGCCTACCTGAGTTAAAGCCTGCTCCCAAAAGCCACAAGGGAAAGCAGACTCCTGGCGGTTCAGGGACCAAGGGCCTTAAGTGGCCTGGTGATATGGTCCATGATGGTGTGAATGGTACTGGCTATCCACGACACGACGAACAAGTTGCTGTACCGCGCGAGCCGACGCCTCCACCCCCGCCTCCTCCACCGAAATATCCCATCGAAGACCTGCAACTTGAGCCCCGGGCTGGAATTGTGCGTCCTCCGCTAAAATTCATATGCAGAGATCCTCCCGTCGAGGTAGAAGACGATGTCGATCGCCGCCAAGCCCACCTTATCGATCTTATCCATCGCGGACTTGACATGGAGAGCGTCGGGCCTCTCTTGGAGACGTGGGATACGCTCAATGTTTACTGCGAAATCTTCAAACTTGATTCTTTTACTTTTGATGACTTTCTCGAAGCGATGGAGGTTGCTTATTCCAGCGGTCCAGTGCAACTGTTTGATGAGATTCATTGCGCGGTTTTGAAGATTCTCGTTGATTCTGAGTCTGACGGCGGTAAGGTGCGAATCACGCTGCCAGAAGTGGAAGAGGAGGACAGCGATGAAGACGAGGATGATGAAGAAGAGGACGACGAGGATAGTGAGGAAGAAGACGCTCAGCCGGAGGACATTCCCGTGGCTAGAGCCACGCGCAGCAGCCTAGCAAAAATCGAAGCGGAGAGACTGGCAGCTGAAGCAGCGGCTGCTGAGGAGGAAGAGCTCCGAGCGGAACAGGAAACAAAGAATAGAGCGGAAGAGCTTATGAAGGAGTTTGACTGGATCGAGCACCTACGAAAACGAAACTTTCAGGATGGTGGCTGGCAGAGAATTTTAGTCGGTCTGCTGCACCAACTCTCCAAGAACGAGCGCCAACAAAAAGCATGCGAGGAGCTGTTGCAAAAACTGGTACCTGCTGAGATGGTACCATCTCTGGAGAATGTGAAGAAGCAGTATACCGAGCTGGATATCAATTATCGCATCAAGGCCCTGCAGATTATCTGCATGCTGACAATGGAGACAAAAGCTGTCCGAGGTTACATGGAAGATTGCAGCGAGACAATGACCAAGTACCGCAAAGACAAGATTGAGTGGCAGCGACAGCGAAAGCAAGTGTAAGTTGACATTTCTACCAATGCGTGATGTTATGCGCATGCTCTCTTACTGACAACCTCGCTTTACAGAACAGAAGAGCTTCGACAACTGAATGAGCAGCGTAAACTCTTAATGCCAGAAAATGAACCTACTGAAGAAACCAACGGTACCCCTGTCAAGGAGGAAATTGACGTTAAGATGGCAGATGCGGATGAATCAATCATTAGCAAAGATGACGAAGCCGAGGACGATCAAGATGAGAGCTCCAAAAAGAAGCGCCGGGGCCGTGTCTTAACAGATAAGAAGAAGAAGCATGAAGAAGAGGAGAAGCTCAAGAAGGCGAGAGAAAAGGCGCTGGAAAAGGCCAAACCGCAGCAGTCGAAGCAGTACATCAAACTTTTAAAAGAAATACAAAAGAAGGAGGATATCATAAAGAAGTGCGAAGAGGAAGTCGCTATCATCGATAACGATCTACGCGAGGCCGACTGTCCACGAACGCGGGTACTTGGAAAAGACAGATTCTGGAATCGATACTATTGGTTTGAGCGAAACGGTATGCCCTATGCGGGATTGCCTGATAGCTCTACTGCACATGCCGAATACGCGAACGGGTGCATCTGGGTACAAGGTCCAGATGATTTGGAACGGGAGGGATACATTGAGCTGCCTACCGAGCTTCAAAACGAGTACAAAGCCAAGTTCGACATGACAGTCCCAGAGAGGAAGGCCATGGAAGAGGGTGGCAGCAGCGTTTTCACCGCTAAGCAATGGGGTTATATCTCGGAACCAGAAGAACTGGACCAGCTCATCAAATGGCTGGACCCTCGAGGCTTCAACGAGATCAAGCTACGGAAAGAATTGGTCACCTACCGAGATAGGATAGCCAAGCACATGAAAAATCGGATAAAATGGATCACTGGCAAGGCAGTAGAAGATGAAGAAGGCGACAAGGAAGGCGACAAGAAAGATGAGCCAAAACGAACGAGACCAAGGGCCCGCGATAGGACACCTGAGCATCGTCCTACTTTTCGCTGTCTGCAGTGGGAAAACACGATGGCCCTGGATGAGCTGGGACACTTGCACAGTGAACCACCCCCACCTCCGCGATCTAGAAAGCAGACAAAGAAGCGAGAAGCGATGGCTGAACCAGCATCAAGACCAGCGACGAAGACTCGGCGCAAATAATGGAACCAGAGGCTGCTTTTTGCCTCGCGAGCTAGAATGGTCGTGTTTGATCGCACCGAAGATGAGCGGCGAGCACATAAATGTACATCTAAGTGGCTGAGTTGGCTCCTGGTTTACGAGCGGCAGGTTTTCAAATCTCTGCTACCATGGAGCGTTTGTCGGAAATACAGCGCCTCATGACAATTGGTTAGATGGACTTTGTATTAGATTTAGACAGGAGTTTGGGAACTGACATGAAAGAGAAGATAAAAAAAGGCATCCTTGTGTTTGGTTTTGTATATTTTCTTCATTCCCTTCGTTTATTGCGTGTTATAGGTGCTGTGCCAAGGAGACTTGTATATAACGCGTTTGAAAGCTTTTGGTGTTGGTTACACCGGAAGGGCTTGATTAAGAACAGCTTTGTTGAATGAAGGAGGATTTTCTAAAGTATTTGTACTTATGAGAGGCTTATGAGAAGAGTGATATTGCATTGTATGGATATTTGAGGTAGATTGCTAGGTAGTCGAGTAAGGCTGAATAAAGATTCTGACCTGGCTATTTACTACAGTGTTGAGATGTTTGTGGACGTTAATAAGATATGCAATTAATAACTGCTTTTCTATTCGGCTACAACATTTTTCTAACATAGTATCCCTACCCAGCCGCGTTGCACAGAGGCGTTTGGCCCTCACTATCCTTTGCCTCAATATCAGCTTCACCCTCAAGCATGAGCTGAACAATACTTTCACTGCCCTTCCAAACTACCAGCCATAGGGGTGTTTGACTCATATAACCATATCCATCAGCACAAGCTCCGTTTTCAAGCAACAGTTTAGTAACTCCATCATTCTCTCGTAAGATTGCCCAATGTAGATGTAGCGGCGCATAATTGGCACCTATTGCCTTGATGTTACACCTCTTTTCGAGACATGGTCTAACAAGGGCAGTAAGGTCATGATAAGATGCTAATTGAAGCTCGGAAACATTCTCGGGAGGGGCTTGAATTTGAATCACATATCCACATAGCAGGAAGTAGACTCTCGATCACAGTATAAAATGTTAACTGCTGTTGCTGTGGTCGCTAATTGGACGCGTAGATAAACTGGCATCGTCTCTATCGCTTACTCTCTCAGAGAAATCGGCGATGCTTTCTCTGCCTTCTAAGTCTTCTACTACGTAAGATAGCGAGAGGAAAGCTAGCGATTTGAGATGTTGGGCAATATGTCCCCAAAGAAGCTCATACGGCTTTTCCATCCTGCGCTTCTCAATATCTGGCGGAACAAAGTCACAAAGGGGACATACGAGGGGATCATCCCTGGTCGCTAGCCGTCGGTTTCGCCGTATACGTGCCAAAATTTGTGACCGTGTGAGCTTATCCCCATGGTAAGTATTTAGGTGATTTAAATACTCTGTTTTTGTTTCAAATTCCAGCGGGTCTTCGTTGTGATCAAGGTCGCAATACCATTTCTCGTGTGAATTTGTTCCGACCAATTAATTGAATGCCGCCTTAGCATATGATCCATCCAGGATTGCAAGCTAGTGAAGTATTGAAGAGGCTCAATGCAGTCCTCAGAAATACAGACATAGGGATCGATGTCTTGGTCAATATGAGTCCTGTAGATATATTAGAAGGCCTTCTAGATACACTAATAATTAAGGGATGTTATTACATACTTCCAAGCACTCTCTGTTAGAGTTGACAAGTCTATAGGCATGGTACAGATTGCGCAAGGCTGATGTCTTTCCCCGATTTTTGGCCTCGGCATAGGGGGATAGTCATTCTCATTAAGCGGGTTGTCTTGAAAAGACGAGCTTCTGCTAATGACTGTGCTTGGAGACTTTGACTCTGACCGATTGTTGCGAACTATTGCAGAAGGTGAGGCTAGAGAAGGAAGCGCACCAGGACCTCGGATGACCTTCTCCAGCTTCATGGGCCCCGCGTCCTTGTTAGGGGACACCTCTGGCGTCCTTACATGGTCCTCGCGCTCTTCCTCATCCACCATGGTCTCCAAGTTGTCTTCATTATCCCTTTGATAGGCAAGTTTCTTGTTATACTCCTGCATATACTGCAGCGATATCCCTCATGCATGGATGGAAGCTCCAAGCTGGCTGCAGAGGCTTTTCCGCGCGCAAGGAAATCTTGTCTGCACAAGCGAGACGCACAACGATTCATCCTGATTATGAGTGTGACGCGCTAAGCGGCGAATATTCACCGATAAAATATGAAGTTGGTCTATTGCAGCTTTGAAGGCAGGAAGTCCAGGGCTCAATTCTGTTATTTCCTCGGTGTTGTCGGGAGAGTTTACTGGAGACCTATCAGCGCCTTCTCGTGGTATTGTAAAGTATGGATATTACCCCATAGGAGATTATCTTGTATCATGTCTAGCAACTCGAGCACCATGTTTTTTATCACTATGTGAGGAGCTAATCTCGCATTGAGAGATGCCCTTGGCACAGCGAAAGCTCCAATATATGCCGCCCATTGATTAAATCGACCCCATAACTCTTCTATTTCTAGATAATCATCTCCCTCTGAATTTTCTTCTGCCTTGAGTCGATGTTCGAAATCCTTTAAACAGAGCTGTGCAGCATCGTAAATGGACTGGCCCGAGTCGTAGAACATAGAGCCTTGTTGCGGCTTTTCGTGCTGCGGAGAGGTACTCATGGTAAGATGCAGCAAATAGGTCCTCAATTATAGCGCCAGCACCTCGTCGTCCAGCCGCCAGTTTTATATGCCGACGGTATTGGGATGTGTTGTAATTCAGTTGTTGAACACAAACCGTGGCGTTGAGATGTTGAACACAAACCATGACATTGAGATGAACACAAATCATTAAATTGAGATGTTGAACACAAAATATGGCATAGAAGCAATCTAACTAGGCAAATTTCTCATCCTGGTCCTCATTGCGCTCTTGTTTTTTTGCCTCCCTCTATGGGCACGGCCATCTCGATCTTTCGCTCCTTCGACTGGAACCACCAGTAGATTTTTCGTAGGGTCTCGGCTTGGACACGCTGAGGCTTGCCATCTTGTTTGTATTCTAGCTTACGTCTGAAATCCAGCTCGCCCTTGCCCATGCCCTTGCCCTTGCGATATGCCTTGGCCTGCTTAGAGTTCGCTAGCCCAATATCTCCTACAATAATGAGGCCCTTCAACTAGTTAGTAATCATAAAACAAAACACACAAAGCAGACTTACTGATTTCTGTCGCGAAATCATGACATTTAGGCGGTCCACCTCACATGTGATACCCGGCCCAGATTGTTTGGGGTACCCAAAACAACACGCACGATATCCGTCTCTCGGCCTTGGTAAGACTCGACAGTCGGGGGCGCTACACGTCGCAGGACAGAATACTCTAGCTTTTCCTGGATCCATCGCTCTATGATGGTGACGTTGGAGTTGTACGGTGCGATTAGTAGAATAACAGTATACACAAGATCTAGGTATTCATGGATACAAACCTTCCCCTCTGTCCTTTCTTTCTTCTCCCCGCCTGCACCTATATTGTCTATACACACCATGAAAGCCATCTCATGGCACGACAGAAATCTTATATCAAAGCTATAAGCGATAATGCCACTAATGTGCCGCTTCAAAGCTACATCTACGCACGACGGAACGCTCTCTCCACCATGAAAGCTCTAGTGTGCTTATGGGCGTATCATCTTGTCCTATTCCAGCGGAGCAAACACCTTTGATAGACAGCTAGAGTAGCTCGTCTTTATAGGCCAGCACTATTCGAGACTGTAGATTTGAGCACACATTCTGCTAACAATCAATATCTACTGCTAAGATGGACGATACAGACCCACTCGACTCTGAGCCTCAATCTTGCCGCACCAAACCAGAATACTTGTTATATAAAAATCCTTCTACAAGCAATTGTAATGCTAAATTTGATAGGTGACGTCCGAGGCGATTGAGCGGTTTACAAAGACATTACAGATTATCATACATCGAATGTGTATGTATGTGCTCACCCAGCAGGCTGCTTGAAACATGAATGACCAATCATTGATCAGAGCAGCCTAATCCCTACAAATCGCATATCGGTAGTCTGCCTTAATGTTCCATTCAGCCCGACGCCCAATTACTCGGCGATACTTGCATCTCAGCCGCAGCATACCCCGCTTGGGTGCAGCAAGGCTTTGGAGGAACAAAGAGTGAGCCTTTAAGTGAGCCTTTGGGCGTGTGATTCGGAACATCACCAGTCCAAAGCAGCCTGTCTGCCTGCTGCGAGTATTCATGGCTCAATTCACGCAGCCCACAAGTCGAGACGACTTTCACGTGGCCGTAATATGTGCCTTGCCGAGCGAGGCCGATGCCGTCACGCTGCTCTTTGATCAGTTCTGGGACGAAGAGGGGGATCAGTTTGGCCGAACAAGCGGCGACAACAACACTTACATAACTGGCCGACTCGGCAAACACAATGTGGTTCTCGCCGTGCTCCCAGGCATGGGAACCAACACCGCAGCATCTGCGACCGCAAATTTACGGTCCAGCTACTGTAGCCTCAAGCTCGTTTTTCTTGTCGGCATCTGCGGCGGCGTGCCCAAAATCGCAGACTACGATGTGTTTCTGGGCGACGTGGTCGTAAGCAAGGCGATTGTCCAGTACGACTTTGGTCGACAGTATCCCGGGCATTTCGAAGTGAAGAAGAATGTTGAAGACAGCCTTGGGAGGGCAAACAAGGATATCCGCGGGATGCTGGCCGTCTTTGAAACGGAGCTTATGAGAGACAGGCTGCAAACCAAGTCGGCAATGTACTTGAAGCAGCTGCAAAGCGCTGCTGCGAAGAAGCGGCGACGAGCAAAATACCAGTATCCGGGAATCGCTGAGAACAGGCTGTATTTGCCGGCGTACGTTCATCGGCACGTAAAATCATGCGACATCTGCAGTGAATGCGACAGCACTTGCGAGTTGGCTGCCATGACATCTTGCGCCGATCTTGGGTGCGAAGCGGCCAAGCTTGTCAAGCAGGACATGCCCTTTGAAGACGACAGCAACTTTAGCTCCACCATCTTTATTGGACGGATAGGCTCCGGCAACACTGTGATGAAGAGCGGGGAAATCCGCGACTGGATTGCCAAAAAGCATAATCTCATTGCCTTCGAGATGGAGGGCGCTGGAGCGTGGGATGAAGTCCCGTGCCTGGTGGTCAAGGGCGTTTGCGACTATGCGGATAGCCATAAGAATAAGCGATGGCAAGACTTTGCGGCTGCTACTGCTGCGAGTGTGATGAAGGCCATTTTAGACCGCTATATTGTAACTGATGGGGGTCAACGTCCAGTTGCAGCTCAGCTCAATGGTGGTGGTGAGATTTCATATATTCTACTCACTATTTTTCTCTAAGCTAATGCAGTAGCAGGTCAGGGTAAAGGGAATAGCACTCGGAGCATTTCTGGAAATACATTTGGCGACAATGTGCGGATCGTTCAAGGCGATATGACTTGGAATGGAACTTGATAATATGAGTTTTACCTCTTGGTTGTGGTCGCTAGTCAATTTGAATAGATACCTTCTGTCTAGTTTCTGTTATCTGTATCTTGTACCTAAGTGTGAGAGACTTGTATCTTTATAAACTCAGCTAAGGTAGTAAATGATAGACAACCAAGTTATCAACAATAAACTCTTAATTAAGATGGACATTGCATCTTTAGTAGCTCCAAAAACGCACAACCACCCTGATCTTCTTTTTTTAATTGTGCTTGAATCACAGTCTTCGCCGACCAGGTCCCCCGGATTTACATTAGATGTATCGCTTAATCCCAAATCACGGTGACTGGAATTCCTAGAATCCAGCACCCTTGTTTCTGTTCTGTTCAAGCCAGGGGAGCTGGGAGACTTGATGATTGTGACTTGGTTTCTGCGGTCTGTATATACCAGCAATGAGTCCGATAATGTTGGCGGCCCTTTATCACCAATCCAGAACTCTATTGGTATCCATATGATACTTTCTCCACTTCTCCAAATCCAACTTCCACCCATGTGCCACTGTCGCGAAAGTTTGTCCCAATGCTCCCATGAGGAGTTTTTAAAAATGCAACGATCAGTCAGGATATCACCCGTAACAGGGTTAAATAACAACCAATCACCTAAATCTTTAGTTTCAACGCTGAACAAGGAAGTACCAGTAGCGATTTCCCGGATTTCCACCTTTCTCCTGGAACGAGAATCTTTACTAATGACAGCAAGAACTGTAGAATCAGAATTAGCAGAGAAGGCGATATCCTCCACCATCCAATCACCCCCCCACTCTTCAAATCTGTGCGCACAGTGGCCTATAGGTGGCTCCCAGATTTGCACTTCATGAGAATTGCTTAATGCAACGAATCTCGAACCCAGAGAAATCGCCACCGCGTGAAATGTATAGGGAAATTTATCAGTATCGAATTTATACAAATTCTCGCCAGATTTCACGCACCAAATCCTGACATGTCTCTGAGACTTTTCATACCCTGCGACCAGATAATTCGAATCATATGAAAAGGCTATCTTCGTCCGCTTAGAGCCTGGGCCTTGGAGCACCTGCATGACTTTCCCCGTGTTGACATCCCAAATCTGGACATCGTCTTTGTCTCCGACTCGTCGTGCAACAAAATCTAAGTTGGTAGAGAAGCATGGCTTACACCACTCAGACGAATTCCCACTTTTGATCACCCGAACTACCTTCCCACTCTCTGCAGCGATTATGTTGATATCGCAGCCCTGATGATCCATTGCCGCTACCAATTTTGAATCTACCGATATATGCTCAATAGACTTAGAGTAAAGGCTATTGTCAGCTTCGGTCAATGCCTCAGCTTTGCCAACGCGCCAAATAACCACATCTCCCCTTTCATCTCCAGTGGCTAGAAGCCACGACAGCTTTGTCCCATTCCAGCCTAGGGAAAAAAAACAGTTATAAGCGTATCTTATGAAAATGTTTTGCTGGAATTGGCCTGTCGCAGTACTTCCAAGCATTAAATTTAGGGGAGTACCTATAAGAAAAGTTGCAGAGTCGGGTGAGAATGCAAATTGATAAATCGCAGGGCAGAACCAGGTATTTTCCAACGTAACCCGGTGCTTTATTGTCCATGTCTTGGTGCACCTGAGCTCAATATTGTGTTTATCATATACGTAGGCAAACACTTCAGAATTGGGCGAGAATTGAGATTGTGTTTTGTACTCAAGATCATACCAATCGCTAGCCCATCGTTGAGGTGGCCGCTGAAGATGCTTTATATCTTTCCCAGTCTGGACGGAATAAATTGCGACACGAGCCTCATCTATCAAAGCTACTAATTCAAAATCAGATGAAAAAGCTGCACCAAAAATGTTTTGCGTATTTCCTAGACGAATTGCCTGTTTTTGAGCACCGGTCTTGGTCGTCCAGATAGTCAACTGTCCGATATCGCCGGCGTTGACTGATGCCGCCAGATCTCCGTTCCGTGATAGGGCAATGACCCTTTCTGTCCCGTCCACAAACTTCAGGCGAGATTGTTCTATCTGTGTCCGGTTATTGATGGACCATCTTTGCACGACACCTTTGCTCGACACGGAGATTAATTGACTTGAGTCAGACGAAAAAGCGATATGATGGCTCGTGTCAGGCTCAAAATTTATTTCCATTCCTTCTTCATCCAAGTTCAACTGAAATTCAAATTCTCTCACGCCTGATTTTGGTCTCCAAAAAGAAAGGGTGTCGTAATGTAATAAGCCTAATAGAGACGAGTCGGGAGAAAAATGTAGTGATGTAAAGTGCTGCTTGGATTTTATAACCTGTAGGCGGGAATATCGCCTGCGTGGCTTGTTTGTAAAAACAGGCAGGTATCCAAATTTAGCATGGATAGCCTGTCGAAATGTCTTATTGATTGTGTTATCACTGTCCCCAAAGACAAAGGCTGCGTAATAAAGCTGTAAAGGAAATGTGCGCACATATTCTTCGCAATTATGGATAAATTGCCAAGCGTCATCGATAAATTGTTCAAGGCTGTTATTCCTCCTTTCTCCATACGCGTGCGTCGTTTCGCCAATGACATATTGGTTACCCTTGTATTCGCAACGTCTTGCCGTAATGCTTTCAAGCTTGTTTAGAGCCTCCAGCCCTTGCTCAACCGCATTCAGAAGGATTAAAGATTCTAACCAGCATAGAAATTTGACCTTGAGGAAACAGTGAAGAATTCCATTCTCTCTTAGATGTTCTTCGACGTTAGATTTCTCAAGTTGACAACTTTGAACCAAGTGTTCGACCCAAAACGTGCAACAGTATACCATAGATGCTAGAGGATCAGGATCAGGTCGAGTGATTTTAGTCCCCTCAGTCTTGGGATCTTTAATATTGTATATATCGTATGTCAGAATACAAGACATCGCGCATAACGAGTTCTTAAACATTTCAGAATGTTGATATGCGATTCCTGAAGGGAAAATGCTCTTGGCGGCTTTTCCTACCATGTAGTCTTTAACGGATTGATGAACAAAATAGACAGTGTCGTCTCTGATAGATAAAAAAGACCCACAGTCTTTGACCGTGTCACTCATATCGTGCAAGCTGTAGTCCGTCTTATAACCTTTCCACTGACGCTTTATAAACTCACGAAGTTCTTCAAGCCGAAGAGGCCTTTCGGCCGTGGTGACAATTGAGAGCAGGCAGATATTTTGATCTTTGTGTCTTGATTTTTGAGTAGATCGCTCCATGATCAGGTCATAAAGGTTTTCCAAACCAATAGGCAGCTCCTCCAGCACGTCTGCTATATTTCGACGATCTGTTTCACGCAACAGTTCAATGACAAGCGATACCCAGAGAAAGGTTCCCTCTGCCTTCATTTTCAAGGTGTTTGCTGTTTGTATTTGGAGTTTTCCATCTCCCTCCAGTGCCTCAATATCTTGAATGGAACAACCGATGTATGCGTCAACGGATTGGGAAACACACTCAGCGTTTGCTTTGAGTTCTAAGGTGAGCCTTTGAGATTTCTTGATTTTTCGGAGCCTTCGCTCTATATCTTTCACATTTCGACTTGAAAGCAACCATTTGACGTGGCCGGTTGTTTTGACAATAAGATTTAAGAGCGATCTAACGTCGTTCTCACATTCGTCAAGAGCATCGATGATACAGACAATATCTGATAATTCTTGATTCTGCGCAATTGTCTCAAATATATCGCAGAGGACCTGCCATGCATTTGGCCCGCTAAGTTGACTTATTGTATCTCCGAATTTCTTGCGAATGGCAGAGACGAGTTTTTGGCGCGGCTTGAGGAGTGAAAGGATAAGTCCCCCAATAGCAGCAACAGCACTGTTGATTCTATTATCTGTTGCTTGGAAAAAGAAGTAGCAGAAGTTGGAGTTTATCCCAGGATTCTTTCCCAGGTCATCAATAATGCCGCATAGGAGCATTATCTTTCCTTTTCCAGGATCCCCTTTGATCCAAAGTGCACCGCTCTCTTTAGTATTGCGCCACTTCTGGAAGTCATCATGATTCAGAATCCATTCAAAGGATTCATGCAAAAAGGGCCCTTTCAAATCCAATATTCGTTTCCTATCGTAAAACGGGTCCGTTTTACTGATTTTCCCGAGAAACTGCCTATCTTCGTCTAGGAGAATTATTAGTCAGTCAGAATGCAAATGCCTGAGATTATGGCTATTATAGAAACGTACCCTCGTCAAATGTCGCATGCAAGTCGCCCTGTATGAATGTCGCATTGTTTCCAGCTACAATGTCCTTCATTTCGCGAAAACTAGCCATTTTTCATTCCAATTTGGCAAAGCTGCATTATACTGAGGCACGAATGTCTGAATGAAAACACAATAGCTACGATGAGCCCAAAGGGCTTTTATATCTGCGTCACTACCATGCATGCATGTATGCTGTGACACGTACTCATGAATAACGAAGACACGTGTATCCAGTAATGGCAGGCAATATATGCTTTGCTCAAGGCAATGTATGTTACAGAGGAAGGCTTGGTGCGGCGGATAAGGCTGGCAATTGGTTAAGAGTGAACTTCGTGCAGTAGCCTGGCTGTGAGGATCCCTGTATAATTTATTGTATAGGTCAAGCTTTGAAGAGGGGGCTGCACGTTGTACAATTCGTGCGATGTATTTCGCAGCCTAATTGATAAAGTACCCCATAAAATGTCGCAAATAACTATTTTATACTATTCTTTTACAGGCAGGGGGGGGATAGAAAAGAAGGTTTCGCCAAATAAAAATACATTAAAGCTATGAAAAGTAGTAGAACTACCTGGTAGTAGAAGCAGTAGAAGTAGAAGTAGTAATAAGGGGTAAAAAAAACACTACCTTATGTAAACTACATATAGTAGCATAATGGCAGTGTGTGTAATAATTATGTTGCGTGTATAATTCTCTCTATTTTTTTTTTTTTTGTTTCCCACCAAAGAGAGGTTCCACTGAATGCAACATGTAATCTTCGGCGGCGGCATCTCGACGCTTGTCTTTGATTGGGCATCATAACATATTTACCTTTTCATAAAATGTAGATTTATTGTTCTAACAATACACGAGGCGCATCTTTTTGTCCATCTCACAATAGAATTAGTTAAGCCCGAAACCTGCCTAATATTCTCTGTACATATGTTGAGCTTCCTAGAGCTCTGTAAACGACATTCATAAGTTCTACACTTATAATCGAATCTTGAGATGTGTGAAATGCAATTCTGTATGACGTATTATAATCGCATCGTCAGGCACATTTACCATGTAAGTGCGAGATGCGGCACTATGGCCAGGCACCGATATTTGTGAATGTTATTGTCTACGCAAAAGTTTGTAGACCGCTTCTGAGGCCTAGTGTCAATTGATGTGTGCATCGCCTTGTCAGCTTCCCAACTTGACCATCCCTGCGCGGAGTAAGCCGAGACGGGATCACCGAGTTTTACGATCGGATGCTCCAATCCCGACTTGTCAAGCAGCCCTCTTGAAGCTACGCATTAAATTCATTTCGGCAAACCCTCCAAAATAGTCTCACAAGTTATGCGAACGGCTCGGTGCCTCTGATCCGAGTCTGATAGATTTATGACTTGACACCGGGATCGCGATTCCAGCCCCAAGTTCACAGCCCCTGTAGGATTGCATACCAATCTGATAGGCGTATCGCGCTGCAACTGCTCCATTTTCCTGCCGTCACTGCTACCACCTCAATAATACAATAATACCTCCGATTATAGCCCGTCGTATTGCCAGCCCTCCATCTGCTCGTAGATCAGATGTTAATGAGTTGCATTAGTCCCTCCGATCTGTGTAGTACCTCACACATGTATGCTCAAGTTTAGACGAGCCCATCACAGAATTTCGATCTCCCTACCGAGGCTTACGGATGCTTAAACACGGCATATACTAGCACAGGCCGAAGCACAGGCTCTCTGATCTTCTTTGTCGGTAAACCTTCTTTGGTATAGGCGTTTTGACGTTTATGCAAAGAATTGATTTGGTGCCCAAAAAGGAAATTCGCCACGCATCTTCCCCGTTATAGTTCACATTATCAAACTAATTGGCTTGATCCTCTTTCCACTTTTGGATTATCAGAAGCTATTATATTTTTGGCTACATTCACCTCGGGACGGCTAGCCATCTTCAGTAGAGCTGTGGTAAAGACACACATCCAACATCGTCCGTATCGCTGAAACTTATGCGTTTGGCTTACAACGGCATGAACATGGATTCTAAGCAGGTGCAGAAGCGGTGGCAAAATTATACCCTTCGATTTTGCACTGGTGTTGAGAAAGGGGGAGGAAATGAAAGCATTCTCAATTGCTACATTTGTGTACACGGATATTTTATATATCTATCTCATAATGACTCCTCTATGAAGAGAGATTGATTCCAAGCAGCACAGATCAACTACCAGTTTATCAGTCAACAAGTTAACAATGGATCACAACGGAAGGCGAAGTCTATACAATGGGGGATATGACCCAACAACATCACCTTACCACCGTAATTATTCCGCTGTGGACATGGATGAAGACCCAAGGCACTGCCGAGAAGATGCAAGCTCAGTAAGCTCATTATCACCAACTGGCTATGATAGCGTTCGAAATACATACGCCGGATCTTATTCAGACGCGTACGAGTTTGCTGGAGCTTCAGGCAGTAGTAGGTCACGCGCTCAGCCTTCTTACCATCACCACCGTCTACCGGAGACAGAACAGTGGAGCTCAATGCGTGAAGAGTACAGTGACAGCTTGCACAGCTTAGTTGGGAAAGAGGGGATGCCGTCTCCCGCAAGACGACCACAACGACCCAGGATCAGATTCACGCCGGAGGAGGACCAGCTCTTGATCGAGCTCAAGGAACAGAAACATCTCACCTGGAAACAAATTGCCGACTTCTTCCCAGGACGCAATTCAGGCACATTGCAAGTGCGTTATTGCACAAAGTTGAGAGCCGAGGCTATGCCTTGGACCAGAGAAATGGTAATTATCTCATCCTACTTACGCTTCCACTACTTTATAATGGGCAATATTTAACCGGCTTCAAATTCAGGACCAGAGACTTCTAGAAGCTCTACAAAGTTATGAAGATGAGAAATGGCGGAACGTTGCGCAGAGAGTTGGAAATGGGGTTACACCAATGGGATGCTGCGATCGAGTCTGGGAGCTATTCAATATCCAAGTTGACGATGCTTCTCCATTTTCATTTGCAAATGACAATTAATTTTTTTTTTTTTTTGTTTAAAGAAAATTGGGTTAACGACTAGGTGCAGAGACTCAAATTTGAAGTAAACGACAGTCAACATTATCTTTTTATGTACAATATTCTGTTTCAATTAAATAAATAAATAAATACATTTATGATGACAAAATGTGCTTTCCCAGCTCTTCTTCATTCATAACAGCGCCCGATTCTACTAGACTGACCAAAGCCTGATGACAAGACGCATCTAAAATTGGTTGCTGGCCACTGTTATCTTGGTTGAGAAAATCTGCAGTCTCAACCAGCCAACCATTGAAGTCTCGAATTTCTGTCTTTTTCCCGGCTCGTACGTCCTGAAGCATAGAACTAGAGTTCTCTTTGACAATCTCGCCAATCTTGTAGAGCATTGGACGAAGTCGATCAAAGGAAAAACGTGCAGTGAGCTCTTCTCTCAAGGCTTCCAGCGATTGAGTACTTTTATCGGAAGAAGCAAGAATATCGGTGCTGCTAGGATGATTTATAAGAGTTTGAAGTATACCGCTCGCTTCCCTGAGCAGGCGGTCTATAACTTTGGCGGTAACGCCATCAGGATCCTCAAAGAGGCGGCCATTCTTGCAACGAAGAATGGCAGTGAGTGGATTTATGGAAGCATTTACAACCAATTTTTGAAGCTGCGAGACCCAGAGGTCAGCTCTTGATATAGACCTTGCGTTGAGGGCCGGAGCCGTTGTAATAGCTTCTGTAAGATACGCTACACTAGGTGCAATCTGCCGAGTATTCTCATTCAACAGAACAGGCCCAATAGTAGAGTCAGCTGGCGAGGCGTGAACACTTTTGAACGGCCCTTCTGAATAGGCACCATGATTTGTGACGCATGCCAAAATATTAGGCCCATCGCCATTGGGATACCGGTTGGATATGTATTCTTGTCCATGAGGTGGCCATAGCTTTGACATGCCGTTTTGGACAAACACCACACTGCTGCTACTATCGAGATATCGTCGGAGTCTATCAGTTTCAGGCATGGCAGCAGCAGCTTTGGTTGTGACGAGAAGGTTGCGAATCTTGTTCGCATTGGCAACCTCTCGGACAGGGCCCTGGGAAGGTGTCTCCTCAGTCCACCACTCGATCTGGAACTCGTCTTTGCCGCGGTAAAGCTGCCCCAGGCGTATAATTTCCAGCCCAGGGCCTTCAACCCATTGGGATAAAAGCTCCTTTTTGTGTACAACGAGAGTGATTGGAGGACGGGGAGAGTGCATGGAAAGACAGCTGGCATAGAGGCGACCCAGATTACCTATTCCAAGGATGAATATGCGGCCATCTGGATTGTCAGAAATGGGTTGGTCGGAACGGATATTGCTGTCTATATTGGCTGGACTCCAAGCATATAGCTTAGGGGCAGGGTTTGTGTCATCTAGGAGGGATTTGAGCCATGATGGCCGCGTGGAGTAAGCCGCCATAGGCTTGATGAAATTTTTTGAGCAGAATTTGTTTGTTGCTATCTGAGGGCGATGAGAAATTATTCTTGTCCAAATAGCCATATCGAGGACTCAACGGAAGCAACGAAGTTGAATTGCAAGTTGTACAGATGGAAGAGTGAAAGAGCACGGCTTTACTCAAATTTATGTAAGCTGCTGAGATGAGGGGCAGGTCTAGGTTAAGATCCTATTGTTGGCAGGGAAAATACTACTGGCGAATATGAGCTTGAATTCAGGGCGAAAATGATTAAATCTATACACTATCTGCTGGAAATTTTTATGGCTTGAAAATGAGAATAGACTTGGCAATAGACGTAGCCGTAATGAGTTATACACGCATAAGGGCGTAATACACACGCAGAGTAAATATATGTAGGTTAGCTCAAAATGTATATCAGCACCATATGCTTGTAGATTGTACTTGCAAGGTCACGTGTAAGAACAATATCTAATGTCGTTTTTCTCCTTCTAAATTTCCCCCTATACACGAATTGATACCATACCAGTAAAGCAGTACATCTGTAATATATGACTGGCATGTATCTTGTAATCTCGCCATTAACCATTTTGTCGAGTTCCGCCTCAGCTCCTGTAAAGCGCTTCCACAGGCACGTGACACGGCCCCTGCAAAGAAGCGGTCGTGCTGCCTGAAGTCAATGGTGTGGATCCCGGTCATGCTGACCAATCACCGCCTCGCTCCTTTGCCACCCCTGCCTAAAAGGTGAACGCTCTTGAATCATTGATCTTCGTGAACGCTCGCCGGCGATTACGATTTTTTCACTTTTCTGCATCTTCATCACAGTTCTCTGAACTTTTATTTCGTCACAAAAAACTGCAGTAAAAGGACATGGCATAATGGTCCAAGGGTGAAAAAAAGTTTCGGCAGGCCCGGACATAGAATTTCCACTCGTCAGCACGTCGATTTCGTCGCAACCGTGAGCTCCTTGGCATCTCAGGCATTGTGGAGCCCTCGCGGCTGGCGATTATTGGAAAGGCAAACATCATGGATTCTGAAAGTGAGATGGAAAGAAACGACGATGGCGACGGCCGCAGTGCCTTAAACAGCGAAATGATGGCGGCTGCTCAAAATGAGTCGACGCCAAATCCCGACGCTGAAGATCAAACACCCATCGGGATTAGTGAAGAAGATGCGTTGAAGAATCTTTCTGGGACCGTGAGAGACCAGTCTGAACTAGAACGGGACATTACCATGCAGGCCAATGCGGCACTGATGGAGGCTGAAGACCAGAAAGATCGTAATCGGATAGTCAAATTGGAGCTGACTCGGGACCGGCTTAAATCACAGCTTGACAAGGACAAGAAGCGTTTGGAAAAAGCTGCTGGAAATCCATACCAGTCTCGAACCATACAAAATGAGATAACCAAGCTCGAACAAGAAATCAGCCAAGCTACCCTAGATATCGCTGATTTCGAATCGCGAATGCAGAAACGACACCAGGAAGATCCATTACATAACATAAGCCAGACCAAGTCTAATAAACTGCCTGGAGAAAGTAATCGTGAATACCTCATCCGAACTGGAAAGATCACCCCATTCTCCAAGCTCGGAGGATCGCGCCCTGCCGGTATCGAGGGCCAATTGGCCGACACTCTCTTAGACGCTGAAGAAGAGGCTGCTGCTGAGCAACTTGGCAATGAGGCTGGTGAAGGGCCGCAGTCTCACCAGCTACTGCGACGCCCTGGGTTTGCTGAAGAAGAAACACCGCCACCGGCGCCAAAGACAACTGCAGTTGAAGCTGAGTTCTCACTTCGACCGCGGAAGAAGAGAAAGGTGCAAAGAGAAACTGAGCGCGAGCCATCTGCGGATTTTCAACCGGAAGATACGTCTGGCTCAGAATCCCTCGATTCGGCTATGTGGCAGCAGACAACGGAAGATGACCTTGTTCGCCAACAACGTCGAAAAGCTAAAATAAAAGAAAAGGCCGCTGAGCAAGATGAAATCGATCTTAGTAAGATTGATGACGGGAACGAAGCTCATTATAAAAGGCGACTTAAGGACTGGGTTGACCGAAGAGGCCGAGCGAGGCGAGCCAAACGTCAAACCGAATCCGCTACGCACCCCGAAGATAGTGATGACGATGAAAAGGAGTGGTTTAAGCCAGCTCCTGGAGTTGCGGACCATTATTTTACCGACGATCTTAAACTTCCAGGCGACATCTACCCGTCGCTGTTTGGATACCAAAAGACAGGCGTACAATGGCTAGCTGAGCTGTATAAGCAGAGCGTTGGAGGGATCATCGGAGACGAAATGGGTCTTGGTAAAACTGTCCAGCTTATTGCGTTCATCGCTGCTCTGCACTACAGCAAAAAGCTCAAGAAGCCAGTCATTGTAGTCGCTCCAGCTACGCTCCTTCGCCAGTGGGTAAGCGAATTCCATCGCTGGTGGCCACCTCTGCGTGTCTCCATTTTGCACTCGTCTGGCAGTGGAATGCTTAACCCTACTGCGGAAGACGAGTACGACGTGGAGCATTTTAGCCCAATGGCAACCAAATCCGAAAAGGCTGCAAGAAGAATTGTTAGAGGAGTAGTCCAGAAAGGCCATGTCTTGGTTACGACGTACACTGGCCTTCAAACCTATGCTGACGAATTATTGCACGTTGAATGGGAATATGCTGTTCTCGACGAAGGCCATAAAATCCGAAATCCAAATGCTGAAATTACCGTTACTTGCAAAGAGCTTAACACGCCCAACCGAGTCATTCTATCCGGAACTCCAGTCCAAAACAACTTGACAGAGCTTTGGTCACTCTTCGACTTCATCTATCCGATGCGTTTAGGAACTCTTGTCAACTTTAAACAACAATTCGAGATTCCTATTCGACAAGGAGGTTATGCGAACGCGTCGAATTTACAAGTAATGACTGCTGAGAAATGCGCTGAGGCATTGAAAGAGACAATTAGCGAGTATTTGCTTCAGCGACTGAAAGTCGACGTAGCTGCAGATCTTCCCGAAAAGACAGAGCAAGTTTTGTTCTGCAAGTTGACAGAAAGCCAACGCAAAGCATATGAGAGATTCATTGGCTCTGATGAAGTTGCTGCCATCTTGAATAGGAAGCGCCAATCGCTCTATGGGATCGATATCCTTCGCAAGATTTGCAATCACCCCGACCTGCTTGACAAGTCTCTTTCGAGCAAGCCCGGCTACGACTATGGAAATCCGAAATTGTCTGCAAAATTGCAGCTCACTAAAGATCTACTGCAAAAAGTGATGATACCAAACGGACACAAGATGTTGTTATTTTCGCAAGGCAAACAGATGCTCAATATAATTGAGAAATGTATGAGAGAATGCAGAATCTCTTACTTGAGAATGGATGGCGAAACACCCATCGATCAAAGACAACCGATGATTGACAAGTTCAACACTGATCCCGGCATTCACGTATTTCTCATGACTACCAGAACTGGAGGACTGGGAACTAACCTTACCGGCGCTGACCGAATCATCATCTTCGACCCAGACTGGAATCCTTCCACTGATTTGCAAGCCCGAGAGCGAGCTTGGAGATTGGGCCAGAGCAAACCTGTGAAGATTTACCGACTAATGACTGAGGGCACAATCGAAGAGAAAATTTATCATCGCCAAATCTTTAAGCAATTTATGACAAACAAAGTACTCAAGGATCCGAAGCAGCGAAGTTCTTACGACCTCTCAGACCTTTACGACTTATTTACCTTTGACAAGAATACAGATGCTGCGGCGGCAAGAAGCGAAGTCTTCAAAGGGGCAGAGGTAAACTTGAAGAAGAATGCAAATAACTCTGATGCGAAGACATTGATGCCCATTGGGAAGATGGGCAAGGTTAAAAATGAGGGCGAGCTGAAGAATCTAGATCTAGTCGCTGCCATGGAAGAAGTCAAAGAAGACCCATCTGTTCACGAAGAGAAGCGTATGCTGGAGGGTATCTTTGCGCGATCCGTCAACAGCGCCTACGACCATGAACAGATTGTCAATGGGCCGCAGAAGATGAAGGCCGATATGGCTGTTCTTCGCCAGGAGGCAAACATGGTTGCTCGACAGGCCGCTGCTCATCTTCGACATTCAAGAGAGGAAGCTCGCCGAGTGCCAATTGGTACAGTGACATGGACTGGCGAGGTTGGCACAGGTGGTCGACCGGGCGGGAACCGTCGTCGCGGCGGTCCAAGTTCAGCAGGTATCATGAGTAACCTTGCCGACCGTCAAGGCTTGGACAGCGGCAGCAGCTCTCGATCAGGAACGCCTGGAGTTGACAAGAACTTGAAGGCGAAGGATTTCATTCCAATGATTAAGACTTTTATCAATCGACAGGGAGGCAAAGTCCCGAGCAAGATGTTGGTGGACCATTTCAATCCTTATTGCCCTGGAAAGAAGCAGAGCGATGAGTTTAAGGCCGCGCTGGAGACGGTTGGAGTGTTGAACCGGGTGAGCAGCACGGGGAGGGGTATGTGGTCATTGAAACCAGGATTCAAGTGAACCTTACGATTTTTTAATACTCTGGAGAACTTGACATGCTTTCAATACTCTAATTTGACATTAAGCGAGGAGTTTAGGTTTATTTCATTAGGAGAACTGAGATACTATACCGGATGCTAGAAAGAGGATTTAAATAGAGCTAATCATATACTGCTTGGACTTGATTTTATTTATCCTTCATTATGTCAATATTCATCATACACATATAAACTCATAATCACAACATGTCACATATCACAGAAGAGTTTTGGTCTGACAGGAAGATAACTTTTCATAGCCTTCTTCGGGCGAAATTGTAACTGTCTACTGCACCAACACCAAGTAATATCCCTTCTCTAATGAAAGACAAAGGACAAAAGAACTCGAGCGTAATGGTAGAATTGGAGACCAGGCTTCAAGGGCCGTTCTCCTCGTTTTTTCTCAACGCCACATAAAAGAGCCAGATAGCGCAACTCCCGCCTTGATCCCAAACCAAAGCCAGGCCAGGTATGCAAATGTTGTATTTTTTTCTTGATAAAGAAAATACAACGTTTACAAACGACGACCACGGCGACCACCCTTTCTGCGGGTAGAGTCGGAGGGGGTAGGAGTAACGTCCTCAATGCGGCCAATCTTCATGCCGGCACGGGCCAGAGCACGGAGAGCGGACTGGGCACCAGGGCCGGGGGTCTTGGTACCGTTACCTATTGGATATCCCATTAGTCTTCTGACAATTCTTATATAGAACACCTCATGGATGAAAAACATACCACCAGTGGCACGGATCTTGATGTGCAGAGCGTTGATGCCGAGCTCCTTGCAGCGGGCGGCGACGTCCTGGGCAGCCAACATGGCGGCGTAGGGGGAGGACTCGTCACGGTCGGCCTTGACCTTCATACCACCGGTGACACGGGTGATGGTTTCACGGCCGGACAGATCGGTAACGTGGACGAAGGTATCGTTGAAGGAGGCGAAGATACGGGCAACGCCGAAGACGAGCTCGCCTGTGGCATTGTTGTTAGCATGTTGTCTTCCATTTTCCGCGTACTCTTCCTTCTTCAAGTCATATCTTTTGCGAATGTATAAATTTCGAGATAGCTGTCCCTCATTCGCAGCACCAGAAAATTATCCAAAGCGCAAAAAGACCTGTATTTTTCTCTCCGCCACAAATTGAAGTCCAATTCCACATACCATCGCGGGCAGAGGGGCCCAGGGAGATGTTCTCCTTAGGAGCGGCGACCTTCTTGGGGGGCATTTTGAAGTTTTCGGCGACGGTCTGGCTTTTCGTCACGGGGCTGTTGAGAACTGACGAGCTAGGAAAAGAGAAGAGGCGCCGTGATGATTTGCGCCGGAGTAGTGGTTCTGCGAGCGAGGGCGGTTAGAGGCGGTGGGGCGCGGCAGAAAACAGGCACACAAAAAATTTGGGGTGATTTGCGCGCAAAAAAAAAAAAAAAAGATGTCTGGCAGAGCAATGCTTTGCTGCTCTAAAGCCCTGCCCTACCCACCAAAAATCTTGAGAGTGGGGAACTTGTAGTGAGCTCCACCAACGAGGTACTGTTCCCTCTTTTCTCTCTTTCCTGGCTTTTTTTTCTTTCTTCTCTTCAAGCACAGCTTCGACGATACAATCAGACATCGCCATCAGCCACCGCCAAAATGTCCGCGTATGTGATTCCTCCCTGAACGCTTTTTGCGATACGGGACAGAATGTCCGGTCTCGATTGTTTGCAGATTGTCGTGGTCCTCTCGCTGGGCAGCCGATGAAAATCTTTTCTTCTGGGTTTTTCTCGTGAAAAAGAAGATACAGGGAAAAGAATTTCGGCCTGCCAGCTCGATCCCTCCCGAGACTTCTCCCTCAGTTGTACAAGCTGAGAGACGGCGTCACGGGGTGTTGGAGATGAAGAATTGCTTTTTGCGTCTTCTCTCTTAAATTCATTGTCGCTTTATGGCAATTGGGCTCAAGGTCTGAAAATGGCCTTGTAGTCTGTCTCTGCCTGCGATGAACCATTTCTTGGACGAGTTTTCCTTCTTGTCTAAGGCGTTGTCGGATGAGTCGAATCAAGGCTTCAATTGCGCACTGCTGGAATATGCTGCCAATGCTGCCCCTTCTCACCGATTAAATTCAGCTCGAGTCAGCCTCGTCGAGAATGTCGCATTTCAGCTACAGTTCTTGCATCGGCGCTCTGTTCCATACATCTTGTATGGCGGACTACGTACTAATCTGAGTTTGAATATAGCACCGTCCCCACCAACGACCAGATCCTGGTCCCTGAGACTCTCCTCAAGAAGCGCAAGAGCCAGGAGAAGGCTCGCGCTGAGCGTGCTGCCGTTGTTGAGAAGCGCAAGGCTGTATGTATTCCCTCCTGAGTTTTCCCATGACTTCATGATGCACAACATACCACATTAAACTAGACACTTGTGTCGATGTCGTTAATGTTAACCTTCTTTCGGGTCTGATATTTTGTTTCGGAACATCTTTGAACATGCTGCAGTCATTGTTTGTAACATATTGCTAACAAGACTGTTATAGGCCAACAAGGAGAAGCGTGGCGTCATCTTCAAGCGTGCCGAGAAGTACGTCCAGGAGTACCGCGCTGCCGAGCGTGAGAAGATCCGCCTTCGCCGTGCCGCCAAGGCCGACGACTCTGCCTACATCCCCGCTGAGGCCAAGCTGATCTTCGTCGTCCGTATCAAGGGGTATGTTTTAATCTGCAAAAGTGTATAATAAACAGCAGTTACTAACAGTCTTTGCAGTATCAACAAGATGCCCCCCAAGCCCCGCAAGGTCCTCCAGCTGCTCCGTCTTCTCCAGATCAACAACGGTGTCTTCCTGAAGGTCACCAAGGCCATCACTGAGATGCTCAAGATCGTTGAGCCCTGGATCGCCTACGGTTACCCCAACCTGAAGTCCGTCAAGGAGCTCATCTACAAGCGTGGATACGGAAAGGTCGAGAAGCAGCGTGTTGCCCTCACCGACAACTCCATCATTGAGGCCAACCTCGGCAAGTACGGCATCATCTGCGTTGAGGATCTCGTCCACGAGATCTTCACCGTTGGCCCCAACTTCAAGCAGGCCGCCAACTTCCTGTGGCCCTTCAAGCTCAGCAACCCCACTGGTGGCTTCCGCCCCCGCAAGTTCAAGCACTTCATCGAGGGTGGTGACCTTGGCAACCGTGAGGAGGCTATCAACGCCCTCATCCGCCAGATGAACTAAGTTAATAAAAACTAAAAATGGGGTTCATGGATGTCTTTTTTGGGAGTGGGACTAGGGAAATACCTATCATGCATGGTTGCTCGGCGTTGGTATCACGACTTGGCTTTTTGATAATTGACTATTCGATGAATGACACTCGAGTTTCCATGCTGTGTGATGCTCAAATGAGCTTTTGAAATGTGCCTACTGTGATAAATAACTATTCTGTTCTGTATGCATTCTATGCGCTCTCGTAGTATATCTTGACCCATTGAAATCATTCATAAGTATATAAGTGGCGATCATTAGTCAGAGTCTCCACCTCTGAGCATGCAGTGAGTGTACAGGAGGATTTATAAGAAGAACGCTTTACATCTTGATGTCAAAACTTGTCCCACATCCGCAGCTGCTTGACGCATATGGGTTGTCGACAATCTTGAACTGTGACCCAATCAACTCCTGCGTAAAGTCCACCTTGCTGCCCTTGAGAAGCTCCAGAGAAGGTTCGTCTAGTATGACCTTGGGGCTGCTTTCCGAGGAAGAGGAGTTGCCCTCATCCGGAACGTACTGGAAGATGCTGTCCTCCTCACTAACGATGGTGGATGCTTCACGTGCTTCTCCCGTAGGCATCGTAATGAGACTCATCAGATATTGAAAGCCGTGGCAGCCTCCACTCTCAACTCGGATTCGCAGAGCTAGGTTCGGGTTCTTGTCCTTGACCATGATCTCGGAGAGGCGCTACAAGCATGACTGGTAAGCAATACCGTCGATGTGTAAAGTGTGAAATGCCCAATATCCCAGCGAAAGTCATACCTGGGCTGCTCTAGAGGTAATCTCCAGCACCATATCTTTGCCGTCTTCATCTTTCAGAGGGTTCTGTACGCATATCGTGGCGAGTTGGGGGGCAGATGCTGTGAATGACCGGGTCATAGACTGTCGGCCTATTGATAAGGCTGAGGATCTGGAAGCCGGCGCAATCGATACACGACGTCTAGAGTGAGATGCTTTGCGCGGGACAAGGAACTCCAGAGGTGTTTGTTGTACGTGCGTATTAGCGGTCGAATACCGTCGCTTGGCGAGCTGGACAAAGGATCGAGCAGCAGAGGCGCCGTCTGCGCAGCGTAGGGGCGTCATAATGAATTGCGATGCAGGTGCTGCTGGCACTGCTGCTGGCGTGGCTGTAGGACGAGAAAAGATTCAAGCTTGGCTTTTGCCGAGGGCGTCGAGAGTCTTATCCAGCCGTCTATTTCCGCCTGCTGATGTCAGGCCCAGGCACGGGCGGCAAATATCCGGCAGCACTCTTGGCTCGCACGCCAGTGGTCAGATCTCGCCTTACCTCAGCAGACGGCCCAGAGCCAAAGCGCACTCGCTAAGCCCCAAGACGCCGCCCCACCTCCCACCAAAAATCAGTGAATTTTTGATCCTCGAGTTTTGAACCAACCCCGCCACCTCGAAAGAGTCATCGAAGCCCCTGGCCTGGCTCTTGAATTCTTCGACCTGGGAGGAGAAACACTGTAACCAGACAAAACCGAGAACAAAGATCCGCCAAGATGTCTCGATTTTTCCGCAGCGGCGGTGACGACAGCTCCAGCGAGAGCTCCAGCGACGAGGAAGAACTCTACTCTGGAGAAGAGGATCAGGAACTCGACCAGGAACAGTCTGAAGAGGAATCTGATGAGTTCGAGCAGTCCGAAGATGAGAGCGAGGAGGCCGACGACAAGGAGGCCGGCGACCAGAAACAGGGTGCCTTCCGATTCTTGAGAGACAACGTCCAGTCAGATAGCGAAGGCAGCGACGATGAGGTCCGAGACAAGGTCAAGAGCGCGCAGGTCAAGCGACTGGACGAGCTCGAGACATCCATCAAGCAGATTGAGAACGGCCAGAAGAACGGCGACTGGACTCTGATCTCAAATGGTATGGCAGTGATGACAAACGCGGGTGGTCGAGCATCAACACTAATAGTTTTTCTGGGTAGAATTCGACAAGCTGAACCGACAGGTTACCAAGCTGCCCGCCGGCAGCAAAATTCCCAAGCCTTACATCAAGGTCATTGCCGAGATCGAAGAGTCCGTCAATGAGGCTCTTGCGAAGCAAAAGGTCACCCCGAAGAAGATGAACGCCACCCAGGCTCGTGCCCTCAACGCCGTCAAGCAGAAGGTCAAGAAGACCAACAAGGACTACCAGGACCAGATTGCCGCCTACCGAGAGGACAAGGACACCTACCTGTGGTCTTCAGACGAGGAGGAAGAGGAGGTCCCTGTCGCCAAGGCCCCCAAGGCCGTCAAGTTCGAGGATGTTGCTGGTGCTGAGGAGCTCGCCGATGAGGGTTTCGCCACCGTTGGAAAGGGCGGCCGTACTCTCCAGTACACCCCTGAAAGCATCTTCAAGCACCTGCGAGGCATTATGGAGACTCGTGGAAAGAAGAACACCGACAGACTTGACCAGATCAAGGTCATGGAGAAGCTCAACGAAATCGCCAACACCCCCTACCAGCAGATTCGTGTTCTCCTGACTCTGGTCTCTGCCCGATTCGACCTCGGCAGCGGTACCACCAACATCATGCCTCTGGAGCACTGGAAGGCTGCTGAGAAGGAGCTGTCCCAGCTGTTGACCATTCTCGCCAACACTCCCGAGTACATCGTGCTCGAGAACGTTGAGGAGTGGGATGATGACGAGAAGCCCCCTTCCCTGCAGCCTGGCGAGAAGTACATCAAGGTTGCCGGCAGCATCGTCTCCTACATCGAGAGACTCGACGACGAGCTGCACCGATCTCTGCAGAGCATCGACCCCCACACCTCAGAGTACATTGAGCGCCTGCAAGATGAGGGTGCCCTGTACAACGTCATCTTCCGTGGCCTCCTCTACTACGAGACACTGAAGAAGGATGAGACCATCGAGGTTCCCCAGGACAGCGTCAACCGCATTATCATGCGAAGACTGGAGCACGTCTACTTCAAGGTAAGAAGAAAATCCACGATGCTACTTGGACACGTCAATACTGACTTTTGTACTTTAGCCTGCTCAAGTTGTCAAGACCTTCGAGGAGAACTGCTGGAAGGCTGTTGGCGACAATGTCGACTCCACCACCACTCCTCGTGCCGAGGCTCAGGAGCCTTCAGAGCTGGTCAACATCCTCTGCGCCTACCTCTACACCCACAGCGAGGGTATCCTCCGTGCCCGAGCTCTGCTCTCCCAAGTCTACTTCCTTGCCCTGCACGATGACTACTACAAGGCTCGTGACATGATGCTCATGTCACACTTGCAGGAGACCGTCACTGGCTTCGATATCCAGAGCCAGATCCTCTACAACCGAACTCTCGTCCAGGTCGGTCTCTGCGCCTTCCGCAAGGGCCTCATCTACGATGCTCAGAACACCCTGCAAGAGATTTGCGGCAGCGGCCGCCAGAAGGAGCTGCTCGCTCAGGGCGTCATGATGCAGCGATACAGCCAGGTCTCTCCCGAGCAGGAGCGCCTGGAGAAGCAGCGCCAGCTGCCCTTCCACATGCACATCAACCTCGAGCTGCTTGAGTGCGTGTACTTGACCTGCAGCATGCTCTTGGAGATTCCTCTCCTGGCCCAGACCGGCTCTTCCCCCGACGTAAAGAAGCGTGTCATTAGCAAGACTTACCGTCGTATGCTGGAGTACCACGAGAGACAAATCTTCACCGGACCTCCTGAGAACACTAGAGACCACGTCATGCAGGCCTCCAAGGCTCTCGCCGCCGGTGAGTGGAAGAAGTCTATCAGCTTCATCCACAGCATCAAGATCTGGGATCTGATGCCCAACACTGAGGAGATCAAGGAGATGCTCTCCAAGCAGATCCAGGAGGAGGGTCTGCGAACATACCTCTTTACCTACGCCCCCTTCTACGACACCCTCGCCGTCGAGACTCTCAGCAACATGTTCGAGCTCGATTCCACCAAGGTCGCTGCCATCATCAGCAAGATGATCAGCCACGAGGAGCTCGCCGCCTCCCTCGACCAGGTCACCAACAACGTCATCTTCCGCAAGGGCGTCGAGCTCAGCAGACTCCAGTCCCTCGCCCTCGCTCTATCAGACAAGGCTAGCGCCCTTATCGAGACCAACGAGCGGACGCTCGAGCAGCGCACCCAGGGCACATCAAATGCCTTTGAGCGACAAGGCGGCAGAGGCCGTGGAGGCCACAGAGGAGGCGCACGCGGAGGCAGAGGAGGCCCCCGTGGTGGCGGCAACACCCAGCGACAGGCTGGTGGCACACAATTCACCGGCGGAGCTCTGGGAGCTGCCGTCAGGGGCTAGATTGGGGGATAGTTTTGAGCATGATGAGGGGAAAGGGAGTAGTTTTGGGCTGGTAACGAAGGGGAAGGGGCGTCCAAATTTGATGATCTCTCTTGACAAACTTTTTTTAGTTTTGGGTGTTTTTTTAAACAAGAATCCCCTTTTGTTTTTCTCTTGTGTGCTTGCATGGGATTAAGGAGAGAGGGTTTTTTCTCTTGTAATGGAAGAAAACAAAAGTCCCCGGGGTCGACGAGCGAGGAAACGGAGGGAACTCGCTACAAATTTGTTAGATTAAGTCGAACTGGATTTTTTTTTTTAACTTGAAAGAATGAATGCATATAAACATTGAATGAATGTGTATGTCCCCGTATGCCTCTTGAGCTATGTTTGTCGCAATTTCGAGCGGTGCTTTTCTACTCTAGCGGACCAAATCTAGCTTATTATCGTCCAAGCACTTGCACCTCATGTACTCCCAATCATTTAACTAAATCCACCAGCTCAATCAATCAATCATAATATCTATCGAGTCTTGGATCCCAACAACACGAGTCTTTTGTTTTTGACAGGATGCAAGTTGTTAATATAGCCGTCAATTCTAGCGTTTCCTTTCTTGCTTACTGTAACATCAAAAGGGAGCCACTGGTAAGAGTCGTCATACAAGCGAAATTGGTATTCCACATCTAGACCTGTGTTGCGAGGTCTTGGAAGAATATCTCCTTCTCCACAAGCCTCTAAGCAATTGATGCGCTTGATAGTTCTATTAGGAAGGATTCGAGACCGACCATAAACCAGGGGAGACAGGGAGGCGTGAGCTTGGTGGATGTTGATACCTCCATCGCATAAGCAGCTATAGCTTCTGACGTATTTGGGTTCTCTCGCGATGCCGGTGAATGCACTTTTCAGTCCATCGGACACGACTTTGTCAGATTTTATGACACAAGCTGAGTAATCTAAGACAGGGATAAGTCCCGTCTTTTCATACAGGTCTGCTTTGAGCTTGAGCTCTTCGATGCACTATTGGATCACATCAAATCAGTGGGCTGAAGTCGTTGAAAAAGAATTCTTGGGGCTTTTTAACGCACTCGTTCAGCCATAGCAGAAGTAAAGTCAGCATACTTCATGTACTTGCTCCAGTCAAGCGCTAGAATCTCCCTTTTCCAGCTTTTTGCGATGTGAGCGTTGCGAACATTTTTCCACCAGTCCGGCTTGTTGGTGATTTCTTCGACCACTTTGATCATGCATAGCTCTCGGAGTAGCAAGGCTTCCGCGGTCCACTCGAGTCCCTCATTTGTGATGGCGACGGGGAAGCGATCCTTCCTGGCAGGCATCCATTCCAGGGGATGTCCATAGCCCGGCAGCATGATTGTTGCATTAGGGGAGTGCTCCTATGAAGGTCAGCTTGGACAAGATCCTCGGGAAAAAGAGAAGAAGCAATTACTCTTTGAAGGTCAATGGCAATGTGACATAAGGCCTCTCGGATGAATTGAATATGTTCTCCGTCTTCCTCGCTCCACAATATAACATTTGTCTCAACAGCCAGCCAGCGCCTAACATGATTGAAATGCAGCCATGGAATACTCTCTCTGATCCACCTCTGAAACTGCTTTGCTTGCTCTGGTGCCCCTCGAAACACTTGGCGATATTCTCCATGCCTATTGTCGGAGATGTATCGGTCCATGTTGCTGGGTCAGCTGCTTGTGGCAAGAAGTACCTATTTGCGCAGTCGATATAGTTGGCCTGTAGGCGGAAGAAGCAGCTGGGAGTCTGTTTTGATTTGAGAGCGAGACCAAGAGCCACATCTGCGTGAAGAGAGAGATGTTGTCTTCAAGATGAGCATTTTGAGAGCATTCATTGCTGATCAGGTGACTTTGCAGCTGGCAGCTCCTTCCTCTGCAACTACTATAAACAAGCAACATGCGGTGAATGTACATGTGTACTTGCAGTCACCTGATTGAAAAGTGGTTAAACAAGAGTATCTGATACAAGAAGATGTGTGTTTGGCCATGTAGAGGTGCAGCATCTCATTGCATTGCCTGCTTGTCGAAAACTCCTTGGAGAGTTGGAGAGTTGGAGATTCGGTATGCAGTGCATTTCGGAGCACCACAAGCAATAGAAAGAGAAGCCATGCATTAGGTGTGAAGATGGGCCAATAGTGAATGTACAGTTTTTTGATAGGTACCTGCATAGTTAGTCGAGCTTGAAAGAAGCATCATAGTAGGTGAATGCTGAACTAATGTCGATGAGGAGAGAAGGATCAAGACGTGGTGGGAAGAGTGAGTGAATAGTCAGTGCTTCATATGGCAGCAAAGTCAAAATTAAGAATAATAATGAATCCAGAAGAACATTTAGCGACAAACAATCCGTTATATTATTGCAGTGGTTAATACAGACGATTATCATTCGGCGCCCCAGTTCATTATCCAGCACCCGGCCATGGCTATTGTCGCGAATTCACAGCTATTTTAATCTACTGCCTCTACTGCCTCTACTGCCTCTACTGCCTCTACTGCCTCTACTGCCTCTACTGCCTCTACTGCCTCTACTGCCTCTACTGCTTCTACTGCCTCCATGTTGTTAAGAATTATGCTCTATTCAAAGGTCTTTGTGTCAAAACTGACTCCTTCATTTTCAATAATTTCCTTCATATATCGAGAGTGGAAATATTTTGTTTGCCAATAAAACAGCTACTATCTACTTGGCAGTATTCTGCAGCTTCTTTACGCACAAAAGGAATGGTGTAAATATGCATTTCCAGCCACCAGCCACCAGCCACTGCTCTATGACAAGGCTACAGGTGCTCATCTCAGTATATCAGCGAATACATCTGTTCCTAGAATACTCAAAGTTGCAGACATCCAGCCCAACTTTACCCGCTGGTGAGATCTGATAAAGCACGTTGGAAGGGCCGAATCATAACTTTGAACCAGCACCCCTGTATTTTCGTTTTGTGGACCCCGTGGCACCACCACCTAAAACGCTTAGATGCCGCACACCGTTACAATGGACTTGCTGCAATGCCACCAACTGAGCATCTCCAGCAGGCATCGTAAATCACTGACTGTTCAACCACAGCTCTCATGTACATGGCGTTTGCTACCATGGCCCTGAATCCACACTTTGGAATTAATAATCACACAAGCCAGATATGCTCCATCTTTCCCACGCATCGCCAAAGCTCAAATCGTGGAGCATCCTCACCTTATCCGAGGTTTTGTGGGGGTGGACCTCGGCAGCGCCTCCACGCCGCCAGTCTCGGCTCTGGCTCTGGCTCTCGGGCGAGGCGTTGACAGGGACCTGAGAAGCCCTGGCTGGATGAATCTGCAGCTTACTTATACAAGTTACATCGCGCCTGAGTCTTGAATTCCATCGTCGGCTGGGCCAGCGAAGCTTCGGCGACTTCTTTTCTCTTGGCAATTGCGCCGCCGAAATTCTCTCGATCCGACCAGCTGCCATTGATATCCCGCTCCAGCTGCCGCTCCAGCACCGTCATCTTCTTCGTCTCCTCCGCGCCATCATCACCATGACCGACACCGCCGTCGACACCGCCGCGGCCACCGACCTCGCCGTCGACGTCTCGGCCTCGACCGAAATCGCCGCCACCATCGACTCGACGCCGTCCATCCCGACGCCCTCCAAAGCCCCCATCGGCGCCGTGCTCGCGGCCGTGCCCTCCAACGCGGACGCCTTCGCCGCCCACCTGCTGCGATGCATCCAGACCCGCGCCGGCGCCGACGCCGTGCTGCAGTTCCTCTGCTACTCGTTCAAGCTGTCGGGCTCCGTGCTCGAGACGCTGAGCCGCAACGCGCTCCGCCAATCGGCGCAGAAGCTCGTCGCCATGGCCTTCCAGCTGCCGCCCGCCACGACAGTGGTGCTTTCGTCGGCGCCAGCGCCTCCCGGGGCGGCTTTTGCGCTGAGCCTGGCGAATAATTTCAAGGCTCTATCCGGAGTGCTGAGCGAGGCGCGGACGATTAACCGACTCTGGGGTCTGCTGGGCCTGTATTTCGGGCTCAAGAGGATCGTTGCTAGGATGCGCCCTAAGAAGATCGAATCCGAGAAGGAGGGCTCCGGAGCTGTTGTCGAGGCTGCAGCGGCGCCATTCGAAACCATCTTCTCGCTCACGCAAATCGTCACCCTCATCCTCTTCCAAGTCTTTGAGAATCTGGCCTTCCTGGGCAGCAAAAAGGCCATCGACCTCAAGCCCGCAACGATGGGCAAGTTTGGCCTCCTCAGCGTGCGATGCTGGGGCACGTACGTCTTTATGGAGCTCTCCAGGTTGCTGGTGGAGCGCGCCCGCAGCAGCCCCGAAGTCAAGACTGCCGCTTGGGCAAAGACTTGGAACAAGAGCTTCTTCCGCAACTTGGCGTGGGCGCCATTGACTGTCCACTGGAGCATTCCCGGAGGAGGACCCCTGCCTGAGGCGCTGGTGGGCTTGCTGGCCATGTACCCATCGACAGGGCAGATGGTCGACCTTTGGCGGGAGACGGCGTAAGGACCGAGAGCCCTTATTTTTTTTTTTTTCTCTTCTTAGAAGTCCTGGTGAAAGGGGCGAGCACATCTGTTTTGGTGTTGCGCGAGCGGCTGTGCAACATAGGATAGACTTAGGAGAGGGGGGGGGAAGACTCACAGTACACCGAAAGATTGCCTGTCTTACGACAACGTATAGATTTACAGCGGGAAAGGACTATCCCCGCCGGAGTAAATGCTGGTAGAAGGTGGGAGATCTGATATGTAGGTAAGCTTCTTGGTCTGTCTTTGCTTCACTGGGGTTTGCATGTAATAGCTCTATTATATATTTGCCATTTACGTTTATGATTTAACGCATGTACTTCTCTTATATATATATATATTTTGTTTATCTCATCTATGCTGCTTGATATATGAGCCGCTCACATCTCCCATCGCTGAATAAAGTAAAACAAGAAGAAAAAAAAAAGACCCAAGAAAAAGGCACGCTGCCAGTCGTCTACATGTTGAACCGCTGAATCTCCTGCAACGTCCAAAACTTCCTCATATTCTCCGCCCCCAACGACCTCACCTCGTCATCCAGATGCGCCCACAGCACGCCTCCCCAGCTCTCCATCTTCTCCTTCAAGACGCTCATCTCAAAGTCCTTCTCCCCGCGCTTGCACTGGCTGATGTACTCCTCAAACTTCTCCAGCCCGTCGTGGATCTGCGCGTGCTGCTTCACCAGGTCGCCGTTCTTGGGGTCAAACTCGGGCATGCGCTTGGCCAGCATGGGGAAGAAGTACGTCTCTTCGATGCGGTGGTGCACGGTGAGGTGCTCGGCGAATTCGGTGCCGACCTGGAAGAGCTGCTTGAGGGACATGCCCTGGGGGCGGCGGCCGGTTGTGCAGGCTTGCCAGAGGACGTTCCATGATTGGCGGAAGTTGTTGTGCTGTGAGATGATGTATGTGTGAGATGGATCTTTGTACGAGTTTTTGTGTTTCGTTGAGCCGTTCAAGATGGGCGTGTGTGGTGTAAGTGAAGGGCTGTGGGAGTTTAACTTACAAACCAGTTCATCTTATCAGCAAGACGGTTGTACATTCTGAACTCATGATCTGAGAGCTTTGGGAGCTCGTCCTTGACAGGACATGGCTCTTTTGTGTCTTTTGATGCCTCTCCAGCTGTAGCCATGCTGAAGACGTTTCTCTGAGTCGCCGAATGGGATATATAAAAAGCCTGTCGCTTTGGTGTTGCAACAATATGTGCTCGCCTGGTTAAAACTCTACTGTTGAGCAGCAAATTTCTCCCCAGAGTCTTTGTAACAAGCATCCGTCTATTCGTTCTTTCTGCCTTTCATCTATACACCGCTAAGAAGGAATTCCTAAAGAGATGTCTTTTTATCCCAGAAATACAAAATTCGGCGCTCGCAAACTTGGAATCTCCGTGTTCGAGTAGCCCTCTAGCAGAGGCACCAATGATTGGCTGTGTTGAATGAGTCAGCCAAACACATCGCTCCACCGTCTTACACAAGCTTCTGTAAGCAGCAATTTTAGAAGAAAAGGTTCTCCATTTAAATGCGCGGTATCGCCTGTGATTCGGTCGTGTGGCTTGAGGATGGGTCGTGAGCGATAGTCCGGATCGCATTGTCGGTGTTGTTAGAGGCGATGTCTAGCAAGAAATAGACCTTGGGGTCTGTGATGTCCGCTAAGATTAACTACGAAAATAATCGGATCTTTCCCTATTGATTTCCATATTGGCGTTGATGGATGGCAAAAGTATCAAGTGTTATGATTCAGGTTATGGGAGTATCTCCTTGTATTTCCCAGCGGCTTAGAGCCTATAGAACACATTGAGTATGAATGTTCGTCCACAGAGTTGCCTCATTATTACCTGCTTCGGCGAATCTATCACAAATGATTCAGCTCTCTTCGGAGATTATACCGCCGATACATCCATCATCCATGTACACGAAGTCCACGTGTAGCTGAAGCCCATAGAACCTCAATGGTGTAGGACTGCTGCGGTTATAGAGAACAGGGGTTGCGCAATGTACCACTAACAACCGCGCGGGAAGCTTTTTGAGGCAGAAACTCGCACTTTGCTCTTATAGTAAGTCAGTCTCAAAGTTTGGACCTGAATCCGTGTTCCATTCAACAGTAAAAAAAAAATTAATAAATTTATAAATAATTAAATAATTAAATAATTAAATAAATAAATAAATAAATAAATAAAATAAATAAAATAAAATGAACAAAAATAAATCGTGGTGCAGACCACATCACACCACGCCGGGTGTAACCCGGAACACGTATCAGCGTAGTACATGTATTGTAATTTCCAGAATACATGTCCAAAGTGAGATGAGCAAAAAAATAAAAATGAAATGAAATGAAATAAAAATAAAGAAAGAAAATAAAGAAATGAGCCCTTTTTAGTGATTGGTAAATTTTCATTTGCTGCTATTGTCACCCGTCACACCTAAAGCAGTGCTTCACACCATCACGAACAACTGCTCAAACAAGTTTGCAAGTATCACAATCTCAAACAACAAATTCATCAAATCCATAACACCGGCGCTGTCTTACCATTCATATCCGTAAAACAATGCTCCCTCAGCTCATAACCGCCACGTGCTCTAGTCCAGCAACCTCGTCCGTCTCACTCAAAACCCTGCGTGCACACACCCTTCAGATCTCGGAGACGCAAGACATCGCTTGCGCACAACATCCACCAGCTCCGTCTTTGGTGTAACATAAGGGCGAATAGTCTTCCGCACATTGGTCCTCTGTTCAAAGGCATACGCCATCGCAAAGAGCTTCTCTTCGCTGAATGCAAGTCCCGAAAAGGAGATGCCAAGCGGGCCATTGGGAGCCGACTGCACAAGGTTCTTCCAGTAGGATGGCGTCCTGGGAGTGCCATCCGGACTGCGGCCCAGAGGCACGCTGACGACAGGCAAGCCAACTGCACTCGCCGGCGGGATCGAGTAGGGCGTGGGCATGACCATTGCGTCCAAGTTGTACTTCTCGATCGCCCCGGCTACGCAGTCGTTTCCCAGGAGGTCTCTGGTTTGAGTGATGTTGTGCCAGTAGGTTGGATCTGTATTGGAGACATCAAAGAATATGTCAGCGTCCCACGCGCTGGTGCTGATATTGGGGTAGTTCTCGCGAGGGTCTCGTCTCGTAAATTCCCGAACGTCTCCAAGACAAGTGATGTTGTTGGGGTTATGCGTGAGGAGATTGAGATACCTGTTTGGCAGGTCGGATAAGAAATCTGAGCCAATTGTGTTATAGGCAGCCTTTCGAGTACTGTTGATGCTGACCAGATACGGATACGCAACGGAGCAGCCCAAGTCGATATTGTCAACAACTTCTGCGCCGGCTGAGCGAATCACATCCAGCGCCTTCTCAAAGGCTTGCGGATTGCTTTCGGATGAGGAATCAAAATTCTTTACAGCCATGATGTCGCGGGACACGCCAATTCTCCTACCCCTGAGGCCCGAATCCTTGCATGCCGCAACGTAATCGGGCATCTCATCAAATGGAATCGCACTCGTGTAGTTGTCGCGCCCGTCACGTCCCGCCATGGCCTGCATCAAATACGCAGCATCTTTGACCGTCCGAGTCAGAGTCCCAACAGTGTCGTGTCTCGCCGAGTATGGAATCACCAAATATCTCGAAGTCAGCCCTACCGTGGGCCGGAATCCCACGACATTGTTTGCATGTGCCGGTTCCAGAATCGATCCTCCGGTATCTGTCCCGACGGCTGCCCACGTGAGCCCAATGGAGGAAGATATAGCGCTTCCGGATGATGACCCTCTGGGGTCTTGATCAGGGAAGTATGCGCCGATTGCTTGGCCGCCGTAGGCCGACCAGCCCTCGTGATTGACGATCTCTCTGGAGGATGCCCATTGCGATAGGTTGGCTTTGCCGAGAATGATGGCCCCGGCTTTGCGCAGTTTGGATGCAACGGTGCTATCCTCGGGAACTTTGGCCCCCAACAAGGCATATGAGCCAGCAGTGTTATTCATCTTATCGAATGTGGCAATGTTATCCTTGAGAAGAACCGGTATGCCATGAAGAGGCAGCTTGGAAGGATTAATGCCCGCTCTTCTCTCGGCATCACGCTCTGCGGCTATGGACAATGCATCAGGATTGACCTCAGTGACAGCTCTAAGGCTTGGATTGACTTCTTGTATTCTATCAATGTATGCCCGTACTAGGTCAACACTGGTGAAGAGATTTCTGTCCAACCCGGAGCGCAAGTCATCGAGCGTGGCATCAAGTAGAGGTGGAAAAGCATCATGAGTGTTTGGTAGGCAGTGGGAGAGAAAAGAAAAGGATACCACGTGTAAAACTGTGGCTAACGCTTGATGAGGTTTCATTGCTGAAAAATGCTCAATAACATTAATGGAGAGCCTGTTCGATATCGAAGACACAAATATTTACGGTTCCCGGGCAGTAAATAAGAACAAGTAGACATACACGTGTATATATATGAGTCAAACATATCAATACTTGGTGCGTATACGAATATTACGTTGGTAATAGTAATACAGCCACATGCCTCTAATGATGACCGGGGTTCTGAAGAAACACGGCTCTCCTAAATCACGCTACGGGCCATCGCTTCCGCCCCAGCTAATTTCTATCAGCAGGGTCCTTATGTTCCCTTCCCTGTACATGTGTGGTATAAACTAATAGTACTAAAATCCTAAAAAACAACTGTTTCCGCATTCGAGTCCACATATTTAGGACATATTACATAGAGGCCGATCAAGGCTGGGCGTTCTGAGACAGGAGATCTGCTACACTTTCATCATATCCTATGACTGGAATACGACTGGAATGCGGATAATATGTGACGTAGATCACACCTCATTTTATTAAGCTTCGCCTTGGGCGTTATATTTCTCTATCCAATGAGGTCAGTGTAGTTGCTCACAATTCCAAGCTAAGGTTGAGCAATAGCTACAGCAGAGAGAATGATGGGAGATGCCAACGGCTTTAGCTACAGGGTTCTAAAGTTGAGGGAACAGCCGCCATTGGAGAGGGAGACTTCTTTTGAGTGCATTCATCTGCTCTCCTGTAGGCTCATCATGAGCTAGATTGTCGGAAACTTTTCTGTAAGATATTACATAAAACCAGACGACTATCATCCGAGTATTAAAGTAGCAGTACAAATACAACTGGCATATGGCCCTCCCTAGGCTGTTTATCCGCACCCAGCGAAATCCCATCTTCTCCCTAAATAATTCCCATTGTCCTGCGGCTATCTGACTCAGAGACAGGCATAGTATTATGAGGCCTAACGCCATGTCATAGATCGTGCTCCTTTAGCTCCCTTATGGATATACCGGCACAACTCCAGCCGAGACACAATTCGCTTCGCCAACACCGCTTATTCGGCACCAACTTCGATAGTGGAGTGGCAAGGCGGGACTATGGTCGACTGCGGTGCAGCCTTATCTCTACCAATCGAAAGCAAGCTGTACAGGTGTCTCAGTCCAATGCCACTTGAATGGCGCAAGGGATGGGAATCCCTGTCCTCAGCTGGTTGCCGTAACTGTTTCACCCGGCTTTGTGCCTGCCGGATGGAACATGTTGTTGGCAATCCCCTTGCTTGAAGCTGGCATCACTAGTCAATCTACGTCCAAGTCGTACCAATGTCCAACAAATGATATATCCCTGCATTGTAGATCTTTCCTACTCTAAGTCCTCCTTGCCAAATGCCTGGATCCGAACTTGAGATGAATCTCAGTCATTACTAAAGACTATTGCTGAGGTGGCAATTTCTGTGTAGCGCCATTGGCGTCGGGTGTAACCTCTTTACGTCAATAATTGTCCAAGTTATAAAATGGACACCGATGTCCGGGTTTTTGATACGATAGGGAAGAAGTAAACCAAAGCAGCGAAACAATGTCGGAAGACAAAACTGGCTAAATTCGAGCCATGCCAACAGCTATTATCACACACTTACCGATCCATTGAAACATTTGGCAGGACATATACGTCTATATCCAGCTGATGCAAAGCACAAACTCTGCCTCTGATTATTTGTATACATGTATATAATTCTAGATTTAACAAAGCACACCCGTTTTTACATCCATCTACTCCTCATCTTCCAATTCAACAATCCTCAGCGAATCCTTCCAAAGCCTAGCCTCCTCCTCAGCATTGTACGTATGGCCTGCAGTAGTCGAGCTCATCATGTTCCCATCATCAGGTCCAGTCTCCGCCACCGCAACATTCGCCAGATACTTTCCTCCCTTGCCCTCCCACTCCCTACCAATCGCCGCCCACACCTGTGTCGCAGCACCTTGCTCAGGACTCTTCATCACCTTAAGAATCTCGGGGCCATACGACGCCATCATACCCTTCGTATCCTCCTCAGTAAAGTATCGCATCAGGCCGGTAGTGATGCCGCCAGGGTGAAGACTCAGCCCGTGAAGGCCGCGCGCGCCGTACAGACGCTCAATCTGATTGGCCATGTAGACGTTTGCAGTCTTGGACTGGGCGTAGGACACCCACTTGTCGTAGCCTCCCTTCTGGAAATCATAGTTGTCCGAGGCGAGGATGCCGTGCATACGGTGAGAAGAAGAAGAAACATTGACCACGCGGCTGGCAAATTCAGGGGTGCTGCCGGCGAGAAGAGCGGGCTTGAGGAGTTGGAAGAAGAGGAAGTGAGAGAGGTGGTTGACGCCGAATTGCATTTCGTGGCCGTCTTGGGTGAGCTGCAAGTCGGGGATGGCCATGACGCCAGCATTGTTGATGAGGATGCTGATCTTGTCGGTATCTGCCAAGATGATCTTTGCCGCAGCTCGGACGCTCTTGAGGGAGGTCTGGTCCATCTCGACGAGTTTCATGCGAGAAGGCTCAAAGATGCCGTCAAGCGCATTTTTGGCTTTGGTGAGATCTCTGGCAGTGAGGTAGAAGGGGGCTCCTGTGGTGGACAGAGCGCGGACGGTCTCGACACCAAGACCGGAGGAGACACCGGTGACAACAATGACCTTGTTCTTGAGCTTGTCGGTCATTCCTTCATCTTGGACGACCTGGAGAGCAGTTGGTCTAGCATCACCAGGACCTTCGGGGGAGACGTGAGCTTCGGCGTAACGAGACATGTTATATGTATATGAGTATTTTTTTAAAGAGCAATGTGAGTTGTAAATGGTGAATGTGGTGAAAGTGTGTCTGTTTAAAAGCTCTCTGATGATTTCTCTCCTGTTTCCGGTAGATCGCTACAGACTCTTATATATCTACACATGTATAACGTCCGACCTACCCGATTCTCTCCTAGCCCTTCAACTACCACCAAATACCCACCACAACTACGCAGAACTTTCCAGGTGCACTGAAACGCTCCTGAAAATCCGCGAATAGCCTCAAAACCCCGTCGACTTATACGCTGATACTTTTTGCCCGATCCCGCCTAGCCCCAGCTCCAGTCCGCCATCCGGACTCCGTTGCTGCGGGCCCCACCCGGCGATGCCAGCGGACGCTGATGTTTTTTGCTGCTTTGGGATGGCCCGTCGGCTTTTCTCCTAAACGCCGGTACCTAGCTGCAGATGGCAGTACATTCTACAACGTTATTTTCAGGGGCATAGCTTTGAATCAAATACGGGTGTAAATGTATTCTAACTATTGTACGGAGTAGTAGAGTATGTAGTCTACACGCGAGTTTAAAGTTATTTCTGAATCCATGTATATGAAGCTACAGTTCATAGACTTGGGATATGCCTAATTCTATGTTGTGATGAACAATTACCATAGTCTATGATGCTAACAAGACGCCATAATATACGATATACATGTGATACTTGAGTCGAAGAGCACCAACTGATAATAACAGAACCCTATTTCATACCCATCATCAAGTCAATCGCCTTGTATGTTAAAGTAAATGATGGAATCGAGGAGATTGGCGCTACGATTTGGCGGATACGCGCTATATTACGGCGGATACGCGCTATATACATCTCGCCGTCACGCACTTATGCAGCGCCTTTACTATTATGTCCGGCAAGCTCCGCCTCTGTGGGGAACCACGGCGGATGCTTCTGTGAGGAACTCACTGTCTCTTTTTAACTACCCCTTTCAGCTCCTTCATGGTCGGTGGGAACATGGACGAGATAGTCTGTGTGCTTTGCAGTTCTAGTTTGATATCTGCTGCTATTATATTCCCCCCTTCTACTGAATGAAATACTACACACACTTGTATAATGATTCCACTTGAGAGAACGCACTCTCCCAATGGAGATGCGATATCCGCCAAAGCCACACCTGATACGACAACCAACGAGATCCGTCAAGCCCGTAGAAAGATTCAAAACAGGGTCAATCAGAGAGCATTCCGTATGTACATGGCCTTCTTACAAGCGTAGCAGCATCTTCTACTACAACAAAGAGGGGTTTGTTAACAGAATCGGGCCAAGGGTCGAGGGCCAAGGACAAGAAAGCGGCCGACGGCAGCACGGCAAACCCTTTCAGAGTCCATCGCTGGCGCGTAGATGACGGAAATGACGACATGCCAGCCCTCAAGCCAAAAGCAGACGCCAAAGCCGTCAAGAGAAAGTCCGCTCTGTCCAGCCCGCCGGCTCTCGGGGATCCTCCGTCACAGGCGGAAGAGCCACCGAGCAGTGATGAAAGCCATTCGCATCGTGCATTAATCTCCATGCCAGCTGCAACATACCCAGCCAAGCGTTCTGCTCCCTGGCTGAACCTGAGCTACTGCTTGCTCTCCGACCATCTCCTCCACCTCATCCACTTCAACGTGCTCCGGGGCCTCTCTTACAACAAAAAGTTTCTCCAACCATGCGCCTTCTCTAAGTGCAGCAGCACGCCATCAATCACTCTGAAACGCATCCTGCCGCATATTCCAGATGAAAGCATCCTCAGGGCTCTGCGGCTCCCCGAAAACTTGACTCCCACAAGCCTGCAGCTCTCATGCCGCCACTCCAGCTGGATTGACGTGTTTCCCTTTCCGGAGATGAGAGACAATCTGATTCGGTACGAGGACTACTTTAGTCATGCGGAGTTTCTGACAGACGTGCTGGGGAATCTAATTAGCTGCATGGACAGTTCGTGTGACTCGCCTGCCAGGATGGCAAACGCGCTGCCGGGATCCAAGGATCATGACGATGCTCCTGACCGCAGGGGGCTGATCTTGTGGGGGGAGCCGTACCAGCGGGAGAGCTGGGAGGTGACTCCGGGGTTTCTTAGAAAGTGGTGGTGGGTGGTGAAGGGATGTGGTGGGTTGATTGATTCGACTAATAGATGGAGGACGGTGAGGGGGGAGAGACCATTGCGGATGGCTATACTGTCACAGTAGCAAGTAGCACTTTATGATTATGATTATTATTGTACATAGGAGACTTTATATGTGTGTAATAGGTTTTGGCTATAAGATGTAGCTTCTCAACGCTGTATATCTTCAAGTCGTCATGAGTGTCATTAACGTGAATACCATATTGGGTATCATCTTCCATCAAAATGGTCTATCGGGGTATTCCATATCGTACATCCTCCTTTTTTTTTTTTTTTTTTTTTTGCGGCTTAATAGTTTCTTTTCTTTTTTCTTTCTCTGGAGATTATGCTTGTAATTGTATCGCATCTCCAACTTCGTACGCCGGCGGTGGATCCATGACAACAACGTCAAACGTCGCCACAGCATACTTGATATCACTCCCCAGTCCAATCGAGATGCCCGTCACAATCTCCATCGCATGGTCCAGCCTCACTATACAAGACTCCGTCGTCGGCTTCGTATTCATGACGAAAAAGTTGCCCCACGCGCCCGAGTCCAGCTCAAAGACTTCGCTATCAATCTTAACCGCGCCGGCCATGCTGCACCCGTGTTTTCTCTGGGTGGCTGTCCGCGGCAGCATACCAACAGAAGTCATGACAGTAGACTTTAGGTCCATGGACACGCTTCGCAGATATACGTTGCCCGATTCGATCATGTCGGTGGGTGTGTGGATAACGACCCGCACTGGAGTTGGCTGGCCGCGGATGAGAATCGCCGGCTGGGGCAGGAGAACCTCGACTTTGACTGATGGCGAGTATTTCAGACTATATGATGGACATGAGCCGTCGGCGTGCTCTTGATCCATTAATGTATTTCGTTGGCGCGCATATCTTCGGCCAGATTTGTCATCCATCGCCACTGATAGAACGCAGGACGATCTGGGGAGCGATGTCGTGGTTGGGGTGCAGCTGAAGGGGATCTCAACCGCCACGCTCTTGACTTTTGTCATTGGACCGAGGATGCAGCGGCCCACTGAGACGACAATACCGTACGTTACTTTGACGCTCATTTCGGGCTCGATTATGTTCATTGAAGGCGGGAGTTGGCACTTTTGAGGTCTGGCGCAGTAGCAGTTGGCCTCGGCTGGGAATTGGAAGTCGATGGGAGTGGTGTATATCGATTCGCCAGAGGCTTCATCTTCGTCCCACTGCAAATCTCTGTATTCGATTTTCCTTGTTTCCTCAAACAACTAGTGATACATGTTAGTCATTCTCAATGTACTTGATTGCTTGTACAAGAAGACACGACGCCGCTTACCACTGTTGTAAACTGTCCCGGGCTGGCCCCATTAACATGTGTGGGAAACGACACCACCATGGTGCCGACGAATTTGACCGAGATGCGAGGCGATTTGTGAAAGGTAGGACCTCGGATTTCGAACAAGGCTTTTACGTGGTCTTGCGCAAGATACGGCCCCTGATGGGCATCTTGCAGATCGAGATTCAGCTTCATAGTGGGAGAATTGGGTGACCAGGGCGTGGTGGAGGTCTCGTTGGTGTCGCGAAGACAGTCCGGAGTAGTTGTACGGCAGTTGACTATACATTAAATGTATTTGTGTACAAGATTAATTATATGTGATAACGTCGCATTGAGTCAATTAGTAGCAAGCGTGTATTAGATGTTGATGGTGTTCATGATTCAACTGCCTGCCATGTGCATATATATATATTCAATCGTGATAGCTATCCACTTTGCAAAACACACCATGCAAGCCACCCGTTTGACCTATCAGTTTGTCTTTCATGATTACCGACAATCGCCGAGCTAGTTAATTTTTCTAGAACACTGCTAGGTCATTAAGTGAGAACCAATGGCGTATGCCATCATTGCCGGATACCGGCTTTCGTTCCCCAGGCCACCTTTGAAAACGGCCCTATCGACGGACATGACTCGGTGTTAGGGCTCCCCACAGTGATGCCACGCGTTCGGACATTCGGCGTTGCATGCAAATCATCAGCAGATTCGCCGGCAGAGCCTTTTTTGCACACTGTAGATAATAGCGCAGACGGAGATGCGCCGCCGCCGAGATTTAGGTTGACTTGCGATTCCGTAATAGGATACCCGAGGTTATGCATTGGCAAATGAGCGTTTACCAGATTGAAAGTAGGGCGAAGTAATCAAATCCAAGTTTGTAAGTCGCGGTCTTGTCAACCAAAATGGAAATTAATTCTTTGAATGGATACGCCAGAATTCCATTCTCTATTAAGCTTAGTGACGCCTCACTACCGGCAGTTCCCTAGTGGATATAAGTGGATTGCGCCCATAATGTAGTCTATATAAAAACTTGATACAACGACGGAAATTATCAGAACACTATTCATCCAGGTCCCATAAGCCATTGAAACCCACAACTAAAACTACCTAGGAAAAATGAGGTATGTTTGTAGACCAGGTGGTGACAAACGATCCAGCAGGAAGAAAACAAAGGGTTCGGAAGATCTCAACGAGAATAAACAGCCTAGCCACGATGTACAGAAAATTAAACAAACAGAAGAGGAATAGCAAAAGGCCGAGCACCAAGATTCTCCCCATGATACCAACGACATCTTCGATCTGATCATCATATTCATCCAATACCAGAAGCAAACCACCTGCAAACGCAAAACCCAGGGGAAATGCAACCGAATAGATGCTTGCGCACCGCCACCACACTAACTCAATGGTTGTCGGGAAATCAAAGTTCCACGCGGTTACATGGACTCCGCCAAATACAGCTGCGCCAATGCCTGTAACAAGCACAGTACCCCAGATCCGCAAACCACTATTAGTATGGCGTTCAGTACTAGGTTCTATCCCATTAGAGTTACCAGCAACTTGTGGCTCAGAATCGACAATAACTTGTGGCTCGGGTTTGATGACAGTAACTTCTGACTTATGATCGACAACAGCTGCCTTTGGCTCAGGTGAATATGAATTGCCATCTGCCTCTTTCCGAGCCATCATATAGCACTTTTCGAGAATCTCTTCGAGTGTTGCCTCCTGTGCACTAGAGTAAGCAAGGATGGCGATAGGCGTTGAAACGCTCTGCGGCTTATGCATATACAAGCCATACACGATGACTGCACAAATTGCGAAAGCTACTACAGCGATCTCGAGTGGAGATGAAGGAAGGTTTTTAGCAGCCCGAGCAATTATTTGCACAATGCTCCATGTTATCTGACCAATCGCGATGAACTTGCCCAAAGTGTCATTCTTGGACTTGTCTTTTATCTCTTCGACCCTAATATCAGGCAGGGACTTGATAACCCTTTTGGATCGAAGATTATAGAGCTGATTATCAGAGAGACAATGTAGTTTCCCTCCTCTCAGTTGTTTGTTGGTAGTTTCGAAATCTTTCAACAGCTGTTTACTTCGTATGGCGAAACCCCCCATCCTTGCAAAATAGCTGTGCCTCAAGGTCCAGGCCACGCCGTCCTCATCAGCGTAACGTTTCATACGTTGCTGTAGCTCGCGTGCTCGAACCAAGTCACTGAAAGCTTTTCCTACCGCATATTCTGGAGCCAGAGCGGTGGTGATCATCAGCAACGCCTTGTTTCCAAACGCTTTCAGTGTCCATTTGAGATGACCTAAAATTCCAGGATTACAACCGTTGCGTTGTTCTGGAATATCAGGATGTTGGAGCGTCCATGTGCAGGCAAATATCGTGAAGAGAGAGCTCCATAATATATTCAGAGTTCCACGAGTGTCAGGAGATGATACGAATAAAAATTCCGAGTGTGGATTGGGGGCGGAGCATGTTGTTTCGAAAGTCGTATACGCTTCAACAAGCGGAACTAGGCTTAGAAGAAATAATAAACTGGATGGACCTGGAAGTTCCATTGATTATGATATTTCAATGCCACAACCAGACGAATTTTGGGTGCTAGGAGTGCAGGATTTGCGCCTTGAAGGAAGACATACCAGAAGGCTGGCGATAGCTGAAAGGCCTAACTTATATAATAAGAGAGGGCGGCATATGTTTCAAGAGCAATATTGGACAATAACAGTCATCACCGAAGACTAATTCTATTGGTAGGCAAAAATTTTAATTTCCACAGCTGGCAGTTATTAATTGGTTACACTTGGACGAGCTGAAGCAGGGAACAGGCTGAGGCAAGGTAGCATCGCAAAGCGAACCAATTGCCTTCAGAACACACAGCCTTTACGCCCTCTATAAATTGAATCTGACAAAAAGCAAGATCTAATCTAATGTAAATAGGAAATATTAAAAGTAAATAATGAGAAAGAATGGAATAAGACAAGCAAATGGAAGCAGGAGAATACCGTTTATTGGGCCCTCTTTTACTAAGAATTTTGAATCTGGATCTTAAGCGTAGCAGGTTTATCTTTGACAGGGAATTTTTGGGCAGCGACTCGTTGACGCCTAAGATCGGTTTTATTGACAAATAGACCGAAGTAACGAGCTATCAGTTGCCTATACTTAGAAGATGCAATCAGGCTGAGACATGGAGGCGTTCCCGTGTGTAACAATAATATTCTAGGATTTCCGACTTATGGTCGTGCAAAAGAAATGTTAATTAAAAGGACAAGAACCAATCAAAAGAAGCACAGAAAAAGTAAACAGACGATATGCATAAATGAAAGATAAGAGGCAAAAAGCCACATAAGTAAACCGGAAGGGGGAAAAAAAAAAAAAAAAAAAAAAAAAAAAAGTAAAAAAGAAGACCCTCTTAGAGGGTTGGCGGTACTCTCCCGCCGGGAATTGAACCCGGGTCTCAAGCGTGACAAGCTTGCATACTGACCACTATACTACGGAAGATGATTGACTGTGAGCAGCCAAGGTAGGTGGTTTGGTTGAGAGGGGCGGTCTTAAAGTAGTTTATAAAGGTTTGTCGTCCACACAGGACGATAATGTTGCATTGCATTTGTCGTGGTCAGCTTCAGCTCTATTTTAATCACATACCATTGTGAGTGCAACACAGGTTTTGAACAGCACCACAGCTGAAATTAAATACCACCATGCAATTTACTTTTTAATTCACTCATTTTATTATCTATTTTGCTAGCTAGAGAAGAGATGTTTTGACCTGATGGCACCTACTGCAACCAATTTGAAGCCGGTGAAGCTATTCCAGGGTATGCGCATAACCACCACCACCCCGAGACAGCAACTCCGTAAAAGCCCGATTCGCCGCCATCGAGTCTCCACTGTCTATAGCATATGTCCAGTATTAATTTCTACTGTTAAATAGGTAACTACACCAATCAATGTTATACATCTATACATGTACAAGTGCATACCTCGTTACAGCTCAGCTTGTATACTAGGTAACTAACAGTATAGACTATATCACACCCGTCAATCAAGCACCTCAAGCCTCATCCATCACTCCATCACCACTCACAACCCACCAAAATGCAACACCGTCAACGCCACCAAAAGTGTCAAAATCTTCTCATACCCACCGGATCTGCCGGCCAAGTGGATCCCCACGGCGCCGCCTCATTTGTCCAAAGCCGCAGCTTAAAACAGAGCTTCTCTATTCTCTCAACTACGTAACATCCCGACTCAATCAGTCAGCCCACACCCATTCCCATCCTTCCGAGCAACAATGAAAACAAATAAAAATTTTCTTCCCGAAGCCGATCGAATCTCACACAAATGAAGTCATAACTTGCCATTATAAGCAGTGTTTTAGCTTCAACCTGTCCCGCATGACGACACAATCCGAAGATCTCAGCTATTCGGGAATAAAAAACTGCAATGCAGGTAACCTTGAAGGCCACATTTATCCACACACGTTGCAAATGGGGACAAGGTCAGATCAGACATTACCACCACCACCACCACCACTAAGAATGTTACTCTGTGCAAAAAGAGATATTCTCAATTTCTCTTGATACAGAAAAGCAATGATGATTGTTTTCTTCATCTCGTGACCTCGTGTTGAAGATGCCTGTCAATCCTCCATCCCGTCCCCCTAAGCGATGCAAATCCCCTAAAAATCGCCCACTAACACGAGTTAGCTGCTGCAAGGGCCCTTTCTCGTATCGGCACTTAGGAACCTGATAGTATCTCCTATTCTTTCTTCTCCCACCTCCTGCTTCGGCTCCTCGAATTAACAACTGAGACACCTTGAATAGACGGTGTAAGGGGGGAAAAATTCTCTTCCGGTTAACAACAACAACTGGCTACCTACACTAAATCCCTCTTTCTCTTCTCCTTTACTGACTGCAGACGCAGCACTGCGTTTCAACGCACTTACCACTACTGCTAGGTGCATGCATATACGTGCTATATTTACACCAACCTCGAGTCAGGCGCAGCCACAACAATCAATCCAATCCTGCCAGCAATGCCTCTTTCAATTCTCAGCTCAGCACCAACCAGACGCAACGTATTCTCTCTCATCGCCACACACATCTCGTATGCACAAGCAAACAGCAGCAAAGTAATCCATCCATCCAATAACATGTACACAGCATCCACTGTACGTATGCACCACACCACATCTCCTCAGCGTTGCCGATCTCCATAATCCCCGGCCGCTCCTCCTCAGCCCTAGTCAATAGTTGAGCTCCCGAAATCGTCATACCGTAGCTTTCGTCCCTCGTCTTTCCTCGTGCAAACCAGTAAAATTGAACCCTGCAGCATCGCTCTAGTCCCACCTAAAAAGCAGGGGGGGAGACACACGCATACAACGACGCATTCGCTGTACATCCCTCACTGTAGCTGGATGCCACAGCATACATGTATAGTATGCACTTCGTGTCCGGCTTCTATCCCGGCATTGTCTCCCTGGAAAAGAAGCGTCTAGATCAAAGAAAGAAGAGAAGGGGGCCAAAAATAGACAAGGTAACTGCATCTGCATGTACATACAAACGTCGTATCTAGTGGCTTTTCGCCATGCGCAAGAGCCCAACAGGAGCCAAAACCTCGTGTTTGGTGCCGATCCACAGAGTCATCGATGATCTCATTTGCTCGGCCCGCTCCCCTCGACTCAAGTACCTATCCAACATGATGCTGAAAATAACAGCCGCTATTCATTGGCAGTTGTCAGTGCTTCTGCCCACTATATAACCGTCGTGAAGCCCACCGATCATCAGAGACATTCCAGTCATCACCACTCAGCCAACAACTAACACCAACAACCAACACTACAAAACCACACACACACACACAACTTTTTTTTCACCAAAACACAAACTCAACCCTACACAACCTTCTCAAAATGCAATTCTCCATCGCCGCCATCGTCCCCTTCCTGGCCAGCGCCAACGCCATCATCACCGGCATCGCGGTCCCTGAAACCATCAAGCCCGGCTCCCCCTTCGAGCTCACCATCGAGACCGAAAACTACATCCAAACCGTCGCTGACATTGCCATCGCCGTTGGCTTCGCTCCCGGCGATGGCTACCCCGGCGCTCTCGGCGAACTCCTCGGCTCATTCTACCTCGGACCTAGTACGTGCACACACTCCTATAAAAAAAATACTTCTTATCCTTATATGCATATATAATATAAGCTAACAGAAAAAAAACAGAAAACTCCAATGTCATCCATAACATCACCGAAACCGTCACCCTCCCCGCCGGCACTGCCCAGGGCGACGGCATCATCACCGCTACTGTCTACAGCCTCTACGGCGTTTCTCATGGCCCTTCACTCAACACCTACAACGTGACTATTACTGTCGGCAGCGAGACCTCTGAGACCCTCAAGTCTAGCTCCGCTTAAATGGATGAAATGAAACTAAACTAAACTGAACTGAAATGTACAGACGACATATACTACATGGCATATATGAAGGCGCTGAGGGACAACGGACTAATTTGATTTCGAGCATTGGATATCTTATCTTATAATTACTTTTTTTACATAGACTGGTATTATAGCCCCAAGCGGTATAATTAAACTTGATGTTACTTAAGTATTTACACCTCTCGTAAATGTGACACCTGGCTGCGCTTGAATCACTCATGCTACATCCTCAGCAAATGCATACAATCCGCCAAGTCAACCTCTCAATAACGAGCATCAACCCCGAACCTACCACATTCACAACAACATCAATGCATCCTCCAGGTAATAATCTAGGTATATTCCTTCCGTCCAGCCTATACTGGTATCCCATTATCATAAAGTATCAACGTCCCACCCAATGCACCGTATATAACGCTCAGCATGTATCTATTCTATAGGGGTATCAACAGCAACATCAAAAAAACAGCACACCACCCTCTTCATTTCCCATTAGGTCCCTTCACAGTCACCCCGTTCGCACTCCCCCAGACACTATTTGTAACCTTTGCTGGCACTTTCCTCCCCTTCAGCCTCTGATCAACCAGCCACGTCCCAACCACAAACTCGGCCCTGCTCAGCATCCCTGTCCTGCTGCGATCCACCAGGTCATATATCTCAGCCAGCTCATCCAGCGGCAGCCTCGAGCGCCTCCAGACCTCCCTCACCACCACGTTCGCCACGCACTGCGATACATCCCTGTCCAGATCGCTGCTGAGGCTCGTAGCCGGACTCATCAGCCGCGTGTCCGTCAGCAAGATACCGCGGTTCGACGCCCACAGCGCCTCGTAGCGCTTCCTCTCCCGCGGCCTAATCTCCTCGCGCCACTTCTTCCGCGATCCCTCGTGATGCGCATGCTTGCCCTTCCTCAATAGAGCCCTGTGTCCCTTCTTGTGGCTATCGTCCTCTTCGTCGGATACCTGGTGAGGATTCCGTAGCGTATGCAGCATTCTAGGCGATTTCTGCCGTTTCGGCACCGGAGGAGGAACCAGCGTCGAACCCGTATGATGCGGCGTCAGACGAGCCGAAGCCAGCGATCCGGCCATGATGGCATCGGTAAGGTTATCCAGCTGTGTATGGCCCGGCGATGCGGAGCCAGGATGTCGTGTAGGCGTCGACGCTGTGCTCGCCATCGAGTGTCTCCTGGATAGGTACATAGAGGACGGGCGAGAAGATCCGCTATGCTGGGGAGTCACCGCCTGCGCCGTAGAGAGGTACATAGAGGAAGGCCGAGAGGATCCGCTATGCTGGGGAGACACAGACTGCCCCGACCGAACCATTGCAGAAGCGATAGAAGCCCGCGACTGATTCGCCGCTGCGGCATCCAAATTATGGCTATACGACCTTCCTCGCAGCTTAGGTTGATCTCCACTCTCTGCACGTTTATGGCCATGACTCCCCCTCGGCTTCGGCGGCGTAGGCGGTCGTTTCACCACCAAAACATCGTGACTTTTCTTTGGCGGATCCGGCGAAGGCGATACCAGAGCAACATGTAAAGACGGGTTCAGCGTCAAGTGCGGAGAGGCCGTGGGACTCAACGGGGTCTTGGTCACCCGCATCGGCTGCGGGGACACGACCTCGGTGACATTCCTGCTCATAAGAGGTTTGAGAGGCGGAGGCGTAGCAGGATGGATCGCTCGCGGCGGTGATGTCGTAGCTTCTGACCGCGGTTGAGAACTCTTCGGTTTGGGTTTGGGTTTTGGTTTGTGCTGCGGTAAAGGACCTGTTGATGATGGATGCGCAGTATTCGCAGCAGCTGAAGCAGACGCTGCTGGAGTCATGGGCCTTTGAGGCGAAGTGATCGCTTTATTCTCTTTCGATTTATTCGTCGGAAGTTGCTGCTGCTGCTGCTGCTGATGTTTCCGCTGAGGTTGATCCCTATTATTATTACCATTAAGTTGCTGCTGCTGTTGTTGTTTCTGCGCAGTTTGCGACTCCGAGCTGTCTCCTCGCCGAAAACCAGGTCGCTGACCAACAGCAGCACCCGACACCTCCGCCGCCGGCGACATTGACTTTCCGTCCCCTCCCGGAGCTGTCTCAGCCATCGGGTCTCGGCGCGTCTTCGCTGCGGGAGGAGGCGTCGGCGGCGGCGCCCGCACATCTCGCTCGACCACCGTCGGAGTCTTCTTTGGCTTCTTCTTCGCCTTCTTCTGCAACACCACCGTCACCGCTGGCCTGATCTTGTCTTCAGCTCCGGCACCGCTGACGACCGACTCTGGCGGCGAAGGGCCTTTCCCTCCTCCTCCTCCTCCTCTCTCAAACATCGATATCAACGACCCGGCAGACGCCAACGGACCCGAATCCACGTCACCACCGACGCTGCCCCCAGCACTGCTCGCAGAGCTCATCGTCCTCACGCTCTCGGCCCGCCTCCCCGCCATCATCCTCGCAGTCGTAGTCGTCGTCGTCGTCGTCGTCGTCGTCGTCGTCGCTGTTCTCGTCGGACTCGCACTCCGACTCGCAGCCAGCGTCGCCGCAATGAGGCTCGGATTCTTGACATCCTTGCGCGACACCGCTGGCGCCAGGCCCAGATGCGCAGCCTGAGAGGCAAACGCCGCTGAGGAGGCGCCACCGCCGCCGGTATGACGCTGCTGCTGGCTTTCAAGCTGCTGCTGCGGCCTCGAAGCACCTAATCCCACCACCGCTGCGCCATGCTGCTGCTGCTGCTGCTGCTGCTGCTCTGGTGCCGAGGCTGTGGAAATCGTCCTCCCCGGACCAAGCTGTGCCCTCGTGCCGATCGTGTTGTTGTTATTCGAGCCGTTGGCCGTCGTCGTGCCTGTCGATCGAACCGCCTCCGTCGCAGCCGTATAGGCGCCATTGTCTCTCCTGCCCGCGACGTGGCTTTGGGCTCTCCCCAAGGGGTGTCTCGTCGCCGGCTCTTGTTGTCCCTGCTGCTGCTGCTGCTGTTGTTGTTGCTTCTGCTCGAGCTTGTCTCTCTGAAAGGCCAGCGTGGCGCCCCTAATTGCGGCGGAGGCGCTGTCCGCGGGCTTCATCACCGAGGATATATACTTTTATCGCGGGGCTGGCGACATTTAGATGAAAATAGAGCGTAGAAAAAAAAAAAAAAAAATAAGGTATTCCAATTTTCGATTAAAAGTAGGACGGACTTATTCGCAAGACCCCATTCCGATGAATAGAATAACAATACTTGCTAAGAATTGTAAAAGCTGACGAATAGCAAAACAAAAATAGGAGAGGCTGCCCGCAAAAAACGAAAAAGTCTTCGACCTTGAGAAACACGAATACGTGGAAGGATCCCCCAGTCAGCCCAGCCCAGCCCAGCCAAGCTCACACCAAACAGGGCCCCGAAACAGCCTCTTTTTGTTGGGGTTTTTCCTTCATACGGAACTTCGGTGCGCAGCTGCCGGACGCCCCGACTTTCTGGCGTTTCGTCGACGGGCGGAATGTGACCCTGCAGAAGCGCTAAAGAACAGCCGGGATCCACGCGATCAGTGCACGCATCCACTACAAGTGCCCTGCTGCCAGGGACACATGTGCTGTAGCGTCGACGCTCTGCCACCTGCTAGAACAGGCTGTTGGCTAGTGCTATACGGCATCAGCTGAGCTGGATTTGTCTCAACTCGGCATCCTTATGCTGGACGAGACCAGCTTCACCTTCACAGGAACATTTATATTTATATTCATCCGAATTTCAAACATTGAAACATTTTTCATGCTGCAAGACTGAGAAGAAATCGACGCAAAGAGAGACAAAGGGCCTCCCCCAATCAGTCAGAGCCATCCAATACCGAGCACACAAGCAAATACGAGCAGAATCCAACGCCAGCCGTTTCCCTTTTCGCCTTTCCAATCCCAAATCCATTTCCATTCCCTCTCCCCTCCTACACCTTGGGAATCTTCCATTAAGCCCCAATCCATGAATATAAAAAAAAAAGCAACAAGAAAGAAAGGGAAATCAAAAGAGGCAAAAGTACAACCAAAAAAGCTCAATGCTCAGCACAGCGCAGATATGACACAGGAAAAAAAAAAAGAATCGAACAAATGGAATAAAATGAAGCCGCAAACATTGCGCCATTGACTGCCTGCAGAACAGACAATGGCCCAGCAACGCCGTTCGTAGATGGCCCGCATCCGCATAAGCTCTTCATTCGTTTCGCTACCCAGAGGCAATCATAGGCAGTCAGTAGCATAGACACATCTCTCATGTACACCGTTTTCCAACATCAACTGTGAGAACACAGGACGTAGTGAGCGTTGACGAGCAACAGCAACGAGAAACGATCAAGGAAAGCCATCGTCGTCTGTCTCTGTCCATTCACCACCTCCTGAAGTGACTCGGTTGCCATCTTGATCAATCATCACAGGCGGTGCGTAAGCTGCAGGAACTCCCCGTGTACGCTTCGCCATGCTGCTAACTGGTCGGTGGCCCTGCTCGGGCTCCATCCGCTTGCCGCGAGAGGCCCGAAGCTTGGCGTAGTATGAGTCCGACATGTCTGGCTCTTCCTCGCTATAGTCGTCGTATGTCTCCCAGTTTTCAGAGCCGGTAACAACCGTCGAGGTGGTCGATGTGCTGGAGGTGAACCTGCTTTGGGCTGTTTGAGGATACCGCGGGACCTCTCGGATTGAGGAATAGCGGCTACCCTCATCTTCATCACCAAAGTAGCTGTGCTGGCGACTGTGCGACATGCTCGACTCACGGCTCATCCGGGACTGTGGCCTCTCATCATAGGTGTCCTCAGGCTCGACCGCACGGACAACGCTGGTGTTTGACCCCGTCGATTTATAAGGCTTGAATGGTGATTCCAGCGATGCGACGGATCTCAGTTCGCGCATCTTGGGCGGGGGAAGCCTGACGGAGCCGCCCTTACGCAAAGCCTCCATGCTCTTCTGAAATTGTGCTCTAGGCCGTTCTGGTGAGTTGCTGCCATCCTTCATCTTAGACAGAGGAGCTCTTGTGCTTGGCTGTCTCGTAGGGCTGCTAGGCACTGCGGTGGATTGTGAAAACATGGGTTGAGACTTGTTGCTCAGGTTGTATACGCTGGCCGTAGGAGTTTTTGTCATGGAACGAGGAGGCTGGGAGGCCTTGGTGGTAGTGGAAGGCCTGATTGCCGAAGATGATACTGACTTCATTAGGGCTTTGGTAGCCGATGGAGGAGGACCTGCCGGAGTCCTGGATCGAGTTGGAGCAGGCTTCTTTGAGTCTTCGGTATCCAACTCGTCGAGGTATCGCTCGCCAAAGACCAAGTACGGTCTATCGTACTCGTCTTCCCACTGCTCAAGTGCTTTGCGAACGTCGGCCGTCACCTTGGGTAGCTCTTTGGCAATACGCTTGCGCATCTTTTCTTCGCGCAGCAGCTTTCCGGGATCGCGCTTCTCGCCCTTCTGGCCGCGTAACATGAGTCGAGAGGCATCCTGGCTTGCTGCGACAAGTTCGTCTCGGTCCTTAATCAGAGCCTTATGCTTAGCAACAAGGTCGAGGATCGGTGCACGTTGCTCCTTGAGTGTCTCCAAGCGAGCAATCTCGCGCTCATGAGCCTCCAGTAGCGCATCACTGTAGACATCTGAAAAGGCAGGAGTAAACTCGAGCATGTCATCGTCCGAAAAGTACAGGGCATCCCAGAGTTCTTGAAGCTTGACGCGCGCGTCCTCAATGAAGATGTGCATGTTCTGTCGCTTTACCACGTTTAATCGCTCCAGCTCGTCTTCAAACTCGTTGATCTGGCGAATGCCGCAGCCTCTGTTCTCGTTAAGGAAAGCCTTGGTCTCCTCCTCGTCAATACCAAGCTTCTCCCAGAGGTTTTCAACTGTAGCCTTGAGTTCGCGTAGCTTCTTTTCGCGACTCTTCTTCTCGTCCAATAGTTTATCATGCTTCTCTTGCAGACGCTGGATGTCTTCCTGGTGAAGGCCAAGTTGCTCAGGAGCTTCGCGGTAATATTTGATGATGGCGGTATCTTGCTGAGCTTGGGGAACGCCAAGCTCGGCCCACAGCTGGATGATGTCGTCACCTAGTGTTTCCACCGTCGTGAGCCGGCGAGTATACTCTTCATACACTCGCGTGAACTCTGCGTCAAGGCGGGCTACGTATGATGGTGACAGATCGAATGTCAGTGGGACAGACTGGTTGGGACCGGTAGGTGGGAGAGCAATCTTGACGAAGGAAGGCTCTAGGTGTGATGAGTATGATTCGAGGGCTTCAACGAGCTCTGTAGCAAGTAAATGTTAGTAATGGTTTCCGAAAGCCAGCTGGGTTGCAGACAAAGATCCGCTCACTCTTGACTTGTTCAAATCGCTCTTTATGCTGCTTCTGCACCTGCCCATGCTTCTCCTTGAGCCTTTGCAGGCAGGGTATCAGAGGATACGAAAGCTTCAAGTCGTCGCCCGTCGAGTTTTTCCGTCGGGGCCTAGAGTCGTCCATCGAAGCTTCCATCTGTCGAATCGCCGTGACGGTCTTTTTGGCTTCGTCAATCATGTCCTTTTTCTCCTTTGTCACCGTGCGCAGGTGGTTGTTGAGTGCCTCCGACAGAGCTTGGAACAGCTACAGTGCCATTTTGCGTCAGCATCATCATGGCCGCATTAGTTTGTAGGAAGATGGAATCATCGCACCTCTGCCTCTCGAGCCTCGCGCTCATGGTCTGGCACGCCGATTTCGTCAAAGATACCATGCAGCTGGTCAATGCTGCTGTTGACCTGCTTGGAGAGGTAGCTGGAGTCCATGGCGAACAAAATCAGCCACCCCAGGCGACTCAAGTGTTGCGAAAGAGGTTTTTGCCGTCAAAGGCTTGGAATGCCTGAAGCTTCGTGGGTGCTCCAAGTCGAGCAAAGGCTTCTGGCGGCGATGAAGGAAAAGAGTTGCCTGGCAAAGCGTCTGTGGGAGGTGACAAGGAAGAGCGCGGGGCTCTCCTGGGATCTCGCAGGGGTGTCCAGTAAGGGAGTCGAGCTGGGCAGCTTTTTTTATCCCTTCCTTGGTAGGAGTAATTGGAGGGGAAACAAGATATCAATGTTAGACAGTCATGAAGGATAAATAGTAGTGCTGATCAATCTTGATGTGCGCCAGAGAGATCGTCCGTCAGGCGGCAATCGATAGCTGTCGATAAAGCGAAGAAGAGTAAATACAGAAATAAACCTTCCTTGTTTCAACAAGCGCTTGTATTCGGTAAGGAAAAAAGTAACGAGAGTCGGCGCTGCGTCAAGCCTCGCCTCAATCAATGCACGGTCTGCAAAGATGGTGAAGAAGAAGGAAAAAGAAGAATTGCAAAAGCGAGACCTGCAGCGGCCATGAGACAGCTTTTGCATGAAAAATGGCTGCGACTCTGGGGCCAAACGAGTGGCATTTGGCCGGCTGAAGATCCCCACTCTTTAGCCGCCCTGGTGCCGCATTGAGGGCTGAACGTTGCCATGGCGACGCCGATTGCCTTTTCGAGGCGCCCTGCGAGCGGCCCGCGCAGCGTGAGTGGCTGCTTCAGGGCGTAGCAAAGGCACTGACCCCGCGATGCCATCTTTGTCGTTCGGCTGAGATCGGGACGATGCCGTGTGTCTGTCTCCCTCTTTTTGAGTGAGAAATTGAGCAATCTCTTATGATTTACCACAATTTGAGTTCTAAATACTAGTACACTAAGATGTGGTTACAAAAAATTCATGTCGTAGAACCCGGCGTGAGCACTCTTGTTTCGCCATGGCAACCACTTTGCCAACCCAGCAGATGTTGTATATGTAACATGTTTACACGCACCGTTTGCATCATCATCTCTAGCCCGGCGCAGCAACTCCATTAGCCTCATGCAAAACATCACGCCGTCTGCCTTGTTTACGTGCATTCGGAATTCTTACTGGGCGCAGCAAAGACATGGGCCAGGGCCCGTAACCCCATGATTTTAGCGGCGGGCAGGGCTTTTTTTTTTTTCTTGTCTCACACACACAAGATCGCCTTGTTTACTGTCGGGAGAGGGACAATTCCACTAGGATCAGACAAGGTCCACGATCGTTAGGCCAATCCACGAGATCCTTCGTTGCCCATCAGCTGGTGGAGCTGTGTTACAATGACTCCGTTTTGTATCAGAAGTAAACATGCAATATGCCTGGTGGCGTCACTCAGCTGCTACCAGGTGCAGAGAAAGAGGAGCTATTGGTGTAATTCTTAGTGCTCACTCTGACCAGCCTTCCGTCTCGTTAGGTCGAACGGCCAATTAGAAACTAGAAATACAGCTACCAGTAGACATGAGAAAAATAGAGAAAAAAAGGTCAAAAAGAAACATCAACTCCGATACTGGGAATCGAACCCAGGGCTGCTCGGATCTTCATGAGAGCGAGCGATGTTAGCCACTACACCATATCGGATTAACTTGTTGAAAGGGCTTGCACTATTAGTCACTCTAAACTGTGGACCACTCTGGCCCACAAATCGCTTCCGCCCCTGCGCTGAAGAATCCGTCTCACTCTTGCTGGATACTCTCGACTATGTGAGTGGACTCCCCACTAAGCTTCAACGACTATTTACCGATCCATTTCTATGTTCCTTTCTTTACCATTCGAATCCATTTAGGCTATAGAAAATGTTGCCTATTATTAAATGCTCTTTAAAGGTCAAACAACTCATTACACTCCGTACAAAGGTCACAAGTACCCACTAATATGAATTTTGATGCGATACTCCGAATACTTCTCCATTCGGCATCTACTCGCAAAGCCACATTGCATTCGACTAGCACCTAAGCATAAAGTCTCCCTTCTACAGGTACAGGCATAAGCTTCGTAAACCTCAAAAGGCATAGCACTGTCGCATAAAATAGCCGATCACCCGAGCGACGGGCCGGCGCCATTGGCGATGAAGCGATCCAAACGCCCAAAACTCCGCCGGACTTCTATGCCGGTCTCTTGGAAGATACTATGAGTTAAGTAAATGTACTACTCCATGGTGTATGATACGCCTTAAAAACGAATGCCCAGAGGTATCTTATCCGTAATTAAACCCATGCTTAACAAGCCAATCCCACCCATTATGCATATACCAATTATATCGCATCGCTGGATCCCGACCACGACCGCATAGTCATGTCTTCTGGCCCGTCATCCGGAACGGGGTCACCCATGTCCATTATACCGTACATATCCCACGATAAAAAGTTTTGCAAATCATCCAAGTCGAGTGCTTCGCACATTGGCTGGGTCGGGGCGTTTCGCTTGGAATAGGCTGGAGGCGACAGCTGCGGCAACGCTGTTGGCACCGGCTGCTCATGCTGAAGACCCGACCGTGATGAAGTGAGGACGTCTTGGCTGAGACCGACAAGCTGCTGCGCCGCATTGTTGCGGTCCCATGCGGCGGCACCTGGACTTTCGGCTGACCAGCTCAATCCCCGAACGCCGCTTGCACGATCCGCCGCTCGTCTTGTTGCAATACCTGTCCGTGCAAGCGAGTGAAGAGAGATGGAGGGAAGGCTGAACTCTGGTGTGGCGTGAACGGGGCTAACGGACACACGAGTTGATCTGTAATGACACATCGGTCAGCAAAAGTACGTTTGGAGAAAAAATAAAATAAAATAAGGGACGACAGGCTTGGATATACTCACTTTTCGCCCTCGTGAGTTTCAGAGCGGACTTCAGACAGCATCCTGCTCACAAGATCATTGTGGCTAGTGGATTGCCGGATCTTGGACAGCCATCTATCAATTGTATTTGACTATGGTAAACATATTCAGTATTTGTAACACCTTATCGGGATTAGATTCGGAGACTCACTAGCGATTGCGCAATTGGAAATAGGGCAGACATCATCTTAAGAACCCGACGGTTGCTCTCAACAGCATTGATGGCATCTTCCATCTTTGACTGGGCATCGGGCCTGACTGGGTCGAGCAGCCGCGCAACGTAGTACAGCATCACCCTACTGCTGTCGTACACAAAATATGGCAGCAAACTGTCAGATAACAAGTGAGCTCCATGATCGGAAGCTTCAGCCAGAATATCTGCAATCTGCTGCGCATGATGGTAGCAATTGGCTTGTGCAGATTGAAGAAAGTCATGATGTTCTGGTGGCACGGAAAGGGGCTTGGGAAGCTTGAATAGGTCCGGCATGGATATCTTGTAGAGCTCCAAGTAGTTGTGGTGGTATGTGCAGTGTATTAGGACCAGTGCTCCTAGCTGATTTGAATCCAGTCGAGCATAAATAGTTTCCATAGAGTATTCGACAAATTCGGGCAGCTCCCTCTGCCACAGGCGGAGATCGGCGTCGAGGGCGGCGAATGGTGAGTCGGGGAGCCAAGGAGGAAGATTGGAGTCGAGCTGATTTACATATCTGACGATTCGTTTCCAGAGCGCTACTACTCGGATGTAGTATGCCATGATGCCCATGTTCGCAGACGGCTTTCTCGGCACCACGGACGGCGGTAAGAATTGGAGGACATGGCCTACGCCTAGAGTTTCCGTCACCGATGCGATTCGAAGCCCGAAATTTCTTTCATTCGTAGGCAGTTGGATCTTAATATCGTTTTCGCGTAGAAGGGTAAGCTGGTCGATACCACTACCTGCCCATGCATCGAGGACGTAACACGCCCACATGAGCCTCCGACGGCTTTCTCTGGTGACAACTGATGGGGTCGATTCTTTGGCTTCACTGCAAAGAACATCGGGGGATGCTTCGACGTTGATTTTCAGGGCATGAGCCATGCGGACAGCAAGACCGCTTAGCATCAGGGCATTGGAATACTCTCCTTGTCGGAAGTGAAAGTCATGAAGCAATATTGCGACCTAGTAAATGGTAAGCTGGGATCGTCATTATCGAATGGGTAGTATTAAGTTAGCATACCATGAGCCTTTGAACAGAAATCTTTCCAAAATTGGTCAAGACGAGGAACTCAGCTCTCTTGGCCCACTGGTTGCCTGCCAGGCGGATAAAACCAGCGGCTGGTGTGTGTTCATGTTGATTCAAAACGTAGAACCTGTAGGAAATCTAGTTAGGATGGCTATGGATCGCATCGTTATGATGTAGGGGTTCAGTGAGATGAGCTACATACTTTGCACCATGAGCACAAATGATGTGCAGCAGTGCCGATTCATCGTCCGTCGCAAAGCCCTTGTCCAGCTGCCGCATGAACGACGGCTTATGTACAAAGGCGAAACAGCGGATGGGATGGACGTTGGCAAAGTATTGCTCCACGACACGGCGCAAGTTGCGGCCGGTGGGAAGACTTGGTGAGACAAGCCTAGATGGACGAATGAATGCTGTCAGCGGGGGGACTCTCGTCTATCACGCACACCATAAAAGCCACCACATCGTTTCTTCTTCCCTCTCCCCCTGCGCCTTGTGATATTTCACATACCATGACAAAATGTCTGATCCTGATGGTTCGATAGAAGCAACGCTCTGCAAGCTTTCGAGGCCATTCAGCCCCGGCACCTCGCCCGGAATCTGCGGCTCTGCCGAGCCGTTGCTGGTCAATGGCGTGGCCAACTGAGGGTTCTCAGCCTCATCGCTGCCCTCGGCAAGCACAGCGATGGCAGCCAGCTCGCGCGACTTGCTCCGGCTACCTTCGGTCCTCGATCCGTGGTCCAGGTTGCGAGCCCATCGCGGGGCCGAGCCGCCGTCGTACACACACTCGGTCTTCTTGGCGGTGCATCGCGAGCACTTCGGGCGGTCGCCGTTGCACTTGGTCTTGGACAGGCGACAGCTCTTGCACGATCGATAGGTGCGGATCTTGCGCAGGGCCATGGGCGTGTTGCGGCTGGCGGTCAAGCCATTGTCGCCCACGCAGTCGAGCTGGAGGCGCTCGCAGTTGCGACATCCGTTGGGGCGGCCATCACACTTGACCTGCGATGCGCCGAAGAGGCATGGGTTAGGAAGCTGTAGACGCAGTAGAGCAGTGCAGTAGGGCAAAGAGGGCAGACAGAGAAGAAGTGGGCCAGCAGCTGGTGATGGGATAGGCTAATAGTAGCTGTAGAGCAGCTTAGCGGTGCTCACTCACCTTGCGCGCTCTGCACACCCGACAGCCCATCTTGGCGAGTGCGGCAAGCGCATAGAGAAGGGCCTAAAAAGCAATAAAAACTCGCCGCTGCAAAAGGCGCAAACAATCAACAAGGAGAGAGAAAAGAACGACCGAGTGCAGGGCCCGTCCGAGAATACTTCAACAGCGCTCTGATGCGACAGGCCGGCAGCCAGACTTTGGTGCAAATGGCCTGGCCGAGGGACCGATGGGCGTTAGTGCGGGTGACGTGCTCGGACGCCTCCAAGACGTTTTCGCCCATGACCCCATTGCGCGATTGCCCAGCGGCCCTATCAGACCGGCCAGCAATTACGTGTTTTTTGGGGCTGTCGATGAGGGCGATGAACCAGGTATAGGGAGGATTTGCTGGGAGCAATAACGCCGGCCGAGTGCCTGCTGGCGTGATGCCGGGCTTGGTTGACAGAAGACGGGCAGGCAGCCTCATTATCTTAGTACTTAGCAGGTAGATGGCAGCTGCCTACTACCTAGAAGATGGTGGTCTTGACGACAGCCGGATTTACCAAATTTCCACTCTTTCTGCTCTGCGCCTGCGAGCGAGTGTACCCGGAGAATACACCGGCCGGCGCTGTGCAGCCCAGCGGCCCGTCGGTGCCGGCCAAAGTATGCCGCATGTACCGCTAATCGTCGGCCCAGATTGGGTGCCAGCTCTAAATGCGTCACCCGCAATTCATATGGCGACACTGGCCGATGAGGAGTCGACGGGTATTTGCTGTGATGACTTCAAGTTACAACAGACAAAGTGTTTGGTTTCCTTCTTCATCGTGTAGTAGCAATATAGCATGGATACCAGTTTGATACATCTGGTGCTTTGATGAACTAGTACTGCAATAGCCTGTAATTGCTAACATGAGAGATGGCCAATAAGATGTTATGCCACTGTTACACGACGAGTCAAACCAGCCAGATTCAAAGATCAAAGCGCATCGGTTGCCACCACCCACAGACATGACACACACCTTAGACATCTCAACATCATTCCGAACCCCCAAACACCCATCACGTTATCTCTCAATTCCTGATGCAATCATGCTCTGAAACACCACAGCGGCCCGATGGATACATCCAGTCGTCTCCCCCACCCCTCCGAGCCATCTTCCAGCGAATAGCCAGCCGTGTACGAACCCTAATTGGCAAGCCAAAGGCCCCAGCAGCGTGACACTTGTGCTATCGCCTAGAGTGCATGAGTGCCGCCCAAAAGCCAAGTCTTTTTAGCCCATTATCCTCGTTGCATAGTTCTCCAGCGGTTATCTCGATACTGGCATGGTGCTGGATCTTTGGTTATGGACGTATGCCTGGATATGAGTTGATGAATACGTCGTAGCTTGATCTGCATGACGTCGTATCGCACCGCAATAAATATTATCTTGCTTACAACTAGCCTGGGCAGATACATGCATAGGTAGTGCATGTAAGCAGCCTGGGAGCGGGAAGCTCTGACTACCCCGGAAGAGCCTCCTTTCTGGATTACTCACCGTGAACACTGGACACGCACACCAGAGTCAAGAATGATTTTGTCTATATACACATGAACCGCTCAATATCTTACATTTTGACGAGCTGGAATTCTAGCCACTCAGTTCGTAATAGCGGGTGCCCGATAGTCCGTCAACTAGCACGGAGCTTCGGCATAGAGGCCTCGGTGCTGTCGGCCGACGGCCCGCCAATCGCCATTTGATCCATCAACATTGGCAAGATGAAACTCGCATGCAGAAGGTCCCTGGTGATATGAATCAGACTAGAATTAGTTCCAATGTATATGATTCTGGTTCCCTGTGATTTGATAATATTCCAGATAAACTTACGCTTTTGCCACGTCAAACGTTCTTACCCGCCGAACTGCCGCTACAGCAAATCCACTCCGACATCCGAAATCGTCTGATTCAGGAGCCAAGAAACATAAACAGAAAAAAGTGTATGCATTTTTACTAATATTTACCAACGCCCAGCCTATCTAAACGGGCCGTCCATTTTTACATTATCCGCACATTATTTGTTTTTTTCTACACGCCTCTCCTCTACTCCTCCATCTCCTCATCCTCAGCTGCCGCGGCAGCCTCGGCCTCCTTCTTGGCCTTGAATCCAGACGCCCACTCTTGCGCCTTGGCCATCACCTTATCCTTGCCCTTGGAGTCGAGCTTCTCTTCCCAGGCGGCCCATCTGCGGAACCACTTCTCCGCCTGCTGGGGCTTGAGACCCTTGACTCTCGTTCTCCTCTCGAATACGTCTCTCACGGCGGTATGATCGGCACTGGAGCTGGCAATACCGATTTCAAGATCCAGCAGCTGGTTCCAAATATCGCCCTTCTTGGGGAAGGCGGCGAGGAGACCCTCAAACATGGTTCGACCGCGCTCGGGCTCTCCGTTGGGTGATCGGAACTCGAGGGCCGCGAACCGGCTGACCATGTTCTGACCGTTGTGACTGTCAAGCTGCTGAGTGGCCCTCGGCAGCAGAGCTCGGGCACGGGCTGGCTCGTTCTTGGTGACGTGCAGGAAGTGTGCGTAGTTGGTCCAGACACTGGGTGCCTTGGCGCCAAACTTCTTGAGCATGGCTTCGAAAAGCTCATCCGCTTCCTATTGTAGAAATTAGTATATATTCTCAAAGTAATGGTAAAAGCGGAAGTCCTTACCTTGAGCTTCTCTGACTGGATGTAGATACTAGCCAGTCGCTCGTAAACCTCTTGCTCATCATTGTACTGGCAAGCTCGCTTGAATACATCCTCAACCGTGTGCTTGCTGCCGTACGCAACCTCCAAGTTAAGATAAGCAACCCAGACGTTGAGCTTCTCAGTCTCCTCGCGAATGTTGATGCTCTTGATGGCTCGCTCGGCCACTTCACGTGCCTTTGGCAGCTCGCTGACCTGCATCTGGAACGCCATGTACGCAATCCACAGCTCTGATGAATCAGGTTGACCCAAAAGCAGACGCTCGTAGTCGCTAGATGTCTGGGGGCCATGAGCATCGAGCTCAGCTGTTCGGTCAACCTGGGCCTCGGCCTTCTTCTTCCGCTTCTTCTTCTTGTCGGCATTTTCAGCCTGAGAACCGTCATCTGATTCTGAGCCAGCGTCATCGAACGGATTCGTCGACCACGCTGACTTTTTGCCTCCGCCGAGACCGCCAGTCTTCTTGGTGGTAGCGTCCTCCATCTCTTCGTCGCTATCATTCTCCGCTTCCTCCTCTGCCTCCTCCTCCTCCTCCTCGTCATCATCTGAAGAGTCGCCTTGGTTATCAGTACCAAGAATCTTGAGTAAAGCCTCCTCATCCAACTCCATGCCCTCACCATCATCGTCCTCATCTTCATCCTCATCATCGAGTGCTGCACCAGCATCAGACTCCATGTCAGTATCCTCGTCCTCGAAGAAGGATGGCTTGAGACCAAAGCTGATTCTCCTCTTTGTAGGATCGACCTCCAATACTCTGGCCTTCACCTTATCTCCCTCCTTGTACAACTTGGTGGCGTCCTTAACGGCGTTATCGGCCATCTGGGTTCGGTGACACAGACCACTGACGTTGGCTGAGTTGTCGATGACAATAAAGGCACCAAACTCTTCAACCTTGCGGACAACACCAGTGACAATTTGGCCCTCCTTGATATCGTTGTAACCTACCGGAGGCTTGTAATCCTCATCAACCACAGAAGACTTCAAGCTGAGCTCAAGTTGGTTTGTCGCGGCATCAAGGGAGATAACTCGGCCCTTTACTAGTTGATCAATCTGGAAGCTGTCTTTCCATTCCTTCAAGAATCGATCAGAAAGGTTTGAAATTTTAACAAAACCGGTGACTTGACCTCCCAGCAAGACAAAGACACCCTTGTCGGCGACATTCTTGACGAATCCTCGTACAATATCACCAGTGGAAAGCTGCGTAAACTTGCTAATTTCCTTGTCCGCAACAGGAAGGGTCGAGCTCATGATTCGAGAGGGTCGCATGGAGAGACGGATTCGCTTGTTGCTGGCGTCGACATCAACAATCGAAACACGAACGATATCGCCCTTCTTGTATTTCAGAGTGTCAACAGTGCCGTAATCATCAACCATATCGGGCAGATGGACAGGGCCAGAGACGTTTTCGCTGAGTTTCACTAGAACTTGTCGTTCGTTGACCTTGGTAATTTTTCCGGGCAGGGTCATGTTTTGCTTCAATGAAGCCCAGGTGATGGCCTCAGAGGCATTAGGTGATCGAGCAGAGAGGTCGAGACGCTTGTTTTTGGCATCGACCGATGTGACTCTGACTTTAATGGCCGAGCCGACCGGGAAATTGGCCTCTAGGTCGTTCAACAGAGACAAGTCGTCTGACGCTTCCATGATGGAAATGCGGCCTCGGACGTTGGGGGAAAGGTTGACCCAGAGATATTGGGATGTTACGTTGTTAACAAAAGCAATATGGTTACCACCGACTTTCAGATCCTCAAAAGTGATTGGTTTGGGCTCCTCATTACTGAGATCGCTAGGCTTAGAAGTAAGTTCCAAAACCGAGTGGGCAGATCTGTGGGAAAATGGCAAGTATCGGTGGTCTTTGGCATCGTGGACACCCATAATTTTGACACGGAGAATCTGCGTCTTGCTGAATTTGCCAAGGGGATCCTTTGGATCGAGAATATCCTCCCACTTATCGAAGATCTGAGAAACATCAAGACGGCCTTGAATTTCGCTGTCGACGAGCTGAACGTTCAACTGAGTGTCTTTGACCGACGTAATTCTGACCTTTGCTGTGCTGCCAAATGAGAGGCCATCCTCTGGGGCCGGAGCCTTAGAAGACTTGCTCTTGTTGCTATCATTCTCAATAACCAGAGGAGCGTCAGCGGGTGCAACCAAAATACGCTTCAACTCGGGAATTGTGGCAACGATTTTCACTTCGATGGATTCGTTCTTGCGCATACCAAAGTCGGGCTGTGCCTGAACATCGGCTGGCAGTCTTCCTCTCGGTAGCAACGCGTTGAGACTTCCAGCAAACTGAACGAACACAGCTGTGACGGTAATGTTTCTCACAAAACCCTGAACAATAGCACCAACTTTAGCGTCGTTGAAGCTCTTGAGGAGGCTGTTTTCTTGCGAAGCCTTGACCAAGCTAGGCTTCTGGGTGAGAGTGATGGCCCGGCGATTCTCGTTCTTCTCAAGAACCACGAGGTCAGACAGAGTCTGTCCAGTAGAGATTCGTTTCCAAGCATATTGGTTCTTTGACGTAGATTTGTCAGTAAGGTGGCCCACTGGTAGGATGGCCTTCAGCTGGCTGCCAACAAGCTCTACAAATATTTGATCCTCCGTCTTCTGGGTAACCTTGGCGGATACAATATCTCCCAGCTTCAAGTTCTTCAAAGCCGTCTGTTTCTCCAATCCAAAGGCGCTCGGGTCTTTGCAAGACACAATAAATCTTCTCGCTTCGGGATCGACCTCAAGAGCGTGTACGCTAAGGACTTGTCCAGCGCGGAAGTGCTCCATGGGGTCACGGATATAGGCTTCGCTCATCTCTGATACAGGAAGGAATCCCTTGAGGCTGCCGTAGAATTGAACGTGGGCTCCGTTCTGTTGAACCTTGACAATGGTACCAAGAGTTTGCATCCCGATGCTGACTTCGTCGTAAGATTTGATAGTAGGAGCCTCTGAATTCACCAGTGTCTTCTTGAGAGTAAGACGCATTTGCCTCTTAAGGGAGTTAGTAGAAAGAACGCGAGCCTTGACCTTCATTCCGACGCGGAACTTCTTTTCAGGGTTCTGGAGCCGGATATCAGACAAGTGGTTCTCGGGAACAAATCCAGTGATGCCCTCTGCAACCTTGACGATGAGCCCGGTAACACCCTGCTCCTTGATGATCAGCTTCTCAATTTCGCCGTTGATCACTGAGCCGATGGGAATGTCTTCAAGACGGATGTACTGCTGGTCAAGAATGCTTTTCGCAAAGGTGATGCTGAAAAGGCCATCCATCTCATTGTATCCAACGATTCGGCCGCGGTGGACGGATCCAACCTTGTAAGGTCCACTTGTTTCGTAGAGGGCTTCGACTTTTCCATCTTTGACTCGAGAGATGTGAACAAATCCGCCCAGACCAGCGATCCCGGTATCAACGAAGAGGCCAATGTTATCTTCGACATGGCGAACAGTGCATTTTTCGACAAAAGAGGAGATGGGCATCACTTCGATGGGCAGCCGCTGCTCATTTGTAGAATCCTGGCGTTTCCTTGTCAGAGACATGATGTGAGGCAACAGTGAGATGCCCAGCTTCGGCTCCTTGGCCGTTGGAAAGTTGCAAATGATTCTCGCCTTAACCTTGGATCCGACCTTGTACTTGGCCTTGAGGTCAGTGTCGTTTGGACCAACGCCGGAGTGGATCAAGTCAGCAGTAGCATCCACTGCGCCCATAATCTTTCCACCCAGGCCTCTGCCCTCATTTTCTGACACCAGGATATTGACGAGTGTACCGGGGAGGAAAGTGTTGATAGTGGTGGCATCGGCAGGGAAAGCCTTGGTGCTTCCGAGCTTGTCTTGCATCAAGGAAAGCTGCACTGTCTTGGCAGAGCCCTTGCCTGTGACCTGGCAGAGGAAGACGGCGCCTGGCTGGAGCCTCTCGTGGTCAATGAGGGGATCGATTTCGCTGTTGGGGAGGAAACCATTCAAGGCTGGTATTCCGAGATCCATGACGCAACCGCGATCCTCGACGCTGACCACCGAGGCCATGACGGTGCTGTTAGGCACAACATCGTCTTTTTCTAGTCCAGTGTTGGTCTCGCTGGGTCGCAGAGAGAGTTCAATCTTTTTCTTTCCCTTTCCGCTAGCAGTGCTATCCGATGTTGAGACCACATAAGCTCGCAGATACTGTCCGACCTTGAAAATGGATTGTAAGCTGATATCGCTCTCGTCAGATGACTCCTCTTCGTCACTGTCGCTCTCCTTGTCGGCGCCGCCTTCAAGTCTGCTCGTCAATTGCTCTGAAATAGTGACAATCGATGCATGTCCGGTGAGGTTGTTCGGTAATGAAATTTCAAGATTGAGTTTATTGATTTTCGTCACCTGTCCGAGGACTAGAGAGCCCTTGACCAGTCTCTGCAATGTCCGTTAGTTCAGATGTCCAATTTGCATCAATTGTCTGCGCAGAAGCCGTACCTTGAAGTTCAAGCTCTCAATCTTAATGGTGTCCTCATCTGCCTTCTTCTCCATCTTCTTATCACCCTTGGCCGCAGACTTCTTCACCTTCTTCTTCTGAGGCTTAGCGCTCGTCTCGAATTCCTCTTCCCGAATGGCGTCGGCTTTGGCTTCCATCTGGATCTTCTTCTGTTCGAGAGGCGTGAGGACGCTTCCGCCTCCACGGGGAAACACGGGCTCATCATCTTTCAAGACGGAGATGATTGGGGCCTTTGAGCGCTCTTCTGTGGCGGCGTCTGATTTGCGATGCGCCTTGGCAGCTGGCTTCGCATCCTTTGCTGATGCTTCTTTTTTTGTCGGTCGAGCTTCTTTGAAGTTTTTAGCCGACTTGGGAGGAGGATTGCCTCCAGGGGCATCCTTCCGCTTAAGGGTGCTCATTGTGGTTGTCAGCCGCAAGATGCAAAGGCAATCTCGTAGCCTTTAGCATGGACGACTTTGGCTTCAAAAAATGACCTGCACAGCTTCGACTTCAATCTCGATTTTTTTTTCTGGCGGGACACCGATAAGAGTAGCGTCGCGATAAGGAAAACAGAGTGGGTCTAGCAATTGAACCAGACCCGCTCGTGCCAGTCAAGCCACAACCCAACGAAGGGGCCTGTGTTGGGGGGCTATAGCACATGTCACTTGCTGACAGAAGGCCTCCTTGGCCGCTTTAGGGGAGAGAAGCGCCCAAGCCGCTATTGGAGCACCCGAAGACGCGCTGTGGCGCTCCAGGCATCGTCATCCATCATTATTACGGAGTCCGCCGAACAGAGTAGCGTCCGAGGTACCATCAATTACAGCTGAACCTTCCAGCCGCCTGCCTGCCTGCTCAACCTTCCGTCATCAAAATCCAAACTGCGTGTCCTTTTCCCTTTCCTCATCCATTCTATGGCCTCCTTTTTATCCTTATTGCGTTCGTGATGCCTCCTCGAAAGAGGCAACGCCCCAATCCTGCCACTCTGAGCTCGTCGAGCTTGCCAACCACGGCTCTGTCGCCCGAGACGTCACTGTCATTGGCGTCATCTGCCTCGGCGCAGCAAGCTAGCGACCAGAAAAGGCCTCCACAGCCTGGATCCAGTAGCGATCACAAGCCTTCGGATGCGTCACTTCGGGTAAAAGAGGTAAAAAAAAAAAATCTCCATTTCTCATCATCTACCATCGAGGCGTGGACCCCTGGATCTGGATGGACAGATTCTGACCGAGCGCAACAGGTTCGGAAAACCAACAGCTGGTACGCAACGTGGGCGAAGCCCGCAAAGGCCACAGCCTCTACGTCGATCGCTCGGGAGAACATTTTGGGAGACACTGTTAGATCCAGGAACGCGCCCGATTTCTCTCGATTTGACACGAAGCGAAGCGAAGACGACACGCATATCCCCGATAGCACCGACTCAGCTGCGCCGCCTGCATCATTTTCGTCCAAGTCGCGCAGTTCATCTACCAACAAGAAAACAGAAGAGAACAAGCCAGCAGATCCTTTACATACCGGAGGGAAAGATCTTAGGGCTTCGGGACCTGCTCCGGAAATGCCCCCGATTCCTAAAGCAAAGCCGGCTAGTGAGCAGCAGCAAACCCCGGAGCCCCAGCCCTCTCAGGAGCCCCAACCTGGGCTGGAGGTTTCTACAGGCGAAGGTGCACAAACAGCCGATGCTCCAGATGCTTCACAGGGACAAGCGGCCACAGCAGGGTGGTTCGGCTGGTGGGCTAGAGCTCCACCTGCCGAACCTCCTGCCCAACCTGCACCAAATCCCCAAACGATAAAAAAAGAAGAAGAACAAGCTTCCGAGCCCATCAAAGCTGTCGAGCCAGCTGAATCGGCACCACCTGAGCAAGCGCCCGCTTCGGAGCCTCCATCTGCCGAGAGTGCTACAGATGGTCCAAAGACGACCTCTTGGTTTGGCTTTTGGTATGGCACTCCTCAACCAGAAGCGAAAGCAGCTTCAGCGGTTGAGCCAGACGCATCCAAAGAACAACCGGCAGGTCAAGACACAGAAGCATCTTCGAAACACGAAACCGCCGCAAAATCAACAGCTCCATCAGGCAAAATGACCCCGCTCAAGAATGAACCCTCAAAAGGCTCAGCTGCTACCGTATCGCGATCCTCAAGCAAAAAGTCAAAGATCGAAGAAGAGTCAGCAGCCAAGGCCGAAGATGTGCCAACAAAAGATGTCCCTCCGCCTGAAGCGCCGCCGGCACAGAGCCCTCCCCCCAAGGCCGGCTCCACCTGGGCTTTCTGGTCCAGAGAGCCCTCGAAAAGTAAGGAGAAGACGCCACTACCAGAATCAGGGCAAATTGCGGTCATCGGTGAAGGATCAGAGGTCCAGCCAGCGCCCATGGCGGAAAGAACTATTTCGGATGCGCCGGCCAAAGATCCAAAAGATACTACGTTGGCACCGGAGCCACCAGCAGGCGTATTGTCGTGGCGTAGGAGCAAACGTATACGGCCCATATCGATGGATCTTGATATTCAGCGGCCACCATCCGCAGACAGTACAAAATCAGCTCCTGTAGAACGGAGCTTTGCCACCTCTTCTACAAATGCAGGCGCCGAACAAGAGCTGCCCGCTTCAAAATCACTAGCCAGGACCGACTCCAAGAAGAAGAAACAGGCGCCTTCAACGAAAGCGGCTCCTGAGAGCGAGTTGGCCGTAAAAGAACCGCCCAATGTGTTACTCCCGTCGTTTTCTAGCACATACCAGATGAAGGAGAATCCGTCTATCCTGCGACAAATTACGAATCTCGTGTTACGAACCTCGCAGCAACCTCCAAATCATGTCTTCCGAGTCAAAGACACCCCAAAGATCCGCAAGGCAATTGCTATTGGAGTTCATGGTTTCTTTCCTGCGACATACTTACGTCCTATGATAGGCCAGCCCACAGGAACCTCTCTCCGATTTGCAAATCTATGTGCCGAGGCTATTCGCAGATGGACCGATAATCATGGCAGCCCCAAGTGCGAAATTGAGAAAGTTGCCCTCGAAGGAGAAGGCAGAATTAACGATAGAGTAGCAAACCTGTGGAAGCTCCTACTAAACTGGATTGAGCAGATTCGCCAGGCCGATCTAGTCATCATTGCCTGCCACTCCCAAGGAGTGCCAGTCAGCATCATGCTGTTGGAGAAGCTGATTGACCTGGGCGTGCTAACAGACACCAGAGTTGGCGTCTGTGCCATGGCTGGCGTTGCCCTTGGCCCTTTTCCAGACTACAAATCTAGCATCCTTATGGGTTCAGTAGCAGAGCTGTGGGAGTTTGGAGACCCTCACAGCGCCAACTCAAAAAGGTTCGAAGCCTGCCTTAAACGGGTAGTCGATTATGGAGCTCGTGTTACGTTTGTGGGCAGTATCGATGACCAGGTCGTTCCCATGGAGGTAGGATCGCGTCCTTTTTTTGCTAACTATGTGATAGGAATAGCTAACACGTTTATAGTCCGCTGTATACTCGCCTGCAAACCACCCTTACATCTACCGTGCCGTCTTCATCGATGGTCGGGTGCATGCTCCAGATTTCATTTCCCATCTAATTGGATTCGCGCTCAAACTTCGCAATCTGGGCATATCAGATCACGGCCTTATTCGTGAACTCTCCGTTGCTCTTGCCGGGTCACTCTACTCTGGCGAAGGCCACTCACGCTTGTATTACGACGCAGCCGTATATGACCTCGCCATCATGCATGCTTTAGAGACGACTAGCACGGCACAACCCACGCCTTGTGAGATTCCAAAGCGAGACACAACACCTCTAGCATCATCGAATCCCTATGTCTTGCCATGGATCATGCGTGGTCTTTTGGAAGAGGATTTTGTCAAAACGCAGCTTAGTGCTGAAACGGAGGAGCTGCTAAAACAATTTGACGACTGGAAGCCAACGAATAAAGCGCTCAAAGACGTAAAGTATCGCCTTGAGGTTGTTCGTTCCAAACTATAAGCGTAGACGATCGATACCCCCCTGTTTATCTTACCATTTAATGTCGCATTTACGGCGCTTCTTTCAACGCCTCCCAACATGATTTTAATACAATTTTAGCACGCTGTACGCGCAAGCGACAAAAGAAGTGCATCAGTTTTTTTGAAGATTAGCGAAATAGCATGGTTAATTACGGATTCTGAGTTCTAGAGTGAGATTTACTTAAATCTTTCTGAATTATACATAGATACGTTGTAGAGAGGCGAAATGGGAATCATTTGATTGTGTAAGTATTTCAATGAAAGTGGTCGAGAATGATTTGATGTGCTGTGACTTGAATTTCTTCCATCTGTTTTCTTACTAATTAGAACAGTAATCAATAAAGATATGCAATGATTCCTTTCACTATCGACTTAAAAATAGCTGATGGATGCTAGACTAGGCGGTGACGAACGCATCTTGGCTGAGAAGTCCAGGCCAGAAAAGCGAACCTTCAAGCTTTAGATACCATTATGTAATGGAAAGACTGTTTACATATGCACTCTTATTCTTATACATAGAAGACTGGTTACGCAAATATACTGGTCCAAAATCTCTCGCAGACAAAGGGTGCTTGAAGTGGTGGCCACGGACCTCTATCATCCGGTTCTAGTTGATCTAGAACGTAAATTGAGGAGGGTTGAAACATACCTGAGAGAACATTTTGTAGGTAAGAATGACGTTTTAAAACCACTCAGGATAGGTATATCTGAAAGAATCCCAAATGATGTAGGCAGGGTTGCGAGATTTGACCGGGTGATGCTATACTTAGAAGTAAAAAACGTTGTCTTAATTTATTTCTTGGTCCTTCAATGGTCAGCGCCGGATAACTCGGTATGTTACGGTCTATGCAGGGGGTTTGACCATTGGTTGGCTATGGAATGGAGTCTTGTCTCACCTGTCCGGGCAGATGTGAGGTTCGCCACGTTGGAACTTTTGCGGCTGAGGTATAGCGGATATTGGAGAAACATGCATCGTTCTATGAGCCTCGTTTGCATATTTAAAGGGAGCATCTCTCACCACCAAACCGTTTTTTGTAGCGCCATTAACTCAAACTCACAACTTGCTGATTCTGATCTGCCATATTATCCACCATGATGTTCAAGCAAGCTACAGCGGCATTTCTCCATGCAAGCCTGTAAGTAGCACACGCTTATGTCTATCCCTTTGGACGGCATCTAACTGCTTTAGCTGCATGGGCATCGTTATCCCGATTACACCCTTGCCCACTCCGACTCCCTTCCCGATTGGCCCCATTGGGATTGATCCCCCCATCGCGATTGACCCCTTTCCGATCCCGGCTGAACCCTACCCTGCGGGCTGCCCAACTCACACTATTCAGCATAGCTGTCCTGCTATGACACTGCACTGTGGTCCTCAACCTGACTGTATAATACTCAAAACAGTTACGAGGCCGCTTTATTGTCCAACCCCTATGCCGACGGTGTTGGCTCCCTGCCCGACTTGCCATACTGGCTGTGGCACTGTTTGGGTGACGGTGACGCCTACAGGCGATAAAAATGTACCACTGGCAACCGCAGCATAAATGCATAAAAAAAAGTGCGGTTGTGGCGGGGACTATCTGAGTGTTTGTCTGTCCAGTTGTGGATGTTGTGAATGGTGGAACTTGGCAGTTGTGAATTTGATACGATATTTGCCGATGACTTAGTTATTTAAGCTGCACGTATGTAGTACGAAGAGAGCACAAGGGAATGTTGTTCGTCAGGTGTGTAGTACAAGGGTCCGCGTGATAACGTTGTATGCAGAGCCACCACTGCCATATCTATTAATGCTTATATTACCAAGATAGATACATTCAATTAGAATATTGCTCATCGCTACACTCTCATTGAGAACTGCCTAATGATAGTTTAAGAAAAGACATGTGCCACTACCCATGTAAATATTAGTAAAAGAAAGGGCTAAACGAATTACTGCTTATAAGGTCATCGCTCAATATCATAGATAGACTATCTAATACCCTGGAGGTAAGTATAACGTGTTTACTTTACTAATTCCCTCAAAATTTGAGGTCTGTAGTGCTCAATTCACGAACCAATCACTCTGATAAAAGAATTCGAGATTAAACTCAATCCCATAAGCATAGCTTCACTGGGAGCAGTAGCGACATTCCCAGGGCCACTACTGTCCTACTCTTACTTATACCTGCCGAGATTTTAGCTGCTTTCACAACCGTAAGCCACACTTAACTACTATTAATCCAGATCTATCTTTTATTAAGGACTTGTATATATCCAAAGCTCACATCCAGAACTCTACCCATATCCAGCTGGTGCAATAAAGCAAGCCCTATTGACCTTTTAACTAAGCATTCTCTAAGAAAATTGAGCCAGATCAAGTTGTATTTACTCAGGTACAACTATTCCCCCCAGAAGTCTCTTTTTATTAATATAGTGTCTTTTATAGAAGGACTTAGCAGTGAAGAAGCTAAGGTAGCGCGCACACCGGCCACATTAACCCATTCCACGTGGGGATATACATAATGGCATATGACAATCAAATATTAAAGTGCCAATAGCTAACTGTCATTATGCTCGGTCTAAAGTTTGCTTCTCCTTTGAGGTTGTCGAGTTGGTCGGGGAATAATCCGTTGATAGAAGAACTTTCAGATAGTTCGATAACTATTACTATATGTCGAATTAATACGCTTCTTCCACGGATCCATAATGAAAGCCAACGTGTGTTAAGGTGGCTGAGTCGAATTTGCAACTGGATCGTCTCCGCGTGTCATTTGATGGCTAATTGTACATCTCCAATTTTTATTGCTGCTTCCCTAGCTGCAGAGGAAGACTGATTCTTTTCCAACTCAGCTTTTTCCGTCAGCAGGGCTGAGGCTGTGTTGTGGGATCTAGCGCATTACAAGTCGTATGCGTATGGCTTACAGCGTATTATGGAGCGTATAGCGTGGGCGTATTGCCGCACCAGCACTAAAACGTCATTTGGAATTAAGCTTCAATTGAGTTGAGAACAAGCGTATTTTGGACGGCTTCTAGAATACCATAGCCCATTTCATTCTCTATTTATTCGTTCCTTTTCCCTGCCATTCTTTCTCTCAATTACTTGCAAATAAGCAGCATTCACTTGATATAAGTTTGGGACCGCCTCTGAATTACACTCAATTATTACCAAACAACTTCAAACTCGCTGGCGGCTCTTTTCGACTCTCTTAGCTGACAATGGCGTCCATGCTCCTACTAAGCATCCTAATGCTTCTCCCTGGCATATCTGCCTCGACGAACACAATTCTCGAATCGAGGCCTCATGGATACTGCAAACAGCTGAATATTCCATTGCCCATCACTGCAGCAACTGCAGTCTATGACATACCAAAGGTAGACAATGATATCGAAGCGGTGTCTTGGGCAATCTTTGACGCCACTCGAACTACCATACATGGCCCCGGAAACATCATCAAGAACACTACAACTTCTGCAACCTTCAACATTCATGCGCAGTTATGCATTCCTAATTCTGCTCAGCACTCTACGAAAAATACCTTGCAGATTGCTACTCACGGAGTGCACTACGATTCCAGATACTGGGACTCAAAGTACAAGCCGGAGAACCACTCCTATGTGGAGGCAGCACTTAAAGCGGGATACTCGATCCTCACATACGACCGCTTGGGAGTCGGCGAATCTGATCACCCGGATGCATACACCGTTGTCCAAGCTCCTCTGGAACTGGAGATTCTTCGCCAATTGACTTTGATGGCCCGTAATGGCACCCTGTATGAATTTGCGGGCCATGCACAGCCCACCAATTCTTTGTTCACGTCGTTGGCCACTCCACACAAAGTCGTACACATTGGACACAGTTTTGGATCTTTCCTCACCTCTGCATTCATTGCCAGATACGGCCCTCTCAGTGACGGTGCTATCATCACGGGATATCTAGTGACTGAGAACCTCGGCAGTGCGGGTTCAACATCGTTCAGCGTCGAATATGCTGCTACAGGATCTCCCCCCTTTGACCGTCCAAGTGGCTACGTTGTATGCCAGAGAGATGGTATCCAGAATATCTTCTTCGGAGGTAACCCCAAGACCGCGTTCACTCCAGAGTTGCTCGACTACGGCATCAGCCTCAAGCAGCCCGTCCCCATCGGAGAGTTCGCCTCTGCCTTCTCACTGATTGGTAATCCTGGCCCATCTTTTAAGGCTCCTGTGCAGTTCTTGCTGCCGGAGTTTGACTTTTATATTTGCCGAGGAGATTGCCGTGGTTTGGCCAATGTGACCATGTTGAATCAGACGTACCCCAATGCTGCCGCTATTGAGGTCGCCCTCCAACCGAATACTGGGCATGCGCTGCCACTTCACAATAACGCTACGGCAGGTTTCCAACTCATGTTCGATTTCTTTTCTAGACACGGACTATAGTTGCCCAAGTCACATCGTGACTATTGCCGAGCGCCTTCAAGATAATGATGGGTAGTATTCAGTTAGATTTCTCATGGCTAACGCCATCATAACATTCAGCAAGATTTTCTTGGATAAACGAATAATTGAACGAAAATTAAAATGTTATTGACTAGTTACTGTATTCAATCGTTGAAAGACAAGTTATTCAATATTTATCTATATATTATTTAGATTAACTACTGAGATATAATTCAATGAGACATTTGTCTTGATTCATTTAACAGTATTCCACCTTTTAAAAGCCTAGAAACAGTGATTTTCTAGCAGTGCAATTGACGATTTTTGTTTCTCCGCAAATTCAATCCCAATAGAGAGATAGTTCAAGAGATCTTGACTAGGCAGTTATCAGTCATGGTGGATCCGATACGCTGGTAACAGGCTGAGCTAAGAGTGACCATCAATCAAAATGCTTACTGACCACTTTCTTAACCTCTGGCCTCTAATCCCTCTTTCGTTATAACAGTGGTTCTTTTGGCTAGTTTCAGCGTACCCACTTAGAAGATAGCTGCTATGTTGACATCACAATTATTGGAGATGGGTCTCAAATATTTGTATATGAAGATCGCCAACTGTGAACAATAATACGAATTAGCCTGAGCATTTCTATATTCATTTATTAAATGGTTGAAAGCCATGTGAGTGTAATTCTTATCTATTCTAATTATTTGGTACTTAGTTGAAAGCTGGTTCTTGCTCTTCCAAATACCAATATCTATTGACGCTTAGGTAGATACGATTACAAAGCAACAAGTGGAACAACGGCAACAACTTCTCACTGGACCCTAGCTACCAAGCATGCTATTACGAAGAATCCAATGCACGCTGATTGTTTGTACTTAGACTTTCACGGCTTGAACCTTTGCCAACATGTTGCCAATATCTTCACCAGTCTTCTGCTTTTTAGGCTTAGTATAAGGGAGACGCTCCCATTCTGTTAAGTTGTCAGCGCAGTTCTACCAGACAATATTCACAATTAGCCAGCAGGTCGACTTACCAAAGAATGACTTGACCCATTCCTTGGGGGCAGCTCCTACAGAATCGTCCCACAATGTGGTTAACCATAGAGCCGTCGTTCCGGGGCTGCCCATCATCTCGGTTGATGAGGCATTGAAGGTCGGGTTGACCTTCATCGCGTCTGCAACGCGCGCAGCCCTTGCTTTGGCCGCTGATTCCACAGTGACATACTTGGACATTGGGTCACGCGTGACCTCGTTCAAAGCCATCCGTTTGGCCATGGTTGCCCAAATCTTGGGATCAAAGTGCAAGTTATCTCCAAAGTAGAAGTCATTTCGCGATAACGATCCATCAAATTCGATGTAATCATGCTTTGCTAGATCGGCGAGATTGAACGTCGAAATGTTTCCCGTGGTCGTGAGCTTGAAAGTTTGAACTAGCCCAAAGACATCATCAAAAGTGCCAGGAGCGTAGTTGTATGCATCTTCGAAAGCGCTGTGGAGCGTTGGCAAATCAATATTCTTCCCTGAGCGTGGAAGGTAGCCGTGGTTGGCAAGGACATTCAGGCCGGGGCAAGGAGATCGACCTATTTTGTTCTATTAGTTTTCGCGGATATAAGATGTAATTGGCGTTTTTATAACTCACTATCTTTCGGCCCTGCTGGAATCCATTCATGACCCTTTACGGGAAAGTTGGGCAGCCCAAACCCCGTGGCTAAGCTGCTCAGAATCGTGATGAAAAACAAGCTTCGCATGTTGATTAGTCAAGTATTATGCTGGCTTTTCGGTGTGCTTGTTATGGATAGTAGATCTACTTTCTTTATTGCTTACTTTCAAATCGTAAATCGTGGCGTTCTTATACAACTCGAAGCTCATATACTTGCCTCTTCTCATTTTCCAATTTGGGTTAGCTTGAAGAGGCGTATTGAGGCCGCAAGTACGGAGTAAGAAGTCTGGAGTAGCAACAAGCTCTATTCAGGGGCAGCCAATAGGGGCTCGTTAGTTGGAAATCGGTAGAGCGTATCCAGCTGGTGGGGTATTTAAAAGCAGCCCGGCTGTGCGTAAAGCTGTGCAAAATCCTGTGTGGCTCTCTCAGACTCAGCGCTTTGACTAAGCCAGTTACAGTTAAGATAGATTGTGTAAATCATTCTAGAAGTATTTAATGTTGATTTTGACACAGGTTAAGTGTAAGTCTGTAGGATTAAGCGAATACGCTGTGGGGCATACGCCTGAAGGAATACGCTCCCTGGATGCCGGCGCTGTCGTCACGCATATGATGACTTGACCTCGTACCCATTTCGATGCTGTTAAACAATTCGTTTCTTAAGAATTATGAAGCTGCAACTACTCGGACAGGGAATATTTGGAATTGAGAAATGGCAGTATTTGGAATTCACTATATCTCTGCAGTTAAATGATATATCAACAATTGCTTGCCTGTCTATGTCTAAGATGAAGGAGATTATTTGCATATACGCTAGACAAATAGGAAGTCTTAGTCTTGTGAATGAAATTTTCACTAAGAATCATCGAAGAAATCTGCTCAAATAAGTTGCGTATTTTGTGAACGACATCGCAAACTGTAAACCAAACTTTCCCGTGTCTAACAACGGAATGCACGTAGATAATGTGGCATATAACCATGCCATTGCACTATAATGAAAAGTTATGTTATAGCAAACTTCTTAAGATTGCATATAAATACGCTGTGGATGAGGACAGCGAGCGTATCTAACGAGGCGGCAGTCGGGCCTACGACGGCCATCCACAAATGTTAAGGACTTATCAAGCTAAACTTTCGACGAAAATTTGAACATTTATCCATGTTATTCGCGGAGATCAAAATGTGTAGCATGTGAAGTTTCGAAATACTTAAACGGCGCCGCTGGAACCTCAATCTAGATAATCTAGAGGAAAAGCTCAATAAACGGCTACCCAAACTGCTGTCATTATAGCTGAGAACGCCATTCCCAAGAAGCGCTCGGAAATTTGACTGGGTTACAATTGACAACGGCAGAAAATGAACTGAAAAACCAAGCGACGTATATCTTGTCAGAATGCAACAGATCAGCTACGAGCCTCAGATACACAAATATCAGTTTCTAACTACGCAACTGACTATTTCTCTATACAATATATTCCGGTCAGCACAATGCTACCGACAGGTACCTGCTTTCTCCATATGGTTCGATGATAATTACTAGATTTGCAAAAAGGGGTGAAAGGGCGGTTGGCTATACAACGCATCCTGCGCTCCTCAGTATAATCATCACCCGACTACAACGAAAATACCCGATGAGTGTTCGAAACAATTAAATCCTTGGAGTTATAGTAAGCATTCGTAATAGCCCATAGCTTGGTCATCCTCACCGCTCAAGTCATGTGTTACTATGCCTGGTCCAGTCTTCGCCGAGATGGTTCCAGAAGGATATGCTGCTTACGCTGACGGCGATGCAAAGATGACCTGCATCAAGCTCAATCTCAGTAGAGCGGCAATCTGGATTAGGCTACGGCTGTTCTTGCCGAGGTATGCCTAATCCCTTGGCAAGTTATTGCGCGGCGAGTTACATTCGAAGTGGCGTCCTCAATAAAGGCTACCCAGAGTGCTAATATTCGTTATAGTTTCGATTCTTTGCAAAAGTTAGCAATTAGCGGTCGATACTTTGCCAAAATACAGATAATGGTTTCAGAATTATTGGGTTCTCGATTCCATACAGAGATTTCGTCAGTGCAAACTTGCGCATCTCTAGCAAAGGCTTTCAACATTTGGCAACTCAGCACTGCAGTTAAACTTAGTTACGAGCATGCGCCAAGTATTACAGCGAAGCAACTGGAGCGGGCAGGTCTTGTGGCTCTCTTTCTCAAATCCTGAATCCATGGATGCCATTACGCGTCTTTGCTATTTGCTTCCTGTCCGCGGGAATCTACTCTACCCCCAGTGTTGTTCAATAACTGATCTATCGGGCTTCGGACTTTACAGGCCTTCCTTCCTAAGCTCAGCCCCAAAGTCTAAACAGGACTAAGCGGCTTGCTCTTGGATAGGCCCAAGCACAGCCTTATTGGTATTCCAAATACACGCCAATTCCAAATTCAATTAGCGGGACATGGTTGCGTTTAGCGCAACTCTTAAACAACCTTTAAATAAGCAACCGTTCTAATTGACTCGACTCACTATCACAACCAAGAGTCAACTCAGAGTTTTAAAGATCATCGCGAAAATGCCTACACTTCTTACACATATCACGAAAGAGTACAAACACCGTCGTTCACATGAAAAATCCAGAAAAGGGTGCTTAAGATGCAAGAAACAAAGAAAGAAGGTTGGTTGCGATACAACGTCAAGACACTCGACTGGGCTGCTGACCGCCTAAACAGTGCGACGAAGTGCTCCCTGTTTGCACACGTTGCAAGAAGCGGAACCATGAGTGCCAATATGTTTTCCAAGACGAGCGCTTCAGGCAAAAATCCAAAAACACCAGCCCTGAATCGGATTTGCTTGCACCAGAAATCCCAGCTCTGGGATATTTAAGTCTCACTGAAGCCAGCCCAAGGAGCTTCGAAGCACGCTCCGACGATGCGTGTTCTAGCATTTCAGGTTTCACCCCCATATCACCATATCTTGCTTCGGGAGTTTCGGAGAGGCCACCGGTGTCTCATGCTTTGAATTCTGAGGAGCTTGAGCTATTAAGTCACTACATTACACATACCAGTCGCGTCATCCCGTTCGATTTAGAAGATCTATACGTTCTGCATATAGGGATTCCAAATCTTGCTTTTGGCAGCAGGCCTGTAATGGGCTCCATACTTGCTTTATCGGCAGTTTGTAAGTGCTACGATATTTTAAAGCAGTCGCCAGCGCCTCTGGAGAGGTTAGAGGAAATACAAAGGCTGCTTGCCCTAGCAGATCAACATCACACAACATCACTTCACCAGCTACAGGCAGCTATTTATGATGATCTCTGTGATACTGTTTTGGCTAATGCTGCGTTGATGGTGATGTATGCATTGTCTGGCCACTGTATTCGAGTCTTGCTAGCTAAAAAAGCGAAGCGAGCTGGGAAAACACTATCAACCGATATGTTACCAATGCAGTCACAGTGGATAACGTCAATACGTGCTGCTTCCGTGGCGTACCTTGGGTTATTAAACAGTACATGCGGTGACGTGGGAGACGAGTTGTTGAGCCCAACGTCGAGTTTGGAAAAAGATGATCCCTCACCTTCAACCAGCTTGCGTGGCGATGAGGTTTATTATCCTGAAGACGGCCCTTCAGAGGAGACGAAGCAGCTATTACTCCCAATAGTGTCTGCTACATACAGCGCCGCTTTGGAGAAACTCGACGCACGAGCGCAGGCCGTCTGCATTGAAGAAAGCGACTTAAGCATTCACGATCAAAATATTCATAATTCCGATCTCCAAGCATGCCTTACGTCTCTTAAGCTTCTGGAAGAACTTTTTGCGGCGGTGTTCTCTACCGGCCAACCAAGACCAGAAACCTCACACACGTCGCATGCTGCATTAGGTTTCTCTCATTTTGGAAAACTAGACAAAGCCTCTCCATGGCTGCGGAAATATTTGGCTTCCGTGACATCCGCCACGCCATCTAAACTACTGAGACGAACCATAATGGCTTATGTTAATCACGTACCAATTGAGTATCTCCAGCTTGTTCAATCAGCCCTAGATTACATGCCTGTGGCAGTAAAGCAAACTGATTCCAATTCTCTCAACCAAGTTGTACCACTAAGTGCAGCCCAACGACTGGCTATGAATATCTTTGCGCACTGGTTGGTTCTCGTTATGCTTTTAGATGGTGTGTGGTGGATTGGTGGCATTGGACAATGGGAACTGGGCCGGATACTCTCATTTGCAGAAAATCAAGGCTGGGCTCCAGAATCTACAGGGACAGATGGGACTTGGTGGCCGGAAAGCATGTATGCAGTTCAGAAGGCAATCGCCGAGCGCATAGAATAATTATAGAGGCCAGCTCTCCTGCAAGGGATAAAGTGTTGCACCCGATGTGCGAACAATAGACTTCTGCGACAGGTGCCTATTTTTCAGCTCACTAATAAGTATTACATTTGTATTTCCAGGATCAACATCTGTGACGCGTACCAATACAATAGCATGAACAGCATCTATGATACTGCCTTTATAGAACATTACGACTGAGAAATGGATAGAACGTTTGTTTTAAAAATCGTGTGTTTAGTTTTGAGACCATATATGTCGATAGTCTTCTTGAAACTCATAATGTCACGACGACAGTCTATCTATATATTTGAGCTCTTGTNTTTTTTTTTTTTTTTTTTTTTGATCTAAGTAGATCGGAATTTTTCATATAGCAAAAACAAAATAGACGCTACCTAGTTGATGTACTCATCATAACAGCTACATGGTCTCGCTTAAAAATCCTAGCACGATTGACCTCTTTCACCCTATCTTTCTGAAGAATGACTCTTTTCACAACTTAGCGGCTTGGCTTTTCTGTATGGCTCACTACCAGCGCGCAAATAGAGGTCTAGTATACTTGTACATATATATGATGCTACTCTCTCGTGGTTGTATCTCGGCTGCATGTAGTAAATATTGTGTAAGACTTTTCTTTATTCGCAATTTTTGAGCACTTCATAATTTAATGATAGATTCTATGATATCTATTTCAGATTTTTAATGGCCATTAATTTGGTTTATTTGCCCAATATATCTCCATAGAGTACACTAGCTAGGACTATGCGTTTTACGGCACGGGGTTCGTCTCAGTGGTCTTCTTTCCGCGTCTTAACAAAACTCTTATTCGCTCAGCAGTATTTCTAGGGTGCTCGTCAATAATCTCTCTCTTTACTTCTTTTATCTCCTCGCCCTCTTTTTGTTTATCCTTCTCCATTTTTAACACATTTTTCTTGGTTCGGTAGTTTTCACGCGCCTTCTCCCAAGATGAGATTTCTTTTTTTCTATCAAAAAGCTCTCCAACGGTATTCTGCTGCGATAAATTCGGTTTCAAATTTGGCTGTTTTGGCAAATAAAAGAGTGGAAAATATATGTAGCGCCCGTAGAAGTAGATGCATGGATCAAACAGAATTTCGAATGTTGAATAGGTTATTTCTCGTGACTTATATAGAATAGGACCCACGATTTTAGCATCCAAAAATTTAGCATTGATCAACGCAATGATAGTAGCTAACAAGGCAACAATAGCGGTAATGATCATGCTGATTAGCGTTTCCCTTGGAGGCGCACTACTCATGCTAAATAGGCCAGTGGCAAAGCCAACAGGAACAAAGATGACTGTCACATATGTAAACAAACGAATATCATCTGCGCCACGCAACTCTAAGTCGCCTCGCATTTTATCCAAATTCCTTGAAAGAGATGCATTGAAAGAAGTCATGTTGACGTGACATCTCTTTAATTCGTGGTATATATGATCATTATTCGCCTTTAGTTTAGATATGATAGGTCGGTAGTCGCGTTCATCGCTCTGAGTCCACCGAGGCTTGTCCTGTCCTCGTGCTCTTTCTCGATCATTCCAAAGTTCAATCTTGACTAAATTCTCCTGGATATCATTTTCCACAATTTGAAGGATATGCTGAAATTTGTACCATAAGCGGCTGGTGGAAACGAACTTCTCATTGTTCACTCTCGTAAAAAGGTCGAGCGTATCTAAAAGTGCCGGTGCCTGTGCCTGTTGACTAACGTTGCTACCTTGAGCGCTATTCTGTATACTTTTCTTGATCTCTTCGACGATTCCTTGTGAGTAACACAGTATTTCTTGCATCATATTGCTGACTAAGATGAGCTCCAATATTCGCCGCTGCCGCCAAGGATTTGCTTTCACTTTAGAGATATCGCTAAATTGATTATTCACTTTGCGTTTCTCCCAAGCTGACTGAGGCAGTTGTTTCGAGCTAAATTCGAAAAAATGGCACGTCCAGTAGCGGTCAAAATAGTCGCCATCGAATCTGAAACTGATGACAGATCTGCTGATTTGCCTCTTGTCACCTATGTGGGGATTGGGGTACTCGATTTCCTCTAATGGAGGTATACCACTAACTTTAGGCTGAATACCATAGTCAACAATTCGATAAAAAGACAGATGAAATTCAGTTATCCATTTATTCGTCCCGGGTGTGATATCTTCGAAGAAAAATTTATCATATGCTGCGTGCCTATCAAAAAAAGACGAAATTTCAGGCCTCTCAGATGAGGCAAGATAACAGATCAAGGCGGTCGTTGAATCTGCTTTGCAAAAATGCAAAAGTCTCTTTTTCGCTTTTTCAGGAGTTCGTTTGGAGCCAACGTGCTTGTACATATCAGTATTGGTATCTATGGGAAGTGTGTCGTACTTTTTGATAGAACGGTGTCTTGGTACGTTGATAATATAGCCCATAGTTTGATTTTCTTCAACCGAGGTCGCTGTATCTTGTTTAATATGAGCAGCCACATTTGCTATAATTTTGCCAGCGCCGCTTAAATGTTCGTCCCAGACGACTTTTTTCAGGTCATTGTCCTTCGGAAAATTATATTCAAATTTAAAAAACGTCGGCTCATTGTACATCCATTCGTCTTGGAGCTCCACAATATTAGTATGGTCAACGTTCTTGAAGGCGACGCTTTTCTTCATAGCTATCTTTCCATTCACAGTAGACATCCCAGGCACGGAAAATGCACCATTCAGACGCTCAAACATTTTCTCTAACGCTTGGTTAAGCTCCGCAGAAGTCACATAGGCGGCTTGTTGTGTGGCTGTGGCCAGTGTAGAAACATCGGCATCGGAAATGTCCGAAGAGCCACTAGTCACGAAGTCATTAGTTGATAGAACTTCCACATATTTCCATAAAATGTATGGCACTTCAAATGTAGCGTGCCAATAAGAATCCCGCATAATATCTTTCTTAAAGATAGCAGGCTCCTTGTCTTCGCCCAACTGCCCTGGAAAAATTCCATTGGGAGAGGAGCTGTTAAGTAAGATTGACTTTGAATAGAGAAGCATCTCCGTGGTAGATTTTGAGTTAATGCAGGTACCAGTTGATGACATGATTATCGCAAGCGCAAATTGAAGTGGATGATCCCATTGACTATCTTGATTATATTCGTGATGTGCTTGGCAATCCACTGTATTCGTCCAGACATCAATTTTTTGTGAATCATTAGACTGCAACGGTGTCAGAGACTTATTGAACAAGCCGAGATCTATGGCGGGAAAGATTATCGCTTCTTTCTCTCGAATTAAAAATCTAGTCTCAATGGGACTGCGCGACATCGCGATCATACGTTTTTTTAAGACAGGATTCTCTGTGGTAAATCTTTTGGTAATGTTTGCCCGAATCTCATCTGAGAAGTAGCTCATACTACGCGGTTTGTGGCGGGCGATGTGTACGCTTTTTTTAACCCAGAGCTCTTGGCCAAGACCGAGGTATTCCACTGATCTGGCAGCCCACCAAATCATGGCATGGTCGGGGAAATAGAATGAATGTATTGGAGTTTCCTTCCTGGGGCGGGAGAATGCGTACACGCCGTGCTTGTTCTCCTTATCAAGTATCTCGACCCATTTTTTTATGATCCGTTTGAATTCGGGTTTAGCTCCAATTTCTTTGCGTGTGTTCTCGTCTTTAGCTATTCGGCAAAACTCTGCGGTTTTAATGATATGGAATGGAGTTTCCATGAGAGATTTCTTAGGCAATGGCGAATCAGCCGTAGCTCGTATTGGTCGGCCAGTAGCCCAATAGTGAGAATCAATAAGACCATCAGTTGTTTCCATCTGGTCAGTTATCCACTTCAAATGTCCTCGACATACTTTCCATATGCGGGAGCGCATCTGGCAGCTGAAAGTATTGCATGAACTATTCTGCATCGTGCAAAAAGGATGGTCTGATTTGAGTTGTTTATTGAGATGTTCAAATGCCAAGAGCAAATATTGAAAAGCAGAGCTGTATTCATCAGCTTCAAAGTCAAGGTATTGTGGCTTTAGATAGTCGATTTAAACTTACAAGCTTGCCTCGTTTGCAACTCTATGGCCGCTCATATCTCCACATGTGATTGCAGTTGGCTTTATGGTGTCTTCAGCACTACCTCCGATAGGAATGCTACAGACAGATATTATATGTTCTAAATTTCTTTTTAATGCAAAATCAAGATGCTCATCGTTAAGAAAGAGTGGAGTTGTAAATAAAGTTTCAGAACTTTTTCTGATCCTTTGTAAAATTTGCATCGGGGGGTTGGGTGGCGGTATGTGCTCGGCCTCAGATAGTGAAACTAAATGCAGCGTATAGGCTATCGTTATGGTTGTATTCTTGTCCCCCAACTCTTGACTTTTAGCATTTATTATATATTTGGCAGTATCACCTTCTTGTTCAATATCTAGAGCCGAGTCGTTCATGAACGGCCAAATGGCTAAGATAAGAGCCTTTTCATCTCTCTGTGGTGTCCTATCCATATTGGTGTCTCGCTCTGATCCAAGTTTATGCATTCTGATGATGCACTGTTTTCCTGCAGGCGCTGAATGCGAATAGGAATTGTGCAATGGTTTTTGCTTATTCCATTTATTATTATTCGAAAAATCAAGATTTCGAATAAGTAGTTTGGAATTTATAATCATCCGTGGGATGTTTGTTAAAGATCCATTGCAAGATGGAAAAGTATATGACTGATATAGAGCCTTTTGAGAAATGAAGCACTGGACTTCAACATCGAGATCTAGTGTTGTTTTGGAAGTAAAATTTGGCCAACGATTGCTAAGGAAGCTCATTCTTGGCATTTTGTCGATTGCTTTTGATATGTCAAAGCCTTCCAGTCGCATTCCTTTATTAGGATCGCCAATATGTTTTTGCAGCTGTTCCATGCGACGTGTAACGAAATATGGTTCCGGAACATCATTCAGATCAACAGAGTAGAATCCAGATGGTTCGTTCCCAAAATATTGAGTCATTTGAAGTAAATTTCCATATGCGTTTGCAGTCGCTGTAATGCCGTCTTTTCCAAAAGAAGCGTAGGTTGGTCGATTGTAGGTTTTGCTGTCAGCCTTGGAGGGAATCGACGTAGTGCCTAGGATAGACATGGTCTTTGCAAATGCAATATTTGTATCTTGATCAAAGAACTGTTAGCTAGTGAATAACAATAGCAGAATTAATATAATATACCCGTTGCCATATTTCCAGTTGAATCGAAGACCACAGAAATACAATCAGTAATTCAGTCGCCACAGAGGCTCTTCAGCTTAGTAATTTGACTAAATTTGAATAATTCAGATTCCTTGTTAAGCGTCGCGAGATTTAGAAGAGCTAGCCTTAGAAAGGCTAATAAAAGATACGATTTCAAGCGGGATAGCAGAGCAACGCGGAATTTGGAAGCTGTGGAAGTCTGGCGCTAGTTTTACACGATGTGTCATTGAGGCTCAGTTTATTTGGGAGTTTTTCACGGTATATATATATTGAGTTCTAAATCAGCGGCTATCTCAGCCTCTCATCTCGCTGAGATTTACTCCGCGTCCCGAGCCGTGTTGTGTCTTTTTGTGCTACCGCACTAAGCATTGGCTTACAAAAATGAAAGAGAGCTGAGACAAGGTCTTACAAGCAGGGGTGAAATATGACAAGGTTGGTCGAAATAATCTCAGCCAAGACATTATCGCCGCCTATCAGTATTAACGGCATGAATGAGGCTACCGCATATGAAAACTAACTAGATGCTTCGCCTAGGAGGTTTTTTCTATTAATGATATAATTTGGAAAAGGGATAAATTAATTAAGTGAATAAAATATACACGTAATGAATATTTTATATTCGTACATTCAAATGCCAAAGTTGTTGATATACGACCCAGTATAGTGTACACACATGGCCACCCAGTGGTACCCAATCCCACATGCATGTATCCACTCTTCAAAAGATAGGATCTGAGCTGAATTGTTTCTGCGTAAATCTTCTAGCTTTTCGATATTTTCTCTCAAATCGGAGATGCTTATTGAGAAAGACCTCAAAATGACCATCTTTAGGATTTTTGGGATATGTATCGCATCTTTAACAACCAAAAAGCATCAGTGTATAGAGGTAATTTTGACGCTATAAAGTAAGCTGATGGATCGCTGAGTCTCAGTCCTCTGTTATTGTTTTCATTTGGTGAGCTAATTCCGTATATTGTATAGACGCCAGAATTGGTGAGGAACAAGCGAAATAGTGGCAACAGTTTCATAGCTAAGTAGCCTCGGACTGCGGTATCATGGTCACCGAATGTAGGAAATCCGACGACTCTTCTAATAAACGGAAAGGTTACCTATCCTGGATTAGGCTCCATCTTACAAAGAACCAGCCCATCGGAAGGGGAATCTTGGCTTCTTGGCTGGATCCAGTTGATCGAAAACTTATCTGATTCGGTTATTGCGACGTGATATATCAAATATCGGGTGCTATGATCCTAGTTCTGCGGCAACACCCGAGAACAGCAGGTATAAACCCGAAGTGTGTATGAACCTTGAGAGCAAAATCAGTCATATACTGCCAAGAGCATACGTATGTAGCAGCAACCATAGCAACATCAATATTGGCGTAAGGATACCCCTGCACGTTTATTCAGCTGCAGCCCTCACATGGGACACAGAATACCTATTGTGGAAGAACATGCGCTAGCTTATCAGAATTTTAGATTAATAATGTCATGAAAGTTCAGCCGCAGTGGGAAAAGACACAAGGCTGAGGCTGAGAGTCCTGGTTAGGGCGCTACCTTGGGGCTTGGGCTCCAAAGGTGTTCCCTAATTTATACAAAGAGAAGCGCCTTATTACGACAAATGAACTGGCTGGTGAGGCGTGAGCATGTGTAGCTGAATGGTCGTAAACTAGTGCTTAAAACAGATGTCTATAGGTAATAAATGAGTATAGTTTCACTATTGTATCTCCGCTACTTTGTATACAAACCTATTTACTGCCTCATTATAGTTTGCGATACGATATGTCTTTTACGGATCTCAACCACATGCGCTATCAAACACCGAAGCTTCCATTTCAACGACACAGAAAACCTTTGGTTACTAAAATGATGGAGACTGTACATTCGCACATATCAGTTATTAATAGATTTCAAGACTCAGCTCGTATATATTACTAAGATACGATACGCTCACTCAATCTTACACTCTTGACAAAGAAGTACTTATGCCTAGCCTATGCTTGGCGTACCCAAAGAAATTTGTAGATAGCGTTTAAGCTTTAGAGAAGAGCATCTATATTGGTTGCCAAAGCCATGAATTCTACTTCACTCGTAAGTTGCTCTACACATTCATTTATTGCTGTTTAATCTGGTCGAGCGTCTGAAAAAAAAAAAAAAGATCCCTTTCATCGTGTATCATCTCTCATCCCGCTCCTCGTAATTTTAGAAGCCAACAACAAGTATCGCTTATAAACCTTGCCGTGGAAGTTCCCCTTTAAAACAATTCATGCACCGAAACCCATTTACTCGATCGACGTCAAGGTCAACTGCCCTAAGCCATCCCATACAGCGACTGCAAGCGATATCGTGGAATCGCAGTGTGAAAGTGCACAATGCCTTTAGCGAAAACACTAAAGTTATTGCGGTATTCGGGCGCATTAGCAAGCCCAGCAAGAACTCGCTCGCCAGCTGCTATGCCCTCATTGGCCACCTTTTGCAAAGCCGTCAGGATATCGCACTGTTCCCTCTGGGCCCGCTGGTCAATGTAATTACCCGTCTCCTCAGCCAACATCTCCTTGTAAAAGGAGAGCACATCGTTAACAATGTTTGTAAAGACAATGACGTCTGGAATGACGTGAACATATTTTTCAATGCCTCCTGTAGGAAGCTGCGGATCTGTGGCACACACAACAACCAGCAGTCCGTACATAGGCGACAGCCCTGTCTTGAAGCGCAACCAGTCCGGATATTTAGGAGCTTGGGGCTTTACTTGGCGACCAACTGTCAACCCCTCGATACCAACGCCGTTGATAAAGTCGTAGCAGGCCGTCACGATCATGCTAGCGACGGTAGGGTGGAAAATCTTCCACAGCCTTGGCATTATCTCGTGGACGTACCACTCGAGGACGGGGTCGCCAAGTGGCTGGCCTGTGCAGATGTTGAGCTGTAGGTACCGCAAAGCATCGGGCTTGGTATCGAGTAAGTCGTCAGCGTGGAAGAAGAAGATGGTCAGGTGCGCCACCATGACCTGGTATTCGAGTGGATGGGTTGGGCAAAAGTCGACTGCCGCGTAGCATGACATGTCGAGATGGTCTTTGTAGTTGAGTAGCTCTATATGGTCTCGAAGACTTGATGATTTCAAGTCTATCATGACGGCTTCGTAGAGCTCGGTAATGGGTGTTGGAGTGAAGGCGTTTTTGTCCATTTTGCCACCATCTGTAGTCCTATCAACAAAATTTGATAGGGTATCACGAATGATGGCAGCCGATTTCTGATTTCTTGTTAGCATCGTTCACTATGACACAGGTGAGGCTTGAGGTTGGCTGATGGAAGTGTAACGTACTTCTGGAACAATCATCATCTTGCCGACTAGCGTAGAGAGTTTGATAGCTAATGCTCGTTGTTTGATGAACTGGAAATCACGGTTTGATCTAGCTTGCTTTATACTCAGCCATTGTTACTGTATCTCCATGGGCGAGATACTAGGTATTCATTTCGTAAGGGGAACTCAATTGACGGTTGATCCTGTGTGCCATGCCCCTAGCCCCCATGATGACTCGCGGCAAACTAGAATTCGCTCAGGGGAAATGGTACGATCTTAGAAACAGACTACTGAAAGACCCTACCGTACCTTGCAGAGGTGCTCCGTAGTGTAGCATTACTGCCTAGTACATGTAGTTTACGAGCATACCGGCAGGGCAGCTGGACGCGTAGCGGGTCTCACGATAATCAAGCTAGCCTTGCCATGTGAGGGCGGAGTTCTACATGGGCAAGGGGGATCATGAAGAAACCACCGTTGTCTGCTGTCTATCACATATCAGGACGAATTCATAGCCAGTGGCGGAATGGCGGCACGCTCTTCCGTCCTATGGATAGCCAACGGTAGTAGACTGAATGATCGTCGTATCCGTGACGGCCGCTAAGGGAGCCTGAAATAGGTAGTCAGTGCTGCATATAAAGTACGCAAGAGAGCCGCCGGATTAGCATTAGCATTGTTGTGGGGTTTGAGGAGATGAGGCTGGTATCTAGTAAAATACATTGCACTTGGAAGCTCTGCTCTGTAATCGCTTAGATATGACAGTCTATCTGAGCAAGCCTATTTCAGATACACCATAATACCTGATAGATGAACAGTTACGAGCACGTTTTGAGGTCGTAGTAGGGGACCCCAAAGCCCGGTTATTATTGAGTGAAGGGGGAGTTGTGCGGCCAGACAAAAACGAGCTGTCACTTCCTCGGAATTGAAACTGCCGGAACCCTTGCGCTTATTCGCACGCTAATTCGTCAGCAAGTTGAGAGCGATAACCGAACTCTTCTCAAATCTAGGTATTCCTAATAGCGGAGGAACAATGGGTTAATTTCCTAGGCTAGTGTAGTGTAGTAGTATTTATCTAAGAAATCTTTGGCAACGCTTCCGCGTTGCCAACTTACTATTGAAGTTGGCATCTTTCCCAATTATTAACTAACCCAACTTCGGTACGGGGAGATAACGAGGAACATGGAGATTGCTCGGGGCAGAATAACTTGTTCTGGGATGGGGGGGCCGTTGGCAGATGCAGATATATTTCCATGCATATGGAAAGTGTAGACAGTCAAGCGACTCCCAGTAGCATCAAGTTCTTCTATTCATCCTCCCTATGGATTGCCTATCGCGAATACCTACTATTCTATAGACTAGGACTGGGCATTATGCGGCGTGTTCAGTTTGGCGTTGCTTCCAATTAGCATGGGCAAAGCTGACAAAATACCTAGTTCAAGGCAACGGAAAAACTATCCTGTTATACGATGCTAGCAGTGCCTACCTATTCCAAGAAAATCTGCCCATGGAGTTGAAACTTGGCCGCAGGGACCTCTCCACAATGTGCCGCTGAACCATTTTGGCCGCTCCAGGGGTACCACGCTGAAGATCCACTATAGTTCTAACGGTTTTTCCTCTTTGGTAAAAGCGGAAAGGGGACCAGAGAATATCGCGTGTTAATGCTCCGTAGGCTGGGGAAAGGGCATTCTTGGCATTCTCCCAGCCAAAGACCTACCATAAGGCCGCAGATCAGTAATCTGTAAGCGCATGGTTACTCCAAGCATGCAAATCCAAGATGGAGATTGATAATCCGGAAAATTCATCAAGTTACTGACATCCTTGTTATACACTAGCGTTGCATAAAGGGGGCCTCTATGCTCATCCGCAACATTCCGAGGTGGCCCCGGCCATGGCCCGAAGGTCTAGACTTACCCTAACGTGCTTGCTATAAGAGATAGAATGATTGTGTTCTTATTGAAGGGAGAGCTTTTGCCGCTGTTAAAATGAGTGTATGGAGATGAGAGCTGTATTGGGGTCATGATTGAGGCATATAAGAGACCAATTTTAATGCCAGTTTGAGCGTGACATTGAGCATATTTCGTACCATTTACGGATATAAGGCAATTATCTGGCTTTTGTTCAAATCTCCAATAGCATTATCAATAGCTCTTGTTGAATTTCAACAGCATCAATCTACATAGCGCAATGCAGAGGAGATATTCTGTCCCCCCCTCACGTAACCGATACTACGTATACCATATCAACTGGAAGAGATGATGCTGTCCATGTTAGCGCGCAGTAGATAACAATGTTTATATCTGTCACTCAATACAAAAACGATGGGTTATTGTTATTCCATCTTCAAACTATGCGTAATAATAAGGCTAAACATGTTATACCCGCAAGCTTAATGAGGTCTTCTGAGGCGTACCTATTATCGTCGCGTATGCCCTATTCCCTTGGGTATATTAACTGCGGATCTTTACTACTCTTGGCAATTGTTTGACTAATTGTAGTAAATAACGGTGACACATTTATTTTATGAAAATGCATAGTCTAATTTTGCAAAGGAATATGGCAATCTTTCATCTAGTCTGTCCTGGCTGCTCTCAGTTTATCAACCCACAGTATCAAGAGCTAGTATATATGTGTGACGCTTATTTCCCATTTCCCTTTCTCAAAACAGTGTATGCCTAAACCTAGTTTTAATTATAGCAAAATTCTTAAAATGCTGTGAAGATGGGGAGTAGGGTATTTGAGTATATCAAAGGTGCTGTGATTTTGTTTTATCCAAGGCTGGTTACTGTTAAAGGCAAAAAGGGATTACCCACAGAAGACTATTGAGGTATATATATTGACAGTTACGCCGTATTTTATTATTCCATTTCTATTAGAGACTGACATCTTTGGGGCGAATTAAGAATGCCATGGAATGCAATAAGCAGCAGATGAGACGCCTAATTGGTGAATCAACCCAAGGGCCTAGAATAATGAGCAACGCTCGCCGCACTGCCCTGAATCACGATCGAGAAGCTTCGAGGGGGGTTAAAAATGCTGTGAAATTAGCCTTGTCACAGTGGTGAACAACCCAAGAGCCTCAGAGAATAAGATTATTGGTTGAATGAATACGTAAATATTGCCTGGTGTACGCCATTTGCTGATATATGCGCGTCCTTTACCCCTTCTGTATTTATAGAAATGATATTTGTCACTATCAAGAAGTCCTGCGTAGAAGGGATACTAAGAAATGGCATTTTTAATATTGTCATTAAGCGCATTATGTTTATAGCCATTTTGATGGCTCTTCTAATGCATTCGCTGCTGCTGGAATAATAATGTTGTAATATCTTCATCTCTTTATCTTGCATTGCCCTGATATATGAACGTAGCCTATTATTATTGTGAAATGCCCAATGCAAAATTCATGACAATGACTTTATATAAAGAAGCTATACAGGATCCCAATGGTCACAAGTGCCCGTGTCCCAGTCTCGCTCTTCGTTCCCGCAGTATTGATCCGAGGCTCTATTAAAGTCGATGAGAACGCTGCGAAATATCCCCTTCACTTAATTTCATCTGCAACTTGTCAGCATCTATGTCTCGATGTATGAGACTAGTCTGAAGTAGCTTACATGTCGTCTTGCTGTATTGGTCGCATAGCCTGCCCTTGGGGAATCAGTCCAACACCCTTTGCTCAACTTATTCCTCCTACAGAAGAAACATCTACATAGGAGCAGTGTTCAAACTGAATCAAACCCACAACTAAACATAGCCACTTCAATCTCATATCACCAGATATAGCAGTTCATCCAAGGGCAAGAGCATTCAGTCACTCTCTCCACGTATGATAACATGCCTTTGCCATAGCATCCTAAACCTCGCCTCAGTAGCTTTGCATTTCTCATATTGACTTGGTCGGATAGATCGTATTCTGGATAGTACTTTCCATTTACGCTCGACGCTGGCTGCATTTGCGAACGAAAAGAACGTAGATGGTCATTCTCATAGATGAGATCATCATAAAGTCCACCATCATTTGCTTCTAATAACTCAAAACACCATCCACAGTTCTAGCATCGAGATTGATTACGCTCACAAAGTCAATAACGCTATAGTCCGGTATCGTCTTATGCTTCATACCAGATCCATCCCCCCATCTCACCCTTTAAATCATCATCTTAGCAGGCATCAACAAAGCACAACAGCGTCATAACATAACAGAGCATAATATCCCAATATCTTAAACCCTATACAAATACTCTTACAAAATACACCTTTCCACCAGGTACCTGTTCGTATGTATACATTTATATATATCATCCCAACAGCGCCCGCCCATGTTCATGCCAAAACACATATGCCATATCTTTTTATCTTAATGCCTATATCATATCCCTCCCCATCCATCCATCCATCTAATCTAGAGAAACAGAAAATATCTCAGTTCCTCTTCCCCAACTTCCACCCATCAATCCGATCCTGAATCTGATCCCACGTCATGGCATGCGTCGTCACCCCATACGCCTGCGCCTCCTGCACCACCACCGTCGGCGCGCCACTGCCCCCACCCACGTTCTGCACCGCGCCGCCCATCACCATGCCCGCTACCCGCTGCAGGTCCCTCACCGTCAGGTTCTCGATCCGCCGGCACATCTCCCGCACGGGGATCTTGCGCTTGTGCACCTGCACCGACCGGCCCAGATCCTCCAGCTCCACCATCCGGCTCTCCAGGTTCATCAGCAGCGATGACCGCAGCTGGTTCTTGGCACGTGTCACCTCGCCCTCTTGGAGCTTCGAGATGCCCCGCTCGAGGGTCAGGGCGCGGAGCTCCTGGCACATGACGTCCAGCATGGCCGATGTGTGTCCCGGCAGGCAGGATGCCGAAATTCCAAACAGACCGGAATCCGTGTATGAGTGGTTGAAGGCGACGCATGATTCCACCCAGCCGTGCTGATTGAGTACATTGGTGTACAGGCGAGAGTACATGCCCTTGCCCGGCCCACCGGCAGAGAAAGATCCCCCTCCACCGAGCAGCGTCTGCAGTGTTGCCAGCGCATAGATATCATCTGAAGCAACAGGCAGTCCCTCAAAGGCGAGATGAATGTGTGTAAAGTTTGTGCCGGTGAGAGAAGGCGGCTGAGGAGGAAGAGAGAGGAATCCACCGGTGTATCGAGAAGGCTGGTTGATGTCGATTTCTGAAGGAGAGGAGAGCACAGAGGCGTTGCGGGGCGTGGATGTAGAGATGTTCTTGAAGAGGGGAATCTTGGACATTAATCGTGAAGAGGGGTTTGATGATGAGGAAGATGCTGAGGAAGAAGAAGATGCTGATGCGTCGCTAGCAAGCGAGTCCACGCTGGTTTCTGACCCCGTCCTCGGCAATGCATTCATATCGCCAAAGTACTCCTCCGCCAGCTTCACTGCCGTGCCGTGATCCACTCCCGCAAACGCCAGTACCATTCTCTCAGGTCGGTAAAACAAGTCTCTATACAGCTTCACCGTGTCCCTATCAATGACCTCCAGCCTCTCTTCGGGGCATAGCAGCGGGTTCCCCAGCGTATTATCCTTGAACGCAGCCGTGTGCACCAGCTCCGGCAGGATCAGCTCAGGCTTGCTCCAAATCTCAGCAATTTCGTACCGCGCAGTCTCAATCTGCTCGGCCACCTCGTCCTCCGTGATGCGCGGGTCGCGAATCGTCTCCGCCAGCAGCGCAACAGTTTCCGGCACTGCGCTGTTGAAGGTGGCAGCCTGGTACATCATGCTCTCTCGCGAGGATGCGCACTGGATGTTTCCGCCGAGCGTTTCCACGCGGGCCAGCATTTCGTCTGCGGAGTGCTTGGAGGTGGATTTGAAGGCTAATCGATCCATGATGTGGGAAACGCCTCGCAGGGAATCATTTTCGAATCGCGATCCAGCTTCGACGTACACTCCCACTCCGGAAAACGAGCCCGGCAGAGCTTCCGAAGCAACTCGCAGGCCATTCGATAGTGTTGTGATTTCGTCCAATTCTGTAGGCTCCTACAGCGAAAAATCCTCATAGTTAGTTTCCAATCATAAGGACCCAGAGAGAGAAAGTTAACATCAAAATTTCACCTTTGGTATTCCCTCCACGGCTACCGTCGCCAACGACCGTCTCGGCACCTGTGTCTTCAGAGCACCAAACTTGCTATGCGTACTCAGCAGCCTTGAAGGCTGGACCTTTGCGGCCCGAGGCTGCAACCGAGCAGCAAATTGTCGCAACATTGTGTAAAATGCCCTTCTTCGCCTATTGAAAGGAGACGATAAAGATCTGTTTGAGAAGGGCGTGGGGGTGAAAAGGCGACGCAAAGCCGAGCAAGTTGCAGTCACCGGAATTGGTGGTGACGGCGGGCCCAGGAAAATTGTGGTGCCGTCACTTTTCTCTCGGCGATAGGTCGGATCATCGCGGCGCCGGAGCTCCGACCGGGAAGGACGGCGGCGAATGCTGAGAGAGTCCGGACAGGCAACTGGATGCTGTCACGGAGTAGTAGAGTGTTGCTAGTTTGCGCTGCATTTGCTTGTTTTTGTAAAATGTATAAATTATAATTATAATATTAATATCATTACTCGTGAATCATGCTACATCATTCGTAAAGCCTCAATGGGCCATAATATCCTCCAAATTTAAGCCAGAGCCAAGTGCTAGTTGAGAATGTCGCTCTTAATCTCAACGCCCCAGGCAATTCATTTCGGATCCATAGCTCTAACAAGCACGCCAAGTAACCGTAACAAGGAACATAAAGAGAGCTCCCTTGGATTCCTTCAGAGGTACGTGCAAGGTACAAGTTTTCTCGCACGCCCCAATCAGAGTTCCAGCCAAAACCAGCGCCAATCGAACTGACCAGACTGACATCATCCCACCGCGAAAAAAACCGGTTAGTCTAATCACAAGAGCTGTGAGTAAAGAAAAAGGCCGAGACAATGCCATGAATACCTTTTTCTTTTTTTTCCCTTTTCCAAGAACAAAGCCGATCAAACCCCCCCTTTTGTCACCTTTTGTCTAATCCTAAGCCCATTTAGCTTATGACGCCCCTTCCTGTGCACCGTGAAGGACAATTCCGCCGTCATGCACTGATGACATAAACCCAAGTTGAAGTATGTACTCCATAGTAGATACCGTGCGAAGCAGGACAGAAAAGGCACAGCGATCTAGACCAGCCACAGTCATCCAGAAACAACCACAACGGCCCAGGAAGGCAAATGAAAATTTAGCAACGACATTTCGAGAGGAAATGATAAAAGAAATCAAAATTGTAGCTTCTAGCCATAAACCCGCGCTAAGTTTGCCCAATGCTTAAAAAAAAGGACGCTTTCCTCTCCATCCTCCTCCCTTTCCTTATTTCCCTTTCCCTTTCCCATTTCGCTTCTTTCACCCCGAAAAAAAAATTTGCTTCGCGGCTTTGAGAGTGAAAGCAAGCCATGCTTTATTCATGACGCCATACGCCAAAGAAAAGTAAAAATAAAAAAAAGAGAACAAGTAAAGCATATATGCCGCCGCGGTTTATGGAGAACACACGCCACACTCCATACAATGAAGAACGCACACAAAAGAAGAAAAGATTGGAAAAATTAAAGACCAGAAGGAACAAGGAGAGCCAAACCAATACACACAGAGTTCCAAGTTCCCGTTATGACGCAATATGGGCGTTGAGCTGCCCCCTCTCATCCCAACAACAGTAGAGAATTAACATTGTAGACATAAATCGAAAAAAAAAAACCCCCCAGTTATTAGCCCCCGAAGTTTGAAGCGCCTCTTTGCCCCATACACAGTGAAAAAGTAGATTGATGCTCGGCAAGGTACTTTTATTATGTATTGTGTTTCTTGCTTTTTTTTTTTAATTTATTTTTGTAAATGGGGCCTTTGCTATCGGCTGGCAGCATCGTCGCTAGACTCATGTGTGGTGATGTCAGCCTCTGCTGCCGAGTCAAGGCTGGTCATCTCGGCCGTGGCGCCGGCCGGCTGTCGGCCAGCTCTGCCGTCAAAAACCCATGGCCCAGCGTTGTTTCTCGGTGTGATGATTCCCTCAGCCCCGCCGCCTGGTGGCGACGGGGTTCCGCTATCTCGCAAATGACTAGCACGTCCAGCGCCCCTAATGGGTAACGGCTCGGAGGTGGCATGAAGCGCCGTCGGGCTGCCAGTGGGACTGGGGGCCGAAGTAATGTTGACAGTCACGTCCATGGCATCTGTCTCTTGCACCGTCGCCTCTACCGGCTCGTCTGGTCGTGAGGGGAAAGCGGATCCGGCTTCTTCTTCTTCTTCAGTTTCAGGAACAGGTGCATGAATGACCGTAGCGGGCACCGGCTGCTCGGGATCCTCAAAGTCTTCCATGTTCTGCCAATCTTCTGTAGGCTCCTCGACATCGGCCTCCAGGTCGGCGCCCGCGCGGCAGTTGGGACAGATGAAGATGGGATATTGCGGTGAGGTGAGTAGGGCACGTACGCACTTGAAGTGCCATGTGTGAGAGCAGGGAGCGACGAATAGAGATTGGCAGGGCTGTTGGATAATTTATCAGCAAACGATATTGAGAAAATCAGATGAGCCTTTGCTTACCGCAATCGAATTCAGGCATATGGAGCAGTCCTGAGAGGAGCTTGAGCCTGACGCGGAAGCCCCTCCACTTGATGCCATGGTGCGTAGCCTCTTGTGGGCGGCCATGCTAAAGGTAGAATTGTTAGCCAAGAACAACAATCATACAAACGCAATGAATAGTATCGTAGAAAGTAAAGAAAGAGCTACACTTACTTGAACGTATTCGGCTTGTTCTGCCATCCCCGATTCAGCTCCAGCCTCATCTTGACACAGCGGAAAATCATCTCTTCGCCACCCTTAAAGTCAATGCCCAGCTGGACGATATCTCCGTCATTAACGGGGAATGCCTTGCTCTCCTGAGAGGGCGGGCTAAGTCTGATATGGTTGAGAAAGGTGCCAGAAGAACTCTTGACGTCCTTGATGTACCACTTCCCATTCTCGTACCAGAACTCGCAGTGTCGTCGACTGACCACCTTGCTCTTGAAGCCTACCGGCGCCGCAGAGGCTTGGTGGCCGGACACGCTGGCCAAGGCATGGTTATCACGTTCAGAGTACCGTCCAACGCGGATGATTTCGGTGCCGTTTGAGAGGGTTCTGGAGATGGGCGGGAATGACAGCGACGGTCTGGTAGAGCGAGGGTCGTAGTATGCGGAGAAGCGAATAGAAGGCTGGGTGTCAGCAGAACCGGAGCCAGCCTCGCTGGATTTCGCCATGGCTGCGTGCTCGTCGGCCGAAGTCGAGGGCGTCTCTGCGGGAGATGAGGAGGCGGAGGAGGAGGATGAAGAGGTGTTCCCCTGAGCGGCAGAGGGGCTGGAGGGAGCCGATGACGAGTTTGCTCCTCTTGTCTGCGATGCCCTGGCAGAGTCTGGGGATGTAGCCACCAGAGTTAAGCGGTTGGGACCGGCGTTTGTAGTGGTCGTGGTTGTGGTTGTGGTTGTCGTGGTCGTGGCGCCTGGAGAGTAGCTCACAGAGCGTGTCAGGCCGTTGCCAGACTGACTTGTCGCGGGCGAGCTCCCACCGCTGCTGCTGCTGTTATTTACGGCGTGGTGGCTGTTGTCACGCGACAAGAGGTGGTTGTGTGTGTAGTTGCGCAGGATGCTCAGGCCGCGCAGACGGCTGGTTCTAGAAGGCGAGGGCGAAACCGTCGACGTCGCTAAGCCAGGCGGCGTTGGTGATACCGGCTGTGAAAACATTTCTTTGGGGCCGCAGTGACTTTCAAACGCTTTTTTTTTTCGGGGGGCGCCTTCAGTGGAGATGGCGCTGCTGTGGCCTGCTGTAACTGAAGAATCGAGACACAAACAGCCACCAAAGCGGGTTGCTGAACAGTGGCTTGGCCCAGTATAAGTTATAAAGTGTAAGCAGGGGGGAAGTGGAAAAAAAGCTTCAAGCCGAGCTTGATTGTGATGTAAGTATTTCCACACAAAAGAGGGGGGAATATCGATAACCAGAGAGAGAGAAAATGGGATGTTTTTTTTTTTTCTCTCTTCTCAGCCTGCGCGATGGTAACTCGGCTCCTCTCCTCCTTTATTTGCAGGAATTGAAGACTCGCGCGGTGGATGGGTTGTCTAGGCAGCGTCGTAATATAATGGCACGAGTCGCCAGGTTCCAAGGTAGATTTCCCGGTAATATAGTGGAGTGAGGCGGGTGGTAAAAACGCAGCGAGCCGAAAGAGGCACAAGTCCGGACGAGACCCTGGCAAAGTAGCAGATGAGGAGGCGTGGGAGGAGAAAAATGAGATCAAAGTAAAGTAGAAGCGATAAAAGGTTTAATAAAGCCTGGCGGAGTTTGACGTTTGGCGGGAGGTGTCAAGGAACCAAAAAAGCCCTACTCGTAACGTCTTTGAGGGAATTTTAAGACCAATTCGCTTTGTCGTGGCAGCGCATCGATTGCATCACGCAACGAATGAGTTCTGAGTTGGGTGACGGCGGATGGTGAGAGGCTGGCCCGGCGCGTGAGCGTTGTGGGAATTAAAAGCGGGAGTCGGCGCTGGAGGAGATGAGGAGGAGGAGGCGTCGGATTTTACCTTGTTTGTACGCTGCGACTTGATTTGCACCCAAAATGCGGGGTGTGCTGGTATTTCAAGAATTGCAGATTCGGATGCTGAAGCGCAAAGAAGTGAGAAGAAATAAGAAGAGAAGAGAGAGAGCAGATCAAGTCTCAAGCGAGGCGAAGAAATGCCCATGTGAGGATGTTATATTAGGCCAAAGACGTCAGTGCCGGCAAGGCCATGTATTCCAGCAGGGCCAGCCAGCGAGGGCACCGCTACAAACCGGTACCGCAGGCTACCAGTGATGCGCGCAAACGTCACTGCTGTCAGGGCCCGGCACAGCGGTATCCCCAGGTACCAGGCCAGGTACAGCACAGGTACTGCGACAAAGCTGGCTGCTAGCAGCAACTCAGTTTCCACCGCTGGCGGCACGAGCGCAGGGCTAAGAAAAAAAATAACGAGACACCTGGCGCCTGTTTTCCCTCGTCGCCTTTGTCTCTTCTTTTTTTGCCTCCCGTCTGCGTAGAGAGAGACTCTTGCTCTGTTCAGGCGGCCTCAGGGGGGGTGTGCCCGTAATGCCCCAGTGCGGTTCAGTGCAGTTCAGTTGCTGCTGCCACTAAATCTGCGCCGCTAGCACGAGCACAGGTCGGTAGCCAGAAAAGCCTGGAAATCTAATCCCATGTCTGCGGTCCCTGGTCGTCCAGCCCGCGCGCGGCCAGCAGAGAAAGAGAGACAGGCAAGACAGTGGATACGAAAAAAACGGATTCTCTGCTACTGCACGGGGAGGGGGGCGAGACGCCAAAGAGGTGGCGCCGCTAGTTGCGCTAGCACGGGGTGCTGGGGGTCTGGTGCAGGCGACCACAGGCGCTGAACATGGCTGCTAGCGGTGGGCTGCAGGGGATCAGCAGCTGGCTTGACTTGACGTGTGCGTGATGTTGAATTGAATTTATGAAGCTGAACAGTCAATTAGGCACATGTCAACTCTGTTCAATACTACTCCATCTTGACCAGGGAAACAGACGGCCCAGACAACAGAGATGCCATTCTCAGGGCTCAACTCTCCCCTCATGAGCCCTCGGTGTAATTAGGTAGGTATTCTCGTACAAATATAGTACATACTTGTAGTAGGCAAGCTGTTTGCTCTGCCCTGCAGCTGTCCCAGCGCTGCACTACTTTCTTTGTACATGCGAGGAACGCCACCGGAAAGCCCCCCCAAAAAGGCTACCACGTTCCAGTCACTCGAGTGTATACTATCGCCTGCTAGTACCCTCCATCTACACGCATTAGCACCACGAGCTGCCTCGCCGCTAACGTACCTCTGCGGTCTCGTTCGTTGCAAGGGACCTCAACACGACAGAGTCTCGACTCATGTTCTCGATCGCCCAGCAAAGGCATCAAAATCCAATCCCTTGCGCCGGCCCGAGCTTTGGGATCTCTAGTGAAATATCGCCCCGGTTTTCTCCCTGCGTGCACTGCTGAGATTAGCTGCGCAGCTTCATCTCGCTTCAGCACTCGTCGACTTTTCGCCTCTTTTCATCAGTGGCTTCAAGCCTGCTGCGAGTCTTGCCCGGCAACTGGGCCAGGTAGCCAGTAATATTTACAGCAACGTTTTGTTTGTTGCCTCGCATCTCGACCGTTTCGTCTCGGTCTGGGTGCCTTAGAGATGCTGCGTTTCCGTGAATACCCGCCCTTGACACCCAATCTCCTCCTTGCCAATAGCATCCATTTCGCCCGTGACGCTGCCGTGAAGATGGAGGGCCCTCATTGCCATCAGCCGACACGGCACATGTTCTTTGGGTGCATGTCTCAGCCTCTGCAACGGTCTGTATTGATACCACTCCCTTGTTTCTCAGCCCGATGCCATCGTAACTACTAGTACTACTAGTAAATGCAGGCATCGCCTCTCCGTGTGTGACCTGCATCACGAGCTCCCTCCTCAGATGCCTAGGACTTGATATATGCAATGCACATGTAGTGCCTATTGTACCGCATCATGGATCTGGCGGTTGAAGAATTCATGCAGCCTGCTTCGGAGCCCGCCGCTGGATGCAACACTAGTGATATTTGGCAATCCTAGTGCATGTATCTACAGGTAGCATATTCTTGTTATCAACTATCTGAGCACCAGACATGTGCAAGCTGATGCTCTCGTCAGCTCCCAAATCATGCTGTCTCTCCTCGTGGCGCTTGGCTCACTCCAGCTTTTGCAAACGCCTCGTTTTCTCTCTATCTCTCTCTGGCTCGCGCAAATACCTAGTACTACTAGCAGTAAACAGCTCTACACTCACGCCCCCTTCCTCTCCTCCTTGTCTCTCTTCCATGTCTTGTGCGTTTTTGCGTCTCTCATCCCATCTCTCATGTTGTACGACCCCACGCCTGCAGGCAGCTTGACTCAGACAAAAAAGACCCCTACAAGGCTTTCGGCGAAACATTGTTTAGCGGCCTCTCTCCTGGACCCCGAATCTTTGATATTGCATTCCAGCCAAGAAAACGACGGTTACTTAGTGCTAGCGGCACTACTACTATTAGAAGCAGGTATCTATAGCCTAATTTTCTAGGAGATCGTCGCCACGTTTTTTTCCCTCTCCCTTGTTCAGGAGAAGAGACAGCAAAGGCGTTCATCGGCATCCATTTGCGTCCTATTTTTGGGGCCCTGGCAATGTCTGGGAAAACCCAAGGAGATATTCTAAATTTGGAACTGTGAAAAATGGAAACAAGCACTATCCGCAAACAACCGACTGTTGCATGTCTTGCAAAGATGCTATCCGAGACAAGCAGCTATATACAGCTACAGGCAACATGCGGAAGAAGCACCACGACCAACTGCCAATAATTTGAATCGATATGGGATTGTTCTGCCTCTTTTTTTCCAGCTACTACAGCAAGAAACACACGTACCTTCGTATCCATCGAGATACGGGGCATTTGGAGCTACCCCAGCCTCCTTTCTCTGCTGACTGCATGCGCACACATGCTCCCACATTCAAATGCTTGATGCCGCCCCCAATTGCTCTTGGCGATTCATGCAAACAGCGACAAAAGGGCCAGCTGTTGCAGCTAGTAGTCCATATTGCCTTTTTGCCCCTGTCTTGATGCAGTTACTGCTAGGAGGAGGAGATCCCCACAAAGGCACCGTGAAATGGAGAAGATGCTGTGAGGATGGCCCCGCATGCCCATCTCACTACTGGGGATTTGGAGTTTGACGAGGAGTCCTACATAGTAGCATAGTAGGTATATGCAATGCGAAGATGCCTCAACCTCCAATATGCAAGGACGCACATATAATGTAGCATACATGACGCACGCAACCTCGACTCTTTGTCCATTTGCCTCGTTTTGCCCGAATCTGTGCCCACGGCCGAGTCCGCACCCGCCATCTGCTTGCTACTGTGCATGGTAAATGACGAGGCATCAACCTCACACGCTCCTCGACTCATGCACACACACACACACTCACACGCATCTTCTCCATATGACATCAAACCACAAAACACCTACTAGAATCAGGCCCCCTCACTTGCTCCAACTATCAAGACCACACAGTCTTATTCTCCGCTGCTGCCCCAGACCCCGCTGGAATCTCTCCCCCCCTCAGCGCTAGGTCCAGCCAACCACGACGCCATCAGATCATCCAAATCACATGGTAGTGCTGCGTGCAGCGAAATGCGACGCTACCTCGCCCATAGCGCGGGAGGGGGGTGTCCACTAATAGTGCCCTGTCGACCACTAGGCTGTCTTCCATAACATGCCCATAGCAATCCATATCAAAATGGACAATACGGGCCGTGCCAAATACAGGCATCATCAAATGCCATCAGCAGCCATCCAACAGCTGCACCCAGCCATTCACCACCATAGAAGGGAAACAGTCACGGAAGTCTCCGTCACAGAAACCCCATCCCTATCCCCCACAGCAGATACTATCAAGCAGATGTCAAGCATCACTGGCAAAAGCTACTGCTAGCCCCCTCACCCAACTTTAAGACCCGCATCACCAGACCAGGGTGTGATTCTCTCAGATCATCCGATAGATGGGCGCATCGCCTAACACGCCATTAGTCCTTGTTTTTTTTTTTTTTTTTTGGTCCCCCTTCTTCTCCCTTCTCGTCCATTTGCTTGCCCCTGTATCTCTCTCTATGCATGTTCATGGGGACAATGGACCACATCCGCTGCCTCGGTGCGGGGACACACGCACGTCTTTCACTTCTCATGCCGCGAGTCAGTTGCGTTTTGCCGATTTCTTACTGCATTCAGCGCTTCATGACGACGAATGATGAGAAAACGAATTCATAATCGTTGCCAGGAACAAAAGTCTTCTTTTTTACCCGGATGAACACGGCATGACACATCTGTAAGTCATGCTGCCGCCGTGCCGTGCATCAGCGCATCACAAGCCATCAGGTTTCTCGTCCGTTAAATCGCCAAAAAAAAAAAAAAAAAAAAAAAAAAGATGCCCACATAGAGTCCATACAGGCGGCAAGGCTGCCGCGGCTCTGCCATCCTCCAAACGCCATCTCACAAACTGGAGACGCACTAGATAGTTAGTCGCGCCGGAGCTTTTAGCTCATATGGAGCAAGTGCTATCTATGTAAGGCGAGAGATTGTTTGGGTAAAGACCCCCATCGCAACCTTACTCGCCAATCTCTCTCCATCTTGCTGACACGCCCAAAATGGAGCTGCTCCATACGAATACGTATACTGTACTGTAATATCGCCAAAGTGTAATCATATCATCCGTCGCCATTTATGACTTTTTTCCCACAGGGCCCAAGCTCCAGATCTATCTAGATGCTGCCAGATTTGCCATCGGATCGCTTCATGCCCGTTTTGGATCGCTTCATGCCCGTTTTGGAATGTAGTCTGCTTCCAGTTCCTCTTGATGCTATATATATGTGTGTGTGTGTGAGACTCGATAATATCTGCCAATTATCAAAACTCAGCTTTGTCATAGAAATCCAGTGTACATAATTAGGGTCTTGAAGATTGATAATGAGCTAGCTGGTCAATAGTTCCTACCCGCTCACTTTCAACCTCGAATGTCCAATTTCTTTGGGAAAAGTGTCCGCACGGCCCCTGTGAAGAACAGTCAGCACCTTCTCAAAGACAGGAAACGGGACTGGGATCAGCTTAGAAGGAAAAGAGTTTACTAGAGAACATTTTAGCACAGCTATGGAGCACACACCATCTCAAGACAATGAGCCACTCGAGCATGAATAGTAGCATCATCACTAGGGAGCCGTTGTAAGCACCAACTTGGTTAAAACTAGATCTCGGAGTTACATGTGGAATAAGAGGAAAAGAATAGCAGTTGTACTGTACAGTAAAAGGAGTATATGCAGCTAGGACGCAGGAAATCTCCGGCGTTAGGGGTGGTTCCGGAAAAGGAAGCTCTAGAAATATTGTTGAATCAATATAACGGGTATTTCGCGGAATCGCTTGCGACAGCCGAATGCAACTTGGAAGTAGCTCTTCCAAGGATATTGTTGCGGCTATCCAGAAGTAACCTTCTAGGACCAACTATTGCTACTACCTGGAAGCAGTCCTTCAATACGGTCTATTGTGGCTCTAGATCTTCATACCAAGGTAAGCTATATGTCTCAAATTTATACAGATATCCATCGAACACGCAATACGAAACGCAAATCGCCAGCATCAATACCCCTAGAGCTATCTATACTCAAAATGATCATCATTACTTCTCATAAGCATCCATATATCAAATAGCAATTCCATCTCATTACTTCTCAAACGTCGAACCGCCAACCCTCTCAATCTCCTTCCCCTCCGTTGTGTCCCTCCCCCCCGCCGCCTCCAACAACCTCTCATACGCCGCCGCATCCCTCAACTTGACAGCCTCCTCCGCCGCCTTCACCCGAAGCCCGCACTTCTCATACATGGTAATCGTCTCTCCCGGCTCCAGGCCCGTGCACTTGGGCACAAACACCGCCGCCAAGCGCGGATTACCCGCCTGTAGCGTGAGGTTGAAAAAAGGCTGTCCCAAGAAGAAAATAGTTAGCCAAGTTTCGGATTCTGCGTACTTAGTTCTCACGCCCATCCATTTTTAATGCCGTCTCCGTTTCACACAATCCCGCTCCCTTCCATGTGCTTTCCACTACACCCGATCGATGTGATGAAACAAACACTGACAAAACTCTAAATCAACTTACCGCCCATCCGATCGGACTCTTCTTAGCCTTTGCAATATCCTCAATCTCACCCCACTCTCGTTTTGCGACAAGTGCCCGAAGCCTGGTTACACGGCAAGGGCAGAAAAACGCCCGCCGCCAGTCAGCCCGTCACGTCCCAACAGTATTATGCGATAGCCGAGAATCAAGCAGATAGGGGCAATCGCAAACTTACCTGATCCACCATGCAACCTTCTCAGGCACCTTGAAATCGCTCTGGATCTTCTTTGCCTTCCCGTGATACCCGAGCCGGATCAGCTTGAATATCGTCTCGTTGACGCTAAGTCCCGAGAAGGAGTCTGTCAAATCGCGGTCTAGCGCCTCTTGCGCACGGAGGAGCTGCGTCGTCTCCTTGAGCACATACACCTCTGCCGCTGTGTCCTTTGACTCTGAGAGAAGCTTAGCCGCCAGCGCCAGCTTATCGGATGCCGTGCGCGCATCCGGCTGACGGAGCGATTCACGGATGAAAACGTTGGCACCATCAATTCGCCTGTCATCCTGGTAGTACATGTCTTTCAGAAGGGTATTATCTCCTTCTAATTGGGCAGCAGATTCTACCAGTGCCGTCGCTGTTGGCCGAACGTTGATTACTCGGAAGAATGAGGCTAGTGGTAGCTTCTTCTTCAGCTTTGCGAGGACGAAGAGAATGAGGTCAGTATCGCCGCTTTCAATGGCTTTGTCCAAAGCTAGGTCATCCTCCTCCATATCTAGGAGAAGAGGAACTTGTCTTCCACCACGCGGTTCGTGATTTAGCAGTTCTGTGGCTAAACGGGTTCGGCCCTCGTGATGTGCCGCTCTTGCAATCTCTTCAAAAGAAATGCCTGGCTTCCCTGACAGTCTCTCCACGACCAATCGACAGATGGTATCGTCGTCTTGAGCGCCAATTCGGACTTTAGTAGATGCCCAACTAACATAGATGCGATCTGTCGGAAGCTTCAAGTAACCGGCAATCTTTAGCGCTAGCAAATATTCGTGCCGCTGAATTAGTCGTTGAATTAGTCGTTCAGGCGTCAGCCTGTGATACTGTTGGAAGGATAAGGGCATTCCAATTTCAAAGCTCCGCACAGCGTTGAGAACCCGTAGTGTCTCGCACATATCGACAAACTCATCACTGTTGTAAATGTCTAGCACCGATTTGCCAAAGGATGCAGCTTTCAGGAGTCGCTTCTGCCACTGGGGATCAAACTCTCGACCGGCGGCATTAACACACGTGTCGACAGCTTCAGTCAGGTTTGGCCGAATAAGCTGGATGTAATCGTCTGCCTTTGGGGATTGAAGCTCAAGTTGTTTAACGGCATCAAGCAAGATGGATGCAGGGGATGATTCTGAGGCGGCGCCAAATGCTTGCAGTGTGTCGTCCGGTACCCTTTCTAAGAATTCGCAAAAGTCGTTTGTTATTAACCTAGCGCCGTCGTGCTCTGCTGCTGGTTAGCATTAGGCTTATATCATTGAGTAGCGAGACCATACCAGATATAACATGCACCCGAGTGCTGTCGTATATATAAGATGAAGACTCATCCCCGGGTCCAATGACATGAACCTCGTCCTCCCAAGCAATGATAGCATCGCTACCACACCACTCCACATACTTGGGCGGGGTATTTGAGTTGGAGTTGTGTTCGAATAGCCTCTCCTGGAAATCGCTCGATATGACGTGCGCCTTGCCATTCTTCCCATAGAGATTGACAAACCCACCATTCGGCGAAACGCTGATATGTGAAAAGGGCCCAACATCCAGGAATCTGTCTTCGCAGTCCGTAGCGTCGACCACATAAACAGTTGACCCAATACTGAGTAGCACTTCCACCGAGCGAGAAAGCGTGTGGTTTGGTGCAATGATACCCCATGAGTGGATCTCACCCGCTGGCACAGACGCAAGAAGCTTTGGCCGTGGCTCTGTATATGATGATACCGTCACCAATGTGTTGTTTCCCAGCAAGGCAACTAGGCCGTTGTCGTAAAACCTATTTGTAATCGTTTAGTTTCTCCATCCTCGTCCACTTTCACTTAGAGATAACAGAGGATGAATGGCATTTACCGGCAGGACTCCACCCCATAGTTGTCCGCCCCGTTTCCTAACGAGAAGTGACTGAAATCTCCCTGCATATCGTAGCACCTCACATTGCCATCTGCCGCAACAACAAGCAACGACTCTTCCTCAGACCAGCCCAGCCCCTTGATAGCCCCGCTGTCCCAGGCGATGTTCCGCAGCTTCTTCCCCGCCAGGCTGTAGATCTCGATAGCCGGCTTCGTCGACTGTCCCATCCTGTGGGCTTGGAGCTTGGTGTCGTCCCTCCATAGTGCCAGAGCACCGGCGTACGGGGCGCCCGTCACGATGTAGCCATCGAGATCCAGGTCCTGGCCAAAGACGGCGGTATACTGCTCTGTCTTGCGGAACCACTTGTCCCCTACGCGCTCCCAGTCGGCTCTTGCGTGAAGGGTGTCCATCGTGCTGTTACCTTGCTCTCATGACGACAGGAGAAGCTGTACTTGAAAAGAATGAGGGAAAAGAGAAAAAAAGAAGTGATAGTTTGCTGCGCATGAGATGAAGAGAAGCTCAAGGTGAGTGAGGTTGGAAGATCCGCAGCTAGCCACTATAGCTTCGTCCAATGAGAGGCGAGGCTATTCGTCGGCTAAACCAGGGCCCAGCGTCCAGCTTGCATCATCGTCCCTACAGTCTGTCACTCCTTGGGGCGTAACCCCACTAAACTCATGCTGTACTTCGTGTTCTCTCATCAACTGGCACTGCTAGCATCAGCTTTTCTTACTGCATACGGGAGGGGTTTGAGTACCTAAGCTTTTCTTTTCACTACAACCACTTTTTATAGAAGCCTCAGTGACTATACACGCGTTATTTTTCCCTCAATTCTTTCAGAATGCCCAACTGGAGAGACGAGTACCTCTCTTCCCTCAGGGAATCAGAGCTCAACAATCCCGTCAACATGGAGCTCGTCCAGGCTTGTTTGTATCTCTTGCGTCCAGTTCATATACATGCGGGCTGACAATCTCTACACAGGCTCACAGATGGCAGACCGCATTTCATCTTTGGAGGCCGAAAAACTGGCTTTGGAATCCCTCGTCGCCGGCCAAGGCAACAACCGGTCAAAGTCGCCATCCCTTCAGCCTGGCGAGGCGGCAGCCAACGATCCTGGCGTGGCTCAGCTGCGCCTTGAACTAGCCGAGGCCTTGCGCTCGCGAGGCGTTGCAGAAACGCGACTACGCACCGCGGAAGAGGAACTGGATAAGCTGCGCTCCAAGATGAAGCAGGATACACGATCTATCAAAGATCTCACCACGGAAAGGACATCTCTTGCTACCAAAGTAAACGACCGGGAGTACGAGCTCAAAGAGAAGAGGAAGCTAGTCGAGGTATTATCATTATTCAAATTGCTTTACACAAAGGCTCTTTCCATTCCATTTTAAGCTTAATTACTGACGTTGTATATACAGCAAGTTCAAGATGAGATGATTGCGCTGAATCTGCAGCTCTCCATGGCTGAAAAAGAGAGGGACAGAGTCAAACAAGAGAACAAAGAGCTCATCGACAGATGGATGAAGAGAATGGCCCAAGAAGCAGACGCTATGAATCTCGCAAACGAACCAACGCTAGGCAAGGGACGGTAGAAACAAAATTAAAAGAAAAAAAAAAAAGTCTCTCCATTTGCATCATAACAGCATGATATCATGGCGGTAAGGATGGTTTCTTTCATACATGTTTTGTACAGTTAACTTTGTTTCGTCGCTTCATCTACTAACGCGTTTATCTTCGCTGTTGATGACCGCATTTCTTTCAAGCATTCTTTCAAGCAAAAAAGAAAAGATTATCCTCCCAATGTCGTTAACCAAACCTCAGTCCAAGAAGACAGAGGACAAAAAAATACCCATATTCCTGATTTGTACTCGATGATTTATATTCTACAATACTCAACATAAACATCTTTATGCAGTGCTGATGAAGCTCTAATTAGTCTATTTCCGCGTGGAGATGTAATACTGTCCGCCGGCGTTGGTCCAGCTGACGTAGCCCTCGGGATACGTGCACTCCTCGACCTCAAGGATAGTGCTGCCGACATCGTTGATATTGTGGCTGCTCTTGGAGTCGGCCACAAATGATTTGAGCGAAATGATCTTGCAACCCGGCTTCAGGTCCAAGAACATTCGGATCAAGTCGTCGTTGAGCTGCGAGGTGAATGCCTTGTTGTTGACCAGGATAACATCAGCCCGCTTCAGGGCGTCGTGGATCAAGGCGTTCTTACGGAAGTCGCCACGTTCGATGTGTACTTCGCCTGGCTCTATACCCCAAAGCAGGCAACGCGCGTGAAACTCTTTCTCTTGGGCCTCTGCAAGGTTGCAGGCGTTCTCCATCATCTCGCAGCCCCAGCTCTCGCATCCGACTTCGAGCGCCGCCTGCAAAACGACGTTGCCCACGCCCGAACCCAGATCAACAAAGACCTGGTCCGATGTCATCTTGGCCTGCTCAACAAGAATCTTGGTGATGAAAGGATGCAGAAGCTCGCCATAGACAAAGTCTGTCCCGTTCTCGTATTTGGAAAGGAGTTCCACCTTTGGAGCAACTGTACGGTCATAGATCTGGTCGAGAATGAACGCGGCGAGGTGCGGAGGGAGGTCGTGTAGGTTTTCGAGATTCTTCGAGACAACACCGTCTTCCACCAGGGCGAGGAGTGTCTCGTTGTATTCACGCAGCGTGGCTTTGAAGCCAGCCAAATCCTGGATGTTGCGATTCGAGGCCTTTTCGAGTCGTCGGATGTAGCCGTTATGGGGGTTGGTAAACGGCTCGGCTTCTACGTCGGTGAGGTAAGTTTCGGCGACGAGGCGTACTATGCGTATGCTCGCTTCCACGGCGTCGATCTTGTCCTTGCCCCAAACGAGCTCAAACCTAGATTTTTTGTCAGAAGAGAAAACGCCAAAAACATTTCATCTTTAATCCTGTGTTGTTGCACAAAGGGTGGGGTGAGGGGCCAAGTGGAATGCAGCCTCATTAAAATGACTTACTTTTCTCGGCGCTGCAGAGTGGGATACTGGAGCTCTATGGCGACATCTTCCTTGGAAGCTCCCATGATGGGAACACACTTGTGCTCCAGCGACGCAACATCGACGGCGTGGATGAACTGCAGCCTCTCATCCTTCCGTTCGTACGCCCTCGCGCTTCTCAGCTTGCGATTCGAATCGACCGACTTGCTCTCGCTGGTTGCCTTCCTCTGGCGCTTGTGCGAATCCAAGTCCATCCATCCATCATCTTCGGCGTCGCTGTCCTTGTCGAACTCGATGCGGTCGCTGGCGGGTGAGCGGCGAGACGCGCTGGTCGGGGCCTTTCGCTTGCGCTGCGGCTCGAGGCGCCGCTCGTCGGTAGATGAGGGGTACGGCGAACTGCTCTTAGCACGAGATGAGGCTGTCGAGGCTATGGAGGAGGTGGCATTTGGTGAGAGCTTGCGAACTGGTGATGATCGCGCGGACGACGATAGCCCGGGCCGAGCTACAGGCTTTGGCTTTGGTCTCGGAGCTATGGGACGCTCGATGACGACTTTTTCGATGCGGATCTTGGGAGGGTCGACTTTGAACTTGTTACTCTTTCCACTGAGAAGAGGCATGATGGCGGCATCAAAGTAGCAGTAAATCTCGAGAGCGCAAAAATGCCAAAGGAAAAAAAAAAGAGGTGAGAGTTCGCTTGGGTGGAGAGATCAGGCGGCTCGGCTCAGGGGTGCGCCTTTTCGGCCGAGGGGCTCTGCCTAGCCTTTTTGTCGTGCCTTTGATGCCTGCCTTGGGAAACTGGCCGATGGCGGGCACGCGATGATGTGCGAGAGCGAGAGTGAGAGCGCTGGAGCTGGTGATAAATATGGAATCAGGCTTGAGCGAGGGTCGCGAGCCGGGCGATGACGGCAGCGGGTGGCGGGGGAGGCGAAAAAAAGGCAGCCCGAGTCGAAAGGGAGTTGAAGCAAGGCGTTTTTTTGGCAGCGCTTTGAACAAAGGAGTGGTGGTGTTGGAGCAGAGGCTAAAGGGAAACGAGAGCGACTATGGCTTTTTGGAAGAAAGAATAGCGGGATTACAAGAATGACAAGAAACGTATGTGATGGATAGATGGATGGTGAGAAAGAAGATAAAAAAAGATTAGTGAAAATGATACTAGTCAGCCAAAGTCTGCCGGTCTGTCAGTAAGTCAATCCATACGAGAAATATGGACGAGAGAAGGAAAAAAAAGAGGGAAGAGAAAAATCCGGCGCGTCTAGACTTGGTCGTAAAAAAGGCAGCCAACATGGACCTTGGCAGGTTCGATTTGGATTGTGCCTGCCGCTATTACGGAGGGACTAGTGAGCTTGGCCCAAGTTGGAAAAACCGGAAGGGAATCTTGCTGCTTATGTCACCAGCCTTTTTTAGCTGGGCCAGAACTGCTGAGAAGCTGCTGCTGCTGCATGCATGGCCTGGGGTCCTCGAGAAAAGAGAGAAGCCAAGGCAAAGTCGGATGGAGGACAATGGCGGGATTTGAGCAGCAGGGCCCACAAAATGCCTCAGAGCCTGAGGGCTCCGATTCGCGGATGGCGCACGTGCCACCGGTGGCGTCTAGGGTCCAGTCCATGCCACTTGATGTCATACGTTTGAGCTGCAGTTTGGCCATCGCTGCACAAGGAATTTCGTCATATGTGAGTTTACTGGATATTAGTAGCAGGTGGAATATCTGCTTTGAATTCACTTATAATCCAATTATTACGGTAATATAGCAGCAAAGCGATGTAGTCGTAGTTAAGAGTTACTTTAGTAGAATTGCATATATCATATGTTTATAGGTACTAATTGCTTCCTTATATTAATCTAACTCTAATCCTATTGTCTACTTATCTTAGTATTCGCTGCTTAATGTGCTTCCATCTACCCTCTCTGCTATCCCTTTGTTGTGAGTCCGCGCATTTTGATCATATGCAGAGACTTCTACTTCTTCGACTTCTTGGGTAAAGGAAACATGAACATCAAGCGGCACTTCTCCTATTTCCTTCGAAATAGTCTAAGATTCAGGTACCTATACTTCAATATTCGAAATCTATGTGGCTAATGAGCCATCAATGCTAACTTCAGTTTGCGATCTGTGAAGCCCTGGATGCGAATCTCTTTGTTCACCCGTAGCTGATTCAAGTACTGGTGATATTTTCCCAGAAGCTTGAACTGCTATCATGATTTTTGATGGTGTACATCTCAATTTAAGTAGAAACAAGACTATTATATACATCTAAAATATCTGGACAAAGTAGAACTCAACATTCCGTAGATATTTGGCAGCAAAATATAACTGCACCTCTAGGCCCCAGAGATCTGATGCTGCTAATTTTTCTGCTACTATTGCTCTCGATGCCATTATCCTCTTTTGAGTTGCGTTGCTCGTGCACAAGAGAAGAATGTTTAGATGAAGTTGTACCATGGCACCGGCATGGCTCGAACGGCTTATCTGAGATGCGCAAACTGATATTATTGGCGATTTTTAACTGCTCAAATCCTTCTTCTCCACCATGAGTGCGTATAATTTCAACAAAATCCGAGACGCAAGCACTAAGGTAGTATCTGTTTACTGGCATTAGGGACCAGTGATCGCAAAGCATCTCAGTACTGGATGGTTGAATGATCTCGCCGAAATCTTCACCGAATAATATGACTGCGCCAATTTCCGTAATCATGTTTACCCAGCCGTATTCCATTGTTTCGAGTGTGACAACCTTAGGGTGAAATTCTTGGTTATCAATTATATCGTTGAATTCCCAGCCATGAAGATGGTTATGAAGTCTACAGCTCAAGCTCGCTTTTTCCTTGTAAATCTTTTTAAGTTGATAATCGATTAATTTCTCGAGGGTGTGGAAGATATCGTCGACTAAATCTTCAAAAAGATAGAAGTTTTCCTCCTCTTCATAAACCATTGTTTCTCTATCGTTTCCTCCAAAGAGCACTCTTTCAGTATGCTGGCTTTTGTGGCGGTATATTTCAAGCTTTCTATTGCTTCCATTTAGAAGTATTTCAATTGCAGACTCAGCTGTAAATCTGTCAGTAGCTTCTTCCAGAGATCCAGGTTTATAGAGCAGTGAAGACTCCGACGAGCCCCCTTGTTCACGCTTTAGAGCTGCTCGCGAGAGGTGTAATAAGGCGGTAGTCCCATTAACGAGCCAACCGCGCTTATATCTTTCGTCCCAAAGCACAACATATTTAGTATGAATCCACTTAAGCTTAGTTAGGTAGTGCCGCCCCAAGAATAGCGTAGTATGGTCACGGCCGATACTGAAATTGAGTCTTCCGGTTAACTTTTTCCCAGCAGATATGGAAATGTCATGAAATATACAGTCCGCAGTCGGCCTCGGTAGGCTTGACCTTTGAACGTTGTAATTAGCCTCGTTGGCCTCTATATAAATGGTTATTAGTTATTAGTTAATGAGCGCATCATTAGAAAAGACTTACCAGCGATAAGATCAGCTTTTGAACACCAGCTAACTACTTCCATAGATTCGTTTTCCACACGCAAATCCTTAATTTCTGACCAGTCCACATCATCTTCAAGAGTAACTGGTACCTCCTGTTGTATGTATCCGCCAAACTGCGGATCAAGGTAATTAGGCGGATCTGTTATGAAAACGATTTTTCCAGCTTCATCCATAGGGGTGGAACCTCGATTGCTCTCCATAGGATTTTCGTCTCCATCGTTCTCTAAATATGCAAGTGACATCAAACCAAGCTGCTTTAAATGAGTACCAATATGGCGTAGCAATACATTTCGAGCAGGTTCCGACATAGCTCTATCAGCATCTGTACCCTCGGGAGGAAGAAGCTCTGCCTCGTCCGGATATGTGATGGCAATTTCTATTGGCACGCAATTGCAAATGGGGCATCTATTGTGAGGTCTTTCGCGATGTAGTTCTCCCCATTCCTTAAACTCAGCTCTCTCATCTTCATACTCAGAATGACTCTCTTTAACGTGTTGGTCATATTCAGCTTCATCTTCGAAGTATAGATCATCATGATCCACATCGCAGAACCAACCAAGAGGTTTATGAATTTGCCTCACCCAGTCTGTGGTGTGATTCTCATCCATGTGCTGTTTCCACTCTTCAAAACGCACAAAGAGCTGTGGCGGCTCTGCGCATCCTTCTGAGAGACAAGTATAAAACTTGAGATCATGGTTTAGGTGATTACTAATTTGATTAGAATATTTCTTTAAAAGGCTTAAAGTGTTCTTACTACCACCAATTCTTTTCTTTCAAGCTAATTTCTGAAATTGGTCTCGCGCAGAATGGACATATAGCTTCTCGGGTGCGAGTATCGACTTTTGGTGCATCAGGATATTTGATGTCTTTTATATCAGTAGAAAATGTAGATCTAGGCTGCGTAAAAGATTTCTTAGTACCGGCATACGCTTCAATGATAAGTTTGGACTGGACAGTTGTCGGCGGGTCTTCTTTCTTCGGCTGTTGTTTTATTCTAGCGTTGGCGATGGCCAACCTTTCCAGTTCGTTTGCATTGCCTTTTCTCTTTTCTTCAGGGAAACGATAAATTTCAGGTGCCTGATGCTGAACTGGAGAAATTTCCCGTCTCTTCTCAATTTGCACTTGGCGATTTCGTCGGTAGAGAATTCCGAAATAGCGGAAGGATATGGATGTGGCTAGTTGCCTGTAAAGCGACAAAGGGCTTCTGCAATTACTCTTATTCTCATTTGTATCAAAGAACTTATGCTTAAGTCGAAGGAAAACTATGTTTTCGATAGTGAATTCATCATTCTCCTGAATATACCTGCGTATCCTTTGATTCAGTGTTGAGGAATACGATTGTCGAATTGCAGCACCAAGGCGATATAGACCATCGATAGCTACCTTTATGGCTCGTAATGACTCCGCTAAGGGAGATGAAGTACCTGACTCGGGTATCTGATTGACCTCTTCTGCAATACGTTGTTGTAAATCATCACCTATAAAGCCAGTCTGCTCTGGAGCTTCATCGAGCATACAAACTACCAAAGATTAATTAGTGCCTAAATGCAAAGGAATATATAGCGAGACCGCTTACTGCATTCTAAATTCCGGAATACAACCTCTAAGAATTGAAGAATCAATTGTCTGATTGACTGACTATACTGTAAACGAGTGTCTAGGGATATATTCTCTTGGGCAAAAACTCCAAGATATGAAATCCACTGATTAAATCGCAGGTGCAATGTTTCGGCGACGAGTAAACCAGCAGTGTACGGTTTGTTGAGAATTTCGATAAAAAGACGATAGCAGGCCGCGGATTTTGTGTATATTGGCGTGGCATCATCCATAATTGCATTTGCTCTGTCACTAGGCATCAAATTGCGGGATAGAATGAGTGAAGCTTCATGAAATGGCTGTTTTCCATTAACGGTATTAGCCAGCGATGAAGAGATCTCAGTGAGGTTCTCCAGTGCAATACAATGGAAGACAGACAATTAATGAGTATTGAACTTTTAGAACTAAGACATAAACTTGAGCTCTTGAAGGACCTGGGCTTTCGCAGAAACGAAAGCAATTGCCTTCAACTGTGAGGATGGGTGATGCAAATTAGCGCACTGTCGTGATCAAGTTCAATGTATTTCAATCCCTAATTTTGAAGATAAATCAGGTGATCTTGGGTTTTGTACCGTATCCCCCCAATAACCGAAGATGTTACCAAAAGAGAGGTATATCTACATGCAGATAAGGTAGGGTGTGCATTATCTTTACCCCTCTTCAGGCCGAAAGAGGGGAAATCCGGGATCCTAGAAATTACTATTGTCCATTTTGCAACACAATCTAAATATTCTAATCGCTTCAGAAATGCCAAAGTTGTATGAATCCTCCTACTGGCAGCTATTCGAATCTGTACAACCCTTATTCGCTTCTAATATCCCATGGGAAGTGCAAGATGACAGCCAAGGGGTTGTCTCAGCAAAAATCGCTATTCAGAACACTGTCGATCTGATCAAGGCTTGCATGATGGAGACTCCAATTCATTTCCAAATAGAATGCGTTTACACCTTGGATGAGATTGCCTTTTATATTCGTGATTTTCTACGACCATTATTATTCATATTGCAAGAATTAGTTCATGATATAGTTATGGAAATCAAAGAAATCGACGAGGTCGGTAGAGCCATTTTGATGTTTGCTTGTCTGATGGGTATACATTTTATGCCTTTGAAAACTTCTAACAGAGTACAATAGGAGGAATACCCTGAGAAACTGTTATTGAAGCTTGGCACTTTAGGGTATATAATAAGAAGCCCGCCCAATTATGGTTTGAATATTACAAATTATCTGGAATTTCTTAATTTGAAGCAGACTCCCCGTCAATTAAGGAAAGTATTACAGAGAATTGAGAACTTGAATAAGAAATTGGCAACTGAAAGGAACAAAAATGCGCCCAGTGTATCAGCCATTCCGCAATTAAGCTCGAGGTCTGGAACTCATTCGTGTGATTCCATGTCATGGCTTCAAACAAGGTTCTGTCCTGCTTTTTGGAATTCTTCTCGAGATCTATTTAACGCCTTGGTGCGCAATATGAAGTCTTGTACATCATCCACGCATTCAGTAATGCTACATTTACAAGGCATAAAGGAGCCTGAACCGCAAGATAATCACGCTGAATTTAATATTCTTTTACTCTCATGCCCGATGCAGGACTCTTGGCAGGAAACGTTGTGTCACATTTTCTACAAAAGGTAAACTCCAATTACAATAGCAAGAATCCATTCTCTAATATGACTGCTGCTCACCAAGTTAGTCCTTTCGAATTAGACGTTGAAGATGATTCAACATATGAAACTCTTTGCCAAGCAGTACATATTGCAAACGATTACAGGACTATGCTCCATATTCGCGTCTACAACGAAAGCTCTCGATACTACCATGACGACGGCGTGTCGCTTAAGTATCCGAGAACACAATCCGCAATACGTATATCGGAGCTCTTAGAGAGCGGACATTTGAAAGATTTACAAGGATTCCATCTTAAAGACAGATGGACACTGGCATTTAATCTTGCCCGATGTTTGCTTCAATTACATAATGGGCCTTGGCTTCAAGAATTGTGGAATTCCGAAAATTTCTTTCTCTTATGTGAAAGAACCAAAGAAGATCGCAAGCTATTCAATGTGCAAGGTCCATTTATTTACTCTACTATTTCTGAAAATCCACCAAGCCTGCCTCAGCTCACTCATTTCGACAAGTATTCATTACTATTGTCATTTGGTCAGTTTTTGTTAGAACTTGCAATTGGAAAGAAACTGCCAACTGCCAAAACAGAAGCGGGGAAATTGAGTCCATATAAGACATTGAAAAATAACTTTGTCGAAATGAATAAAGGTAGTCTTAGCAATGACTACAAAGAAGCAATTGAAGGGTGTCTGTACTTTCACAAATTCATGAAGGATGAAAAGGGGGTAGACGAGGAAGTCCGAATACGTACAACTATCTTCAAGAGGATTGTTCAGCCATTAAAACGTAATCTTCAATTATTCAACGAAGGTGGAGCATCGAATAACATAGGTACTATAAAGATTGGAGATCTCAACGATAAACTATTAACAACTCCGCAAATTACTAAGCCACCGATTTCAAGACCTTCCCATCCTTCCGATATTGAAAGAACTCGAGATGACCATATCAACAACTCTGATTCTATGAGTTCGGAATCCGAGTCTGAATATGATGGGACTGAGGGCAATCTCTTTGGAACTTTCGACATAAGAGATTCAAGATCCCAAGAATCCACGTTAGTTTAAAGATGGCTAGACTCTGTTTATTCTTAAATCGTACTAAGTTCAATTTATAGATCATTGCAGTGGGGTTACACATTTACAAGGCTTTCTCAAACTTATAGGAAACGTTTTCAGTATACGCTCGACGATGAGCGCGTCAAAGTTGCCATCCTTGATACCGGTATTGATCGGAATCATCCAGATTTCCGACATCCTCGCTTAAAACACAAAAATGGGCAGGGCTTCATTTGGGCCAAAGAAGAAGAAGCGCAGATTGATCGCATTAAGTCGTGCCAAAACTTTTGCGATGATCGACCCAATAACGAGGATGTTACGGATATTGACGGTCATGGGACGCATGTTGCTGGAATCATTTTACAACTTGCACCAACAGCGGAGCTTTACATAGCACGAATCTGCCAAGGTGACGAGAAATATGGGAATATTGCTCTTAAAGATGAACCAAAGATGTTAGAGGGGCAGTCCAAACAGCCAGTAGGCAATCTGAAAGTTTACTGCCATAGAGTTGAAGAAGTAAGTTCACTCATATACAATATTCTCACAGTACATGTGTTAAAACTTGAATAGGCGATTGAATGGGCTATTAAACACAAAGTCCACCTTATAAATATGTCCTTTGGCTATAAAATATGGAATAAAAAGCTTGATCAAGCTTTAAAGAAAGCGCGGGAGCACGGAATAGTCATCTTCGCAGCAGCCTCAAATTCTGGGAACCATGAACAAGTTTCATGGCCCGCAAGAATTTCAGAGAGAGCAATATGCATCCATTCTTCAATTGATCATGGGACTTTCCCTTCTAACTTTACTCCAAAAGCGCACCCTGGAATTAACAATTTTATGGTAGTGGGGGAAAATATATGTTCACATTGGCCTGAGTCTAAAGGTGGAGGATTTCGGGCCATGACTGGCACTTCTACAGCAACGGCCGTAGCTACTGCAATCGCTGCGCTTTTGATAGCATTTATACGACAGAGTGTGTATGATAAAGAGAAGAGAGATGAGGTAGAGAAGGCTGTTGGTCGGGTCAGACTTGATGATCTCAATGCCATGGGAGCTTTATTGAAACACATCTCGACAAAAACTAACGGTTATTATTGGATTAGCCCTCAATTGCTTTGGAAGGAATTCTCGTCAACTGGAATGCGAGAGGACCCCATTTTGGCATCAAAACATGGGTGGGAACAGATACAAAAGGCACTGCGTAAATGAATGAATGTAAGCGAATTAGTACGCTAAATACATCACACAATTCACGTACGTAGTCTTGTTGCATATATCATTAGTCTTAGTCAATTTTATCAGTTATGGTTCATTGCGTCAACTTTTGAGATGAAAATTCATATACTGATAAACTATCTTCGCAATGGAAGAGACAATAATCCTGTTCCGTACCTAGTATGGACATATATTAACACCAACCAATGGCCGAGACACCGCCGCATACCACCCGCATGATAAGATGTACCTCACACAGCTTGCGGGGTAGCGCGATTTAGAAAATTCCATCCTAAAAATGTTCATATAAAGAAGAACATCCACCGCTATTACTGAATCTTCAATAGTCTTTGCAATCGGATCAGAGCCCAAATATGCCACAATCGTCTGGGAAGCTAGCAGAGAAGATGAAATGGATCGTCACTCGCTACCCAAAACCTCCTGGTCAACTTATCGCCCTAGGCGCCATTCTATCTAACCCAGACGATCCAGAGACTCGTCTAAATCGGCATGATGCGATAGAAGTCAAGTCAAAGCATCTTCTCGATGAATCTGCAGCCATCCAACGTGTTATGCATGCAGGAGTATCCAATGATGACGACATTATACTCAAATTAACGCAATTTCTAAGCGCTAGGCTAAGTACCAGTGGAGGACGCAAAGAAGATGGAAAGACGATCATTGATGCATTGGACGTGAACTCAAAAATATTTTTACCAGATAAAGAATATATGAATGCCAGTATGGAAGCTCCTGGAGTACAGGAATATATCAAAAATTGCAGCTTTTCGAAGAAGCTATACATGATAATTGGCGTTGCGACAGCAAAGAAACTGCACATTAGTGAGGTATCGTCAAAACAACGCTCTGCTGGAGTGAGTGTTACTGTTCCATATATGGGAGGATCTGGTTTGGGAAGTACTGCTGGAGGACGTCATAAGAGCTCTCAAATCTCTGGTTCGGAGGTGGATGTCGAGCAGGAATGCGATTTTGCTTATCGGATTCGAGAATTTACATATTGGAGGTATAGGAGAGAAAAAGTCAAAATGAAGGCCGATCGGGATACAGGAGCACTTTTCAGAACTGAAAACAGCCATGAAGATTATGACAGCTATGATGATAGCGAAGACGATGCTTTTGAAGATGTTCCTCTATTTAATGAATTAAAAGAGATAGATTATAGCGATGATGCGATTTTAGTCTTTGAAGTCTAATGATATAATGCAGTGTAGCAGACAAGCTTTTCTCTAAACTTTCTTTCTATAACTAGGTATCCAGAATCGATAAAACCTCTTTTCGTCATCACTACTGTTAAAAATGGGATCAGGATCAGCAAAATTCTGCTTAACATGTCTATAATGTATTTGATGTGACGAGTTTTTGAGTAAGTCAGAGATAAGGTAATTTGACACTGACTACGGCTCATTTTATCTTAATAAGCATTCTGGTGCCTGATGGATACAGTAAAAGAAAATAAATGCGAAATTTTGCATCCGTTGAAGAGTCAATCTACCCCCCTTTATCGTTTACTGGGCTTCTTGGTATCGCACATCATGCTGGCAGCTGCGCTTCCTGCGAGCGGACGTAACCTATGAGGTTGGAAGCCTGATTGAGCATAAGCGAAACGGAGGCGTGGCATCCACTGATTAGATATCTACAATCCAGAGGATTTGATCTATTTATACTATCTCAATTAATAAATATCTAGTATAGCCGCCAACGCTGCTTTTCATTCGATTGTTCTTTTGCTTTTGTGCACACACAATCTCCAAAACGTCCATCAATTTTTTGGACGCAAAGAGGTGGCGGTGGATGGATAAGCAATGAGCAAAGGTAGGAAGAAAGAGAAAAGAAAGCCTCCGGCTTCATATCAAGGGCTTTCCGCTTACGTTCAATTCCGTATCTATCTTTCTTCCTTGCTCTCTCATACACAGCCTCAGTGACCTATTTCCATTGCAATTCCAACTATTTACAAAGATTTATCGCGCCACCCTGGAGAGATAGCGGCTATAAATCAGTCTTTCCAAATTCTCTCTCTCTTATCAAGGGAGCTTCCTTGTATTCTTAAGTAAAGCATTAATATACTTTTGCATCTTTTCTTTAACCTCTTTAATATTAATATCTAATATCTTTATACAGTCCTCCTTTAAAATTTAATAATTTTAAAATAAAACTATAGCAATGCCTAATACTTAACCAAGGTACTAAATACTAAATACAGGCTGGAATTTAGCTTTATAAATAGTGTTGTATTTATACTATAATAGCATTATAACCTGCCTCTTATGGTTGCAACAATAGGCCTACAGGGTAAGCTAAATTAAATTAATATAAGACTAATTTATTAGTTACTATAAATTATTAAAATTTATAGATAATTTAACTTAATTAATTAAATATATAAATTTACTTTTTATATTTATTTAAATAAATTAAATAATTAATTATTAATATAATTTTATATTTGTAAATTAAAAAATGTTTTTAATGTTTATTATTAATAACTTTATTATAATATAATTTTATCTATAGGTTTTTTAATTTATTTACTAATATAAACTTTAAGAACTTATTTTAGGTTTATCTTTTAAAAATCTACCCTATATTAACTATCTAGTGTATGGTTTGTTGTAAATAGTAACTCTATTGCTAATAGTATATATAGCTTTAATTTAGCATATACATTGTCTTAAAAAAAAATAAACTCTTTCTTTTTCTCTGAGAAATAGTAAGAAACAGCAATATTACTATCTTTCTGAAATTGTAGGCCATTAAGCCATAGACCTAGTGTATGTATCGAGATGGCGGTTAAGCTACGATGGATGCTTAAGTGTACTTTAACTCGCGTCGCTCACACAGCTGCTGCTTACATGTACCATGCCTCGCCCCCGCTCTCGCCTAAAGAGTCTAGCGGGATTGGCGCTCCATCATTGGGCCACAGAAAGTGGCCATGTTTCAGGACACGGCGGCTGAGATTCTGCCTGCATTTCCCCTCGTTGAAAATAGGGCAGCAGCCTAGAAAGTAGCAGTACATAGGCATACAGGGGTCGGTCCAGCTACCAGGCATAAGTAGAAGACATGCGCTCTTAAATAGCAATACTATCTCTTGCAGTATAGATATAGCTAATCCAAAGACCTAATAAAAGCGAGTAACACCTCGGCCGATACACCTCAACTCCGCATACACATGGCAGACCGAGATTTGTACACAGTGGGTTGGATATGTGCCATCACCACAGAACTCGTTGCAGCATTGGCCTTGCTTGACGAAAGGCATGATCGTCCGAAAGAGCTGGATCCATATGACTCTAACAATTATGAACTGGGCAAGATTTCCAACCATTACGTCGCGATTGCTTGTTTACCCGAGGGAGAATACGGCAACGCCGCTGCCGCTGACGTTGCCGCCAACTTATTACGAAGTTTTCCCAACATCCGCATTGGATTGATGGTGGGCATCGGAGGAGGTGCGCCAACAGGCGATCACGATATACGTCTCGGCGATGTCGTGGTTAGCACTCCAGGGGATGGCCAAGGAGGAGTTTTTCAATACGACTTTGGCAAAACTATACAAAATCAGGCCTTTGTGGAAACAGGCTTCTTAGATCAGCCTCCAAAGCTGCTACGGACGGCAGTTGCTGGGCTCAAGGCTCGCTACGAAATCGATGGGCATTCACTTAATGAAGAAGTGAGCAAGGCTCTTGAAAAGAATCCACGACTCAAAAAAAGATATTGTCGCCCACAGGCCGGTGATAGATTATATAAGTCTTCTTTTATACACATCTCTGGAGCATCGAAAACCTGTCAAGCATGTGGCGACGACCCTTCCAACTTGATGCCACGACCTCCGCGAGATGAATTTGAGGACGATCCGGTTGTCCATTACGGATTAATTGCTAGTGCAGATAAACTTATGAAAAATGCAGTGATTCGTGATAAGCTTGCGGCGGAAAAGGGTGTCCTATGCTTCGAAATGGAAGCAGCGGGCCTAATGAACCGTTTCCCATGTCTTGTGGTCCGTGGAATATGCGATTATGCAGACACCCACAAAAATGATGAATGGCAAGGCTTCGCAGCCATGATGGCGGCGGCGTACGCACGAGATCTCTTACGCCGGCTTATCCCAGAACAGGTGCAGGCGAGAGAAAAGGCAAATGAAATATTGCTAGTTAAGTTCTTGTTGTATGCTTTGGTAAACGACAAACTAACAATGCTCTGCAGGGTTAAAGGACCAACTGGGCGAACTTGTTCACAATACTGGCACAATCGCATACAAACTTGATCTTGCAAAACTGTCAATTGCTGATGATGCAGAATCTGCTTCTTACGCAAACCAGCACGAAGAGGATTGTCTTCCGGGAACGCGGATTAAAATTCTCCATGAGATTGACATGTGGGCCACATCTCAAAGAAAATGTATATTCTGGTTAAATGGGATGGCGGGGACTGGGAAATCTACAATATCCAGGACTCTAGCAAAGCGTTTTCTGGACCAGAAGATCTTGGGTGCTTCCTTTTTCTTCAAAAGAGGCGAAGCGGATCGCGGAAATGCAAAACAGTTTTTCTCAACCCTCGCGTCACAGCTTCAAACTAGAATTCCCGGAATGGTCGACTATTTGAGAGAGGTCATTGATGCTGAACCTCAAATATCAGCAAAATCTCTCAAGGAACAGTTTGAAAGGCTGATTCTGGAGCCAATATCCCGCTTGAAGCCTAGTAGCAGCCAGCCTTCAATTTTGGTGATAGTGATTGATGCCTTGGATGAGTGTGAAAATGACAGAGATATTCGCGTCATACTTCATCTACTTCCACAGGTGCAGGAATGCAGCTCTACACGCCTCCAGGTATTTGTTACTAGCCGACCTGAACTACCAATTCGTCTTGGGTTCGACGCTATGGGAGGGAACGATTATCAGGACCTTATCCTTCACCAGATTCCCAGAGCTGATATCCAACATGACATACGCCTTTTTCTAGAGTACAAACTAGCCGACATTCGCAAAATTAGGTCTTTGCCCCAAGACTGGCCCGGTATAACGGAAATTACTACGCTTGTTACAATGTCAGTTCCTTTATTCATTTATGCCGCGACTGTGTGTCGTGTACTTGAAGACCACAACTTGGATCCCCGACAGTCTCTAGATGATTATTTCAGCTATAAAGCCGAAGAATCTACACTAGACGCGATCTATCTTCCGGTGCTGAATCGTATAGGTGCTAAATACAACGATAATAGCAGACGGAAAGACCAGTTGATCCAGGATGTCAAGGAAGTGGTTAGTGCGATTATTCTTCTTGAGAGCCCATTGTCAGTTTTCTCGCTGTCGAAGTTTATTGATCTTCCAACTATGGCAATCAAGGCTAGGCTGAGTTCATTGCACTCGGTCCTACATATCCCGGATGATGAAACCGTGCCAATAAGACTCTTCCATCTGTCGTTCCGAGATTTTTTACTAGACCCCAAAACTCCTGGTAAAACGGCAATTTGGACAGATAAGAAGGCAACACACGAAAAACTAGCCCTCCGCTGCCTTAGCGTTATGGACACTTCTTTACAGAAGAATATCTGCAATCTCGCAAGCCCTGCCATTCACAGACACCATAACATAACGGCTAAGATCGTCAACCAATGCATACCAATACAGTTGCAGTATTCGTGCCGATATTGGGCACACCATCTAATGAAAAGCCAAGATCTCACAACCCAATTAAAGCGTGCCCAATATTTCCTGGAAACAAAATTCCTTTACTGGGTTGAGGCAATGAGCATTTTAGGGATTTTACCGGAAGTTACTGAGATATTGAGAAAGCTGCAGTCAATCATAAAGGTGCGTGCTTTTTTCCCCAAGAAGTTGTAGTAGAAGGCTTTTTCTAATGCTCTATCTATCTATTAGCATGAAAGTAATTCTGAAATGTCGAAACTCCTTCATGACGCCATACGATTCATTCTCAGAAACCAAACAATGATAAATACGACACCTCTTCAGCTTTATGTCTCTGGGTTATTATTCGCCCCGGCAACATCAGAGATTAAAAGGCTATTCAGTGCAAATTTGCCAGATTGGATATCCATGCCACATACGAATGAGAACTCCTGGGGTGCGGAATTAGGGACACTCGACTGCTCTGATAGTGTTGATGACCACTGCATAGCCTTTTCCCCCAATGGTCTGCTACTGGCAGCCGGTGCTCATGACGGGACTATACAGCTCTGGAACGCAGTGACAGGCAACTCATTGCAGAAACTGGATTCTGAATGTGATTTTATCCGAGCTATAGTCTTCTCCCCAGACAGCGATTTGCTCATATCATGTTCTGGAAGCATAGCAGACTTTGAGTCTACCACTGGCAAATTGCAATTTTGGGATACTACAACAGGCACCTTACAGAGCACATTGGATGAAGATGTGGGCGATGTTACCTCTTTGGTGTTCACTGATGGAGATCGGCTACTAGCATCACCGTCGATGTCTTGGGATTTTTTAAGTTGGGATCGTTCCAACGGCGTTCAGAAGCATATGCTTTCAGAGCGTCTCACCGAAGATATGACTACAGTATTTTCACTTAACGGCTTGCTTTTGGCATCACATTGTTTTGACAAAAATATAGATATATGGAATGTCCGCACAGGTAACTTACAGCAAACACTAGTAGGTTATGGAGATGTTGTTTGCGCAGCCTTTTCTCCAAATGGCCAAATATTAGCTTCTATCGATGAAGACGGCATCATAACCCTTTGGGATACCACCACAGGCGTCCAACAACAGCACATAATGAGGAGCGTTGGACAAGCGGGCAATATAAGATTTTCACCAAACGGTCAACTACTGGCGTCCTCACATGGGAACCCTGGACGGCCAGAAAGGGACATGGATGGCACCATTGGTCTGTGGGATCTCAACTCTTGCAACTTGGTTCGGACATTGAAAGTCAATCAAGGCGCAGTGTACTCCACGTACTTTTCCCCAGATGGCGAAACCTTAGTATCTGTGTCTAAAAACGGCAAAAACGGGCGATTTATTAAACTCTGGGATGCCACAGATATATCTCCTATTCAAATGCCTCAGCCACCTTATTCCAGAGCTAGGGCCCTTTCTAAGCTATTAGCCTCTGTTTACAACACGAGCACAATCCGGGAGGCCACTGAGATATATCCAACTCAGACACCTCACCCATCTTATTCCAGAGCTATGGCCTTTTCTCTCGATGGTCAGCTATTAGCCTCTGTTTGCGGCACTGGCACAATCGTCATCTGGGACGTCACCAACGAAACTGTGGTTCGGAAGCTGAGAGACCAGTGCGGTACAGACCCGGTTGAGGTTTTAACCTTCTCCCCAGACGGGGCACTGTTAGCGTGTAGTTCCGACGCTGGAAGCATCGGAGTGTGGGACGTCATCAAAGATACAAAACGACATAGTATCAAGGGCCATAGCAAAACCCACGGCGTGGCATTCTCACCGGATAGCCTTTTAATGGCGTGCAGTGACTTGGACAACATAATAAGGCTTTGGGATCTTACTACTCGTAACTTGCAACAAGTCCTGAATATTCAATCTTATTCATACTCGCTTTCTTTTTCTCCTAATGGTCGTCTATTGGCCCTCTGTCCATATGATTCTCATCCTTCGTATCCAACGGAGCTCCGCAAAATCGAAATATGGGATTATAGTACAGGTCATCTGCTACACGCCTCCGCATGGAAGCTCAATGAAGTTTATCTTGACCAGGAACTATCTCGCAGAGAATGTGATTTTTCTGCGCTTAAACTTTGGAATCCGGAAACAGGCAGCATCAATGAGTGTCTAGAGGTGGCCACGCCACTAGACGACTCGAGCTCGTCCAAATCGAATAATAAGTGGACACGTCAGCTTAAATGGATCTATGACAGCAACCTGTACACTCAATCTAAGTGGATTATTGAAATAGATGATCATGCTGAGTGGATCAGTTATCACGGTACCAGGGTGCTATGTATTCCCCCTAACCATCATACATATTGTTGGGCTATGAGTAATAATACTATTGCTCTCGGGCATTACTCTGGGAGTGTTACATTCATCAAGTTCTCGCCGCAGATTGAGGCTTAAGCTTGGACAAACTACCTATAGTAGTGGGAAAATCACCCAATACACATGTAAAAACAATATAAAAGACTAAGGCAATTACGATGGTAATTATAATTGCTTTACCCTGCTGTCATTTGCTGCTGAATCGACGAGTACTATTTCGTCTGTGTCTAATAAGGCATCAATCCTCGCGGGACATATCTGCTTGCAGGTATCATAGCTGCGAGCATGGCGTGTAATACAATGATAGGATGTGGCCTAGCAAAACTTGTATACCATCTTTAGCGATAGGAGGGGCAGAATAGTTCCGCATTTCATTTTCCTCGTTATTTCTATGTGCCGTCTAAACTATTTTACTTAATTGATATACTTCAGTTAATACTCATATGTGCCTGGATCAAGCTTACGCTCCCTACACTACCATCCTCAAAGCGCAACGTCTGTGGCCTTATTCATCACTAACAGTGACCTAGATTAAGGTTTCTGCCATGGTTGGTATTTGATATGTCTTCATATCTAAAAGTCTTCTGTCTTTTTTTATCATTCTAGTATAGTACATACATGTGATATTTTCTGCAGTCATTTGTTATCTATGGCGTACCCATTGAGATTGTTGCCGCTCCTGCGTCTTAGTAGCCCTGAAAAGCATAGGAGCGGGCAATATCATCAAAATGCTCCATCTCGCCAACTTTGTGATGCCTTGCCGTCTACTCATAGCCTTTCGTAAAGATGTTCTTAGTAGTAATCCCAATTGTAGACTGGTAATAGACAGTATGTGGTTCCAACAACTAGCTTGCCATCACATTGGAATGCATCAGTTCCAAGTGACGGGTTCACAGAGAAGAAGATATCAATGGTAGTTGGCCCTCTGAGAGTTATAGCCACACACGTATCATCTTGCACTGCGGTATACCAGGCTCCACATCTGTCGGTTGTGCCCTTTGCGATAGTGGCATTTGTTGGGGGCGCAACGGGCAACGTGTAGGCGTATCCAATTTGTTTGTTGTTTTGTGCCACGGTGGAAGCGTTCGACGAATGCTGCCTATTCTGTGGATATGGGCATATGACGTGACCGTAAGCTATATCGCTTGCATTCCAGAGGCTCATGCAGGCCTGATCGACCCACGGGTTATACTTGCGAACGTCACCGCTTGTAGTGTTCAATGTGTGGAGGTGGCTGCGTTCAATACTGGTGCAAGTATCGTTTTGCTGGACAATATAGGTAGATCCGCAGGGAGAAGGAAGGCATAGTGTTACAGTGGATGGAATGCTGCTGCAATTAGCGATGATGAGATTGTTGCCCATGAATATTGCTGCCGATGACACTGAATGCTGCAATGCAATGCTGTCGCAACTGTGCCCCTGTTTCGTGACATACGCCTGCTCGGCAGGACAAGGAGTATCTAGCGGTGGAGAAAAAAGCGAGGGTTTAGTATCGGTGTGGTAAACTTTCCGGCACTTGGTGTTGATATAGTCAAGCTCAGCTTGATAAACCTTGTCATAAGCCGAGTAGGCTGAGCTTTGCATTATCGATCTGATTCCCATAAAGCAGAACGAACACACCTCATTTACAGGCATGTCTTGGATGGTTGCAGCTCGATAGAATCCGTCAATTGTATCTAAATTCTGTCAGCGGCATGATTTATGAACTGGTGGCTTACAGACCATCTTACCAACACAGTATCCTGAGAGATTGGGCGAATTTGGGTCTTTCAAACAGGTGGCATTCAGACTTGCCCACATATGTCCACCAAGCAGAGTGAGCGGGATGTTGTCCTCATCAGTAAACCCAGCACAGTTCTCTTGTACATTGTCGAACCAGCTCTTAAGACTCTTGTCACATATAGGATCGCACACAGAATCGGCGAGTGATTTGTTATCAAAAGATCCTGGGTAGCCCATGATAGCATAGCCTTCAACATAGTCGTCACATTCGACAGTTTGTGTTAGGGCAGTGCGACATGTCTGGGGATATGGTATGTTCATCGAGTCTACCTCCTGCTCACGGAAGATCTGGAAGCCGGTAAAATGACGCCCGCGGCTCACTTTCTAGGCACCCTGGAGCCACGCAAGAACAGAAGACAGATATCCATTCTTGCTGTCAGCCGCCGTGGTCGCAGGGACTAACAAGGGTGATATCATCTCTACAATGGCTTAGGTAAAAAAGTTTTAAATCCAGACATAATTTACAATTCTCCAGTATACACTTTAGACTAGAGCCCATTCACCCGGAGGTCGAGCACGAGATGCCCGTCTGACCTCATTACAAGTGGTCGCTACTGAATTCCACCATCGCACGGTATCCCAGTTTTTCTTATCTTCTTCTGCTAAACATTGCCAGTCGGTGGTAACGTAGCCAAAAGCACTCCGGAAAAAAAGGAATCGTAATGACGACAATCGGATGCGGATCCACGGAGGGAATTCTTGCACATCCCCCTCCTCCCTGTCAATAGCAGTTTCTCGATCCAGGATCCATACCCAGTTGTCCCAGAGAATCTGCCGTGCCGCTTTCTGGCTTTCAGGGCTAGACATAGAAAGAGGTACAACTGGCGGGGTGTCTGCTGGAAGCCCCTCGAGAATTTCAAGGACTCTTTTGTCAATTATCAAGCAAGTCTCATAGCGCGTGTTTCTCCGGCGGTCGTCTTCATCCTGCGGGCCGGTGTTGATGTCGAAAGACTCTACTCTAGCAGCGAAGTCACGGCCAATGGGACTGAAATCCTCACTGCCTTCTGGCTCGGTAATTATTTCCTGGGCATCTGGGTATTCTTCTACCACCTCATTCCACATTCGCGCTGCGACTTCATCCGTCACATCAGGTTCACCAGGTGCTGGCATATAATCTGGGAATTTCTCCCATGTCTCTGCCTCGTCGATGCTGCTGTAACGCGAGTTCCTAACCTCCCATCTGAGCCATTTCTCAAGGCGATTCAGGCCCTCAGCAAAACGAGCATCGGTCCCGTCGCCGAAAACGGCACGGTAAATGAAGAATCCCCATCCGTATGGGACGCGAGGGTCAAATTCTTCCGGTTTGATAGCTTCCAGGTCTCCCCGAATAGACCTGTCTCTTTCAATAAATGACTTTGAGGGATTGTCTGGATACACAGGATCGGTGAGATCCCGCGAAATGGGCTCAAAAATTGGCTGTGTCCGTGATGATGACATATGCAAAGAATCAGAACCATGGAGGATTTGCTAAACTAAGATTCACGTTCAACTACACGGGAAATGAGGGGCATATAAATACGCCTATTTTCCAGCTTAGCCTGAACTTTCACTAGTTCATGTATAGAAAGCGGACCAAGACGGGCTGTTGCTGTTGGTTCCTCGCAGGGTTCCATACGCTAGTTGAGTGCAAGGAAGTTTTTACTTTTATTAACCAACTGCATAACTGCATGGGACTTTTGCTTAGATGAGTGCTTTTATGAAGACAATTTCCAACATGCATATGAAGCACCCATACTCTGTACTCACGGTAGTAAGAGACCTAGCTACAATCTGAGAAAGAAACTAGTCAGGTGTGCCACAGTATTCCAAGAGCATGCGTAGAACAGTGGTCTCATTGACCTAGTTCCTGGAGGCGTTATAATCCACGCAAGTTTCCACAATGCTTGCAGATTTGTGTCACGCGAGTTTGTGACATCGATGGCCTTGCGAACCGCCATCTGGATCGCATAGGCCTATGTGGTCCGCGCCACGATAATTCCCATACACGGCGGGAGAGAAGGTGTGCGGCTTTGTGCCCAAGGGCTACTGCTGCATCAACCACAACTAGAGCCTCGTGCACCTGTGAGTTCGCATTGATGTTGCATCGCCCCCAGTTCTGGACAGTGCATTCGGTATTGACACACTGGATTTGGAACATCTCGGTGCTGCCCTCTGCAAATCCTCCCCCTCGGGAACGGGTCGTGAGCAGTGACCGGATGGTGTCTCCTTTGACGATGTCTGAGCTTCCTGTGTCTGCTCCCGCCAGCCCATTCTCCGGCTTCTCCGTAAGTGTTTGGCCGTGGAGCATCAGGTACTAGAAAGCCATCATGTCGGATACGTAACGCAGTGCATATAGTGCTGTGCGTTGTGTCATAGGTTCCCGTATTCTTCCGTGGCAGTCGTGGGCAGACTGGGATCCTCCATAAGATTTCTTGATGGAATCGATTGTGTGAGCAGCTCATCGTCGATGACCCGCCGCGCATCACATGGGTGATGTAAATAGGATAAAGCCCAGTAAACAATAAGGGAGGGGTATGAAAATGGCTCTTCAACGGATGTCAGAATCAAATCGCAATTCCGCTTTCTGGTACCCTTACCATTTCTATATGCAACCCGAACCATTTTCAGCAACACTCACCTCTGGCTCTTTTATTGCCTTTGTGCACGCACAATCTTCTGAACAGTAATGTCTTTAAGGAGACCTGATGTATATTTCTGGGGGCAGACTCGCGCTCTCAATACAACCATCGATCACGCGCCACCTTCGTGCTTCCATTTATCAGCAACAATTGGCTCAGTATCACAAAAAGGAAAAGAATTGAATCTCACAATGCCTCCATCTTCATTCACTATAAGAACAGACTAATGGCCGAGAAAAAAAATGGCTAAATGGATATAGCAGCTCCTAGGTAAGAGAAGGGAAAGAAGCTCACTGAAGCCGAATCATTGTCTCATCACCGCACACATCCACCATTAAAAAATGCAGCTTTCTAGTCCTAGTGTACGCCGGCTCCATATCAAAATCTTTTAGCGTACGTTTAACCAAATATGCAACTTTCTTCCTTTCTCTCTCATACTCTCTGAATTCCCAACCCCAGCGACCTATCTACTTTTACATCTTTTCTTCGGTCTCTTTAATTAATATCTTGTACAGTGCTCCTTTAGAATCTGACAATTTTGATGTAAAACTGCCGCGGTTAGACTTAAAGCTCAACCAAGGCATTAAATACAGGACTTAGCTTGACAAACAGTGTTGCATTTACGCCATAACAGCAACTCTATCGCCGATAGTGTAAATAGCTTCGATTTGGCATATACGTCGTCCTGAGAAAAAACAAGCTATCTCTTTTTCTCCGAGAAATTATAAGGAACTGACATTAGCCATCTTCTTCCAATTGCGGGCCATTAAGCCACAGACCCAGTGTATGTATCGAGATGGCGGTTAAGCTACGATGGATGCTTAATAAGCCGCCCCTATTTATATAGACTTAGTACATAACTAGTTTAAAGCTATACCAGGGTAAAATAACTGGGTATCAAAAAATCTCTGTTTTTCCTATCCAGTTATAGCAGTTTCTATATAATAATGTTCCTCTTGTATCCTCGGTTTGCTTGCAGACACTTTGACTATATCGTCAACCTCTTGCTGTATAGAAAAAAGATGAATACCTCTAATAAGGACTCCCCCAAGAATGAAAGACTGAGCAAGACGAAATAAGGTCAAGTGGATCGATAATGCGTCCTGGTGTTTAGTTGAGCAAGCAAAGCGGGACTTTGTGTTTTCTCCTGCTGTAAAACAACAAAAACAGCAGGTCTAGAACTAGATCCCCTGGACGATCATTAGTCATTTCCACCATGATTGGCCGGACCGACTCTTCCCAGACCACTTTGAAGCTCAATTACTAATGCGGCCAGTGTCGGTGCAATACAAGTCATGTCTTGAGATCGTCCAGAGCGGGAGAATTCCCACCAGTTAGGCGAAACCCCACCTAGTCGGCACGAGGACCGTCCGTTTCGGCAAATGCCTGGTGCGTTGACGCCATCGTTGTTTTTTTCTTATATATAAATGTGTGTGTGTATGTATTTGTGTTATTCAATTGTCTATCAGGTAGTAGTAAGGGATCTTTTTATTTTATATAAAAGATATTAGCAATCCTCCTAAAGCGTGAAACTGTCCAGTCTCGACTTGTCTAAAGCGAAGTTGAGAATACCCGGCAGTCACTACTTGAAAGGACTTTATCTGTTCTATATACCAACGATACGTTTCCTATACTTTCCAGGAGAAAAAAACCAGTATCGCAAACATGGCCGACAGCAATTCAACCTTCACCATCGATGTCTTCAGAGGCACACCCGAAGGAGGACTGGCCGTTGAAACGTCAACTCGTACTCTTGGCTACGGCGAAGTATACATCGAAACAACCCACTCAGGACTGTGTGGCACTGACCTTCACTACCTGGCGCGTGGACGAATCATCGGCCATGAAGGAGTGGGAGTTGTAAGACAGCTCGGCCCTGGCGTATCAGATATCAAAGTTGGAGACCGCGTCGGATTCGGTTATACACACAAGGTCTGCGGCACTTGTGACTGTTGTTTGAGCGGTACGTCGCATTTATATCATTTAATTACTGTTCTCTTTGACGATGAAAAGACTAATTATTCGGTGGGAAAAGGGAGGGATCAGTACTGTCCTAATCGAGTGGACTTCAATAGAAACCACGACAAAATGGGCACCATCTCCTCTGGTGTGATCTGGTCAGCCAACATGGTCTTCCCGATCCCAGACGGATACGACTCTGCCGACGCAGCGCCACTTCTCTGTGCCGGTTCCACAGTCTTCACCGTTCTGACCGGGCCCGAGGTCAAATCAACCGATCGCATTGGCATCATGGGCATCGGTGGCCTGGGACACTTGGCCATCAAACTCGCCGCAGCCATGGGCCACGAGGTCGTCGTTCTGTCAACCTCTGAATCAAAACGACAGGAAGCACTCGACTATGGAGCGACAGAGTTCCACGTCTACAATTCAGAGACTGCTCCACCCGGCTTCAGGCCCCTGAATCATTTACTGCTGTGCGGAAACACCGCAAGCAGTAACTTTAACAAGTATGCCCATCATATCTCACCCCATGACACTTTACATCACTCCCAATTGCTAACTCAAGCATGGCAGCCTAATCGAACTCCTGGCCGTTAATGGCACAGTATATCCATTGACCGTCTCTGCAGAACACACACCTGTTGATCTGGGAGAATTGACTGGTTTGGGAGCTTCCATCAAAGGATCCCTCACGGCTTCGCGCCGTACTATCGTTGAGCTGCTTCGGTTCGCCTCTCGACATGACATCAAGCCAACAGTTATGAAGTTCCCAATGACAGAAGATGGAGTCAAGGATGCTATTGAGACTTTGAAAGATGGGAGAATGAGGTACCGGGGAGTGCTGGTTCGTTAGACTGGGAAAACTAGCCTGATCGTAATGAAAGCCCTCTGAAAGGATTGATGAGATTTCATATCGTTGCTGTCGGGTCATGAGGAACACACTGATAAACTTCGAGCTGGGCCAATTCGGGATAATCACGACCAAGCGGCAGAAACGGAGAATCGACGTGGATACCGAGTAGATTGCTGTTGTTCGCTTTCACCAGTATCATCTTGATCAATACCATGCTCACTAGTACCGTCTTCATCAGTGTCATCTCCGTCAAGGCCATTCTCATCGGCATTATCCTCAATGGTATTGTCCTCATTGATGCTGACTTCTCCAGCATCATCTTCATCTGTCTCGTCTTCATTATAAGTATCACTCTATGGACCGTGAAGAGAGAGCGAGAGGGAGACTTTACAAGATTCTAGATTCAATATTCTTTAGCATGGTAGATACTCGCATAATAAACATATATGAACAACGAAATTATATCACGTAGAACTCGGACAATTGTTTACTTTGCTAGTAGCCATTATGCTTAATAACACTAATTCTCTTCCTATTCAACACAACAATGCCATAGAAAACAATGTTACGTCTGCTCAAAACTAATCATGCCAAATTCATAAGCCACCTTATGCCTGATATCCAACTCCAATCCTTATCCCAGTGTCCCAATGATGTACAAGTCCTAATGCAACGCTAACAACATAATAAAAAAACAACCAGATTAAATCGTCGTCTCGTTTGTGTCGCTGGTCTTGCGACCATAACGCGGCACGTGGAAATGAATATCACTTCCAAAGTAATAACTTCGCTGTTCTGGCTTGTTTGCGTCCTCGTCGTTTGCCCAACTTCTTGTATAGTTCCCGCAGATATCGCATGGGCCCTCCGGAGCAACGATGAAGCTTTCTTGAAGCACTGATACTTCAATCTTGCGTTCAATTCCCGAATTTCGGCGCCCCTCTGGCGCAACCTCTTGGACCAATACCTCTACATCCTTCTTGTACATGTCCGCCTCGCTGGGATCGACAACAATGGTCGCTTCCGATTCAGCAAGACTGTGCTGCCTCGCTGAGAATCGAGACAAGTAGATGAAGTCATTGAAGCGAGCATCTTCGATATCCTTCAGGCTTGGATAAGAAAATGGCCCTTGCGGATGGTAAAAGCACTCAGTCAACCCAACGGTGGAAATTAAGATAAAAAGTTGCCAGATAGCCAATGTTTCTGCCGTTCGCTCAGCACCTGGATTACGATTCTAGAGTATTTTCTTAGTCTGGGGTTTCTATAGCATAAATAGTCAAGAGATAAAGACATACCGATACTAGGGTAATTGCTCGAGTGAGTGCGGCTACTGTGATAATGAGCCAGCACAAAAGCGTTGTAAGCCACTGCAGTGTTTCCTGCATAGTCTTGCCTCGTTTCAGGGTGAGAGGCATAGCCGCCATCGCCAAGTAGAGAGTCGTTATCGTATCAAAGCCAAAGTATACCCATACCAGCACCGGCGAAGTAGCAGGTTGGCAGTAACGCCCTGGATCCGGGTATGCTTGCCACATATTAGACAGCGGCCGGCAGCTTTGTGAGAAGGCTAGCGTCGTTGCCACCCATGTTACAAGCAAAAAGCCGAAGCCAGACATCTGTTGAGTCTGTCGCCGGCCAGATTCAGCCGTTTGACGAATGACGTATGCGAGAAAGGCTGCTTTCAATGTCCACAGTGCTGTAGAGTAAGAAAGCCAATTGTATAAGTAGAGCTTTGATCCAAGTTCCCTACAGCTAGTTAGCATTGCAATGTCCGACGCCGCCAAGCAGGAAGTGATCAATTACATCAAATGGTATTCATTGCTGTTCGGTTGTGTCCCAATGAAATCGGTTTTCAAGGTAGTCTGATTGCCGATCCAGTGTGTCGTAGTATTCATAAGGTACGCCAAAACAACGTTGGGAACAAAGAAAATCTAGACCCACAATCAGTATGCTGATAAAAAAAAATGCACAGAGAAAGAAAACGGCGGACGTACCACTCCTGCAACAGCAAGGACATCCTCAAGGCCAAGGTTCTTCCAGCCACACTGCCGGAATCGTATGAAGGATCGCGCGGCTATGCAGATTATGGCACTCCCGAGGAGAAGGAAGATTTGAACCGTCAACGCCTGCGCCTTGTCCATCTCATTTCGATTCATTGTTGTTGCCTCAAAGTCCAAGGCAAATATTTGGTCTTGGGGCGGCGTTATCATCGCCGAAAGCTGTTGTTTGTCTCACACAAGGCGAGGTTAAAGGTTGGTAGGAGAAGGAAGAGGAAACAATTTGCCACCTCGTAGGGAAGTCGGGGGAATCCTCAGCTGTTATGAAGCTGGGGATCAAGCCATGTAGAAATACAAAAGCCAAGCCCACCTGCCACTCCCCAGCTTTGTCCAGCCTGCCTCGACCCACACAGGAGGAGGGATCAGCAGCGGCTCTTTAACCCCAGTTCTTGATGTCTCTCATCTGCATTCTCGGGCATGCGGTGCCATTAGCAAAGCGGCAGAGCAGCAGTAGCCCAAAGCAACAGCCCCGGTATCCCATCGCCCCGCGATTAACGGACCGAAAAGTCGATGTATAGCACTTTACATGACTCGCTGGCTATTTGACCCTCTCCTCGTCGCCGCGATCCGCCGGTTTCCTCTGTCCCATTTCCCAGATATTGCTCTCGTACGTACGTACGTACACCACGGCCTTGGCCTGCGCACAGAGCTGAAGTGGCGCGCGAGAGGGGCACACGCAGGGAGCTGTCAGTGCACAACAGCTAGTAGTTTGTCTCACGCCACCAAGGCCGCCAAAGCGATGCGGTTGGTCTCGTCCAGGGCTGAAGAGTGGATATTGCCTTTGCAGTAGCGCTCCGTTTTCCGAGCTCCAGTCGGAAGGCTTGCTGAGGCCCTGCCTTGACCCAGTCCGCTATGCCAGGCTAGCCATCCACCAGACTCCCTGCCTTGTTGAGTGATATGCGGGGGAAACCCACTGCTGCTGCTCTCAGATGATAGCGCGCTGTCTAGCGCCGAGTCTCGAGCCTTGGATACGACCGATTTCGCTGCATTGGTGGTGTTGGCATGGGTAGCTGTGCTCAAAGCAGACGACGCAGCACGGCGGCCGGGGCTCGTCTTGTCATCGTGCTCGCGGGCGATGCTCCGGGATGCGTGTGACAAGACCTCCAGCAAGCCAGAGCTGAGAAACAACGAAGGAAACGGTAAAACAAAACGAAATTGCAAGGCTCGATAAGATAACCGTGGCTGGGCTAGGACCGCGGGCCGTTCTTGCCGCAGTTGCTGTTGGGTCGCAGTGCTACTTGCCTTGTCTCACATGCTCATGCACATGCTCGCTCATGATAGTCTACACTACAGCATACATGTACCTATTATGCAGCAGGCAAGAGCGGCAAGCAGCAAGAGCAAGAGCAGGGGCAGCAGCGCCTGGACCCAACACGGCCTGGTCTTTCCTCGCCTCTCTGTCTTGGCGATTTCAGGGCGCTGCCGGTTTCAATTCCGCAAGTCTGAGTCCCCCGCTAGCCAGCCTCTACCGTACATCTCGGTCTGGGACACGCCTGAAGTTGTCTTCGAGCCAAGCCTCGATGCAAGGCTCAAAGCAAAATCAAGCGCTTGCGACAAGCGGCGATGCGCGTCGGCGAATAACGATCGCAGCCAGCCCCGAGAGAGAAGAGTCCGCGCCATCCCAGCCAGAATTAGGAACCACATCAAGAGTGCATAATGCATAAGCGTGCCAAAACGACTGCTCCGGCGTAATATCGCAGCCCTCTCTATTCTCGTATGGATTAGCTTCACCCAGCCAGGGATCCCCCGGCCTTTGAACGGAGGCAGCCTGGACGCAGTCATCCGTTCACCGAACCACAGCGGAGCGAAAACTCGTGATCAGACCTGGGAGTGGCAAACTAGTATTTGGCCCTCTGCACAGACAGGACTGCTCTAGACCTCCCGGAGCAGAAAGACGACCTGGAGCTTGGAGATCGACCGCGGCTGGGCTTACATCTAAGCCTTTATGAGATCCGCCTTAAGCATGTGGAGTTAGCGACATAGGCTTAGGGTGCTACAGTAGATCGCTCTGCGTCGGTGTCCAATAGCCTTTGCTGGGTGTGGCTTTCGGCACTCGTTTGCTTTGCCTCTCCAGTTTTAGCGGCAGTGGAGAAAAGTGCCTTTCGGAGTCAGTCTTGAGCTAAAACTTCAGCCGGGAGGGCTAGATCTCCCCAAAAATCATCAATGCAACGCAGTTTGGGCTGGATGAGTCTGACAGAGGAGAAACAAGAGTCATGTCATGTTTGTTTTTACGCTTGTCTCTTGGTTTCGTTTCGTTTACCTCGCACATCTATCGGTCTATCCTATCTACACAGCGCCAGCATTTCCTAGCAGCAAATAGCACTGCCGGTGGCCTCTACCTCTTGAGCGTCTTCTGCTTCTCCGCATCTCTGGCAACGGTCCTACCCTCCACTAGCAGGCCCTTCTTCTTTCGCACGCCATCCATGTACCTCTTCGCTACATTTTCCTTATCGGCCAATTCTCCGAGGTCCTCCAAGTCGTCTTCGGTAAACGGCACCCAGAACGGATCTTCATCCAGGATCTCAAATCCCGCGAAAATCAGCTGAGGCTGAGCCGCACCGCTAGTCCGCTTGCGCATCTCGTCTGCAAAGCCAAAACTTTCAGCTACCGGCAGCATGGCTTGGATGGTGAAGAACGGCGTTCCCTCTTTCATTGCCTCAGATACTACGCGGCCCCTGCGACGGGTAAGCACATCGTATACTCGTCCCAACACCTCCGTAGAAGTCTGGATTTCAACCGTGTACATGGCGAGCATCAGTCGCGGAGACCAGTCCAGGAAAGCTGCACGTAGTGACGATTGGAACGCCTTGATGACTTCTCCCGTAAGCCTGTTCAGTTTATCACGAGCAGACGTATCATCCTCTGAAAGGTTAAAGGAAACGTCCTCGATGAAAACGGCGATTCCCTGCATGGGCTCATTGCACAATGGTCCCTGTGCTGTTCCTAGCTGGAAAGCGTAAGTGATTTTGTCGGAGAGATGGCTAGGATGCAGCTTGTCTTCCGACTCAGATTTCGCATCGGGTGCCTTGGCTGTAGCAAAAATTTTCGGAAGGATACCATCTTTGGTGGCATCGATGAGGAGATTGGGCCCCGTCCGCCTTGGCCCGAAGCCAGCGATTCGATCCACCAGGCCTTTCCATGCCTCGCGGCCCTTTCCAGTTTCCAACTCTTTCTGCAGCTGCGTCTTTAGTTCTTCCGCTGATATGGCTGCGCCAGCAGTAAGCTCGGTATCTGCCTCGATGGCTTCCTCGTTGCTCTCTTCCCCTTCCTCTTCTACCAATTTTCGTACATTGTATAGGCGTTTGATTGAATCACCATTCTTGACTAAGAATTCTGTGGCATTCGTAGGTAGCGGCTGTACGCGTAGGGTCAAGTTCACCTGCTTCGAGCTCGTAGAAGACACAATAGTTCCACGGCCAAGCTCTTTGTTAGCGGGAGGGCGCATCTCCTCTGCCCTGACAATCGTCTCTCTGTAGGGCACAATAGGTGCACCAGCCTGGATATCGCATCGCGCGAACCTTTCCTTCAAATCCAAGAGACATCTCTCAAGGTGAAGTTCACCCGCGGTTAGCAAAACGTGCTCTCCGCTAGCAAATTGCTCGTACTCTGCACAGGGGTCGCTCTGCACAAGCAGATGCAGGCCCTGGATCATCTTGTCGAGATCGGCTGGGTTTACAGGCTCAAGTGCAACACGCACGATTGGCTTTCCAGCAAGGCTGATGCCCGCCAAGTTGACGGCTCCTTCGAGCGTGCTGCAGAGAGTTCCTGATTTGAGAATCTTGCCTTCCAAGCCTCCGATGCCGAAAACGACACCGGCGGGTACACTGTTCAGCGCCTCCAGACTTCTTCCCATGAACATGTACAGTGATTTTACAGTAATTTGTTGAGGCTCAGGATCTGCGTGAGGATTGGCTGGTGACCACTTGGGTGGAATAACGTATAACGTGTCTCCCACGGAGAGCGTTCCTGAAAAGATTCTGGCAAAGCCAATCAGGTGCTCCGGGTCGACCTTTTCTTCCTCGGCAGCTGGTGTGATATCGTCGATGTTAACAGTCTCCAGTGCCTGGGTCATCATATCCTCCTCGCTCTGGCTGTTAGCGGCCGCCAAGGCAGCAGCCGCTGCACGCTTCTGCCGAGCCAATTCTCTTGCCTCCTCTCCGGTCATTTGGCCAGTACGCCTCTTGTTTTCGGGAAGTTCGCTTTCGGGAATAGACACCATCTTGCTGACGTATGCGACAACGGGATCGGACTTGTCGGTTTTGAAAGAGACCATGGCATCTCGAACTGACTTGTCAATGAATTGCGCATCTGGAGATTCGTCGATGACGCAAGGTAGTCGCTCGGCCTGTGCTGCAGGGGGTGATGGGAGCGATTCGATGACAGAGACCAGTAAGGCGGTTGACAGCGGTAGCCACGAAGCGAATACCGTGGTTAACAGCAGTCGGGGGTCTCTGGCTCGGAGAATGTGAGGTGCAATCGTGATGTTGAGCGACTTTGTGACTTTTTCAAGGAGCGCTGGATCTCCCCTGCCTCCATCAGCACCAATGGTAGCTTGGTAAACAGTCCAGACGGGCTCAAGAACCAGTTGAACGAACATGGGCTTGAGGTTGCGGCCCTTAAGATGTTTCTGCCCAAGCACCTTCTTCGTCTTGGGATCCAAGTAAAAGTTACCCCATAGACATCTTTCCATAATGCCTCGCTTGATTCCCAGCTTCTTTTCGTACATGCTTGCAAACTGTCTGCAGGTAAATGCCCAACCATCAATGGCACTGCTGAAAATGACGTTGTTCTTTTCTGGTGCAAAATATAAATCTTCATCATCGAGTTCTTCGAACTGAAGGTCTCCTCCCACTTCGCTGGCCGTGTCACTTGCCGTCGAGGCCTTGTTTGCAGCTGTAGCATTTACACGCTCCTCCATCCTCTCTCTCCAGTTGAGATCTTCTTCCATACGTTCACCCTGGAAGAAGCTGCCCAGGACTGCATTAACTTGCTCTAGAAGTTTGCTCAGGTGGACATATGCCTCTTGAGGCGTCATCTTGAGCTCTGTAACGAGTCTGTCGATCTTGTTAATAACCAGGAGTGGCTTGAGCTTTTCGATCCAGCTCTGTCGTAGGACGGTTACAGTCTGACTACAGACTCCTTCGACAGCATCC